CGCGCGTATAGGAGGCCCTATTTTAAAAAATGTTTCAAACATTTGTTGTAGCCCTAGGCCCTGTAGACAATATCCCGCAATCAGATTTTCATTCTCATTCACCCAGCCCATTTGAAAAAATATTTAGTGTCCCTAGTGCCCATTTACACTTGAAGGTGAAAAGATAAAAAAGTAATCAAAATTTCCAAAAACGGTTCGCGTACCCTATGCCTACATTTTTGAGCTTGTTCGAATGCCACTAACCGCATCCATCTAGCTTAAAAAGTCGGCCTATACGACCAAACAAAATTAACATTGCCCTTAAGTGATTGCATACTATATGTTTCACATATACTTCCATGAGTCATGCAAGTAAATGGGAAAAAATAGAAAAAGAGGATTTATTTACTTTCACAACAGCAAAGATGAGCAAAACCTGGTGACTTTCCCTCTTTTTCACCCTTGCGATGAATTAAACCTCTGGCCACTGGTCTGGTCTGCCGTGGTCCTCGTTCGTCAATAGCAGAGCTGAAAAAGATGTTGGATGTTGTAATTCAATTTACGTCAATTGACATGAAAGCGTACACACGCGGACGGAAGGAAGGAGTAAAGTTTTCTGTGCTCAGCTCGATAAGTCAGCCCAGAACTGAGTCAGTCAGATCGGAACGTCATTCAAGCTTAAGAACCAGTACCAGAACCGTTAGTTAACTATGAGAACTCCTACACCAAACTAAAACACGCTTTAGCCAACAACAACACCAAAAAAGAATTGCTTGGTAAAATAAATGGTTTGCTACAAGTAGTAAAGGTCAAAGTTTCCCGATGGTACGATTTCACATCCATCTCCCAATATCGCCTGTTATTTAGGTTTTCAGGTGCTAGAAGCGAGATGAGGATTACAAGACTTTGATGATCCTCGCAGATATTTTTTTTAGGGGGCAGTCTCAAAGGATTGATGCTTTCTCCTTCTTAGGCTGTGGCTGTTGAGCAAACGTGTGATTGTTGAGTCCTCAGACGACTGCGCTTTCAACGAAACAAAGGAGGAAAATATTTGCCAACTGAGCAACTTTATCAAAGTAACAGTTATCATCATCATCATCACCATCATCTCTTCCAATGATCATAAGATCAGAAGCACAGAAGACTTTTAAAAGGATTCTAATCGCATTTTGGGGTTTGACGAACTTTTTTCCTCTGCCTTTTTATATGCGACCAACAACATGTTCACGTCATGGCAATTTATTATCCCATTGTCTCCTTTGATCTCTGACTGTACCGTTTAGAGAAACTTTCCCTGCTCGTCTTACGCTGCTGAATGAGGGACAAAGCATTTTCAGATAATTTAATTTGCTATCGAAAAGTACTAACAATCAGTATTTCATAGTAACCAAACCATTTTGTGTACAAAGTTCACAAAATGTACCACAAAGTTATTTTGCAATAATTTCCTACCCACTGACGGAGAAAAGAAGACGGAAAGAAGTACCCCACCAACACCAAAAAGAAAGCATCAACAACGTCAAAACGTGACGAAATGAACTTGTTCTGGGCGAAAGGCGCTTGCACCCTCTCCAGCCTTTGAGGCCTTCTTGGTCCTAATGGCCATTGAAAAGACGACTCTTGGCTCTGAAGGACCCTTCAAATAAAATCATTAATGAGCTCGCATGCCTCAGTCCACGGCATGTTGGCGTTGTTACCAAATACGTTTCTCCCAATGGATGGGACGGAGTTGAGTTGACTTTCACTCTCATTTGCATATCGTTGAGGTATGTCTGCAACCTACTTATTCCCTGCATTTCGCCGGAATCTTTGTCTACCTTGAAACCCTTAATTCACTTTAAGAAATCTTTGTTATCTGTAAAAAAAGGTTCATTAGAGATGTACTTATAATATACATATAAATCACGATTCGTGGGTCGGTTGCCAATGTAAGTTTGCTGTGAAATCAGGTCACGATTGTATAGACTTTCTTCCATGAAATGTAGAGCAGCATATCCATGTATTGAGCAAATAAAAGTAGCGACTGCTGGCTGTGTCAAAGAGTGGAGAAAGGATGATAAGCTTCGGAAATAATTCACATCATGTCGAACAGGGAAATGCAAATGAAGTTCTAAAACTAAAGGTAAACTTGGAAAAGAGTTGGTTCACAAATCACATCATCCCCTTCGTCTGTCGGTTTGACTTTGGATTTTGGTTTGAGATGGAGCATGACGATGATGATGAGCCTTGTGGATGGCAAACCATAATTTCATTCCGAGCAAGCTATCATTCTACGTCTAATGGCACCAGGACGAGGAATGAATAAATAATTGCGTGTGCCGATGTTGATCCCATCCCAAATCCGATGCGCCCATCTCCCAGACTTCGGTTCCCTTCACTATGTGACCTATCTGCAATAAATACAATATAGAATTGCTTTTACAATTTTACCATCACCCAAATGATATTATTGAGCATTAACTAAGAATGTATGAACAATAAAAATAATAATTTATCCTGAATAAGCAGCACATACGAGTACAGGCATTTGTGTATTTTCAACATTTCCTTAAAAATACAAACATGCAGTTGCAGAACTATGTATGTTCAAGAACGATGTGGTAAATGTTTTTTTTTGTAGAATCAATGAGGTCGGCCAGAAGTAGAAACTTCCAGCACGAAAAGCACATCAAACAACTAAAAGGCAGAAATAGACGGAAATGTCTAATTAGATATGTCCCTGAGGAAAACCAACTTCGTGTACATAGAAAGTGGGAGTTCGGTTCTTGTAAAAACTTTCCTCTCTTGAATCCAAAAAAATTTTGGGTATACATATGTGTCCAATGTATCGCATTTTGTACGTATATTTTTGTATATATATTGTGTACGTATATAGGCAACAACAAGCAATACGGATGCAACTCTTGTACATAATTGCAACTTGAACCGCATCAAACTTATCTTAGCCAATGATGATGTTGAAAAAGAAAAGACTTGATTTAAACAAACCAGATAAAGTTGCATATTAGCTTTGGAATATGAAATTCGTATTGCAAATTGTTACCAAATTCAGTTAATGCACCGTTCACTGTAACGAGCCTAGGATAATAAGTACTTCATATTTTTATTTATTTCCTTATTAAACTTGACGTTCTTTAAGAAAAAGTTGACGTCATCTTCAAAAGTATTCGTCCCTCATCGCAATGGGTGATGCTGTTTTGTTGGAAAATGTGATACATAATTACATTACGAAGGCGGCTTTCAGTTTCGACATTCATTCCCCAAGCCTCCGTCTTCCTCGTCTCGTCTTCGTTAGCATTCTATCCAGCACCTTCTCAAAAGAAGGGAAATACCACATTGTCCAAAAGAAGGGAAACTTTTTTTCCATTGGTAGATCACGATGGTAAAATTCTTCTTGTAATGCCGAACATTCCGGAATACAGCCGGGTTGCCGGTGTCATGCATCATAAAGTCAAGACAGGAATTGTGGAGAAAGTAAATGGTGAGTATGTAGTATTGTGGTATTTATTAAGTAGAAATACGACTCCCTGTATCAAAATGTGAGATTTTTTTTCTTTAACTTTGTTCCTTGTAGGATGGATTAATTTTGGGGATTTTAGGCATGATAAACCGCCCAGGATACTCGGCTGGGTAATGACGAAGGGGCCCGTCCGTGGAATACTTATATGACGACTTTCGCTTGACTCACAACTTTTCTCTTTACTTGGCTTTGTCTTGGTTTGGTGGGTTAAGGGAGGAATCGGAGTGAAGGCCGGATTGTCGGATTGATGAAACAAGTAAAGGTTGGCTGGGATGGATAAGTAAGTAAAGTAATACGGCTCAGAAGTTTGTGTGTGTCCAAGTTTCCTCCCAATCGTCTACTTTGGCGAACGTGAACTGATTGATCAAATCCACCACCCCTTTCATCTCTCGACTTAATTATCCCGATCCACCCTTCGCTCCACTCATCTCTCAGAACATGGAGTAATCATGGCCGTCAGCATTATGGTTTTCGCAATTACGTTATGCTTGAAAAGTGACTCTTTTGGAAAGACATTGTAATTTTTTTTAAATAAAATGCGATTTTTTAGAAATTGTCTCAACGACAAATGGGTACGCATTAAATAAGTGTCTAGTATAAACGGTATAAACCTTGTCTGTCCTCTCCTTGTGCTTTAAATGGATTCAGCGCGGATTGTCAGTCAAACTTTCTCTCGTGGTTATTTATCTCTACTTGTTAGTGAGTAGTACTTTCTAAGTGATATACGATTGGTAGCACATATAGAGCAGCTCCTTTCCTGGCATGTGCCCAGCCAAAACGTCGGTGTCGTCAATGCCCTCACCGTGTTCTCATTTTCAAGCCTATCATCTAATGGCGATAGTTAAAATGCCGCTTGCCCAACAAATCCTGCCTTCCTTTCCCTGTGCACTAACTCACTACCTGTTATAAGTCCAAAAGTTGAGATGTAATGTCGTCAAAAGCCCTGAGATTAGAATTAATGTCTTTATGGGTGCATCCGTCTTTATTGTCTAAAGCCAAACAAGGAAGAAGTTGGTTGGCTAAGTTGGAATCATGAAATAAATCCCTGTTCCGGCAAATTTACTCAATCTCTTAGAAAGCACTCAACGACTGTATTTGACTAAACTTTACAAACTTTCCCAGTTCCCCATGATAGGTACACATATAAATACATGAAACGCTAGTAAAAGTGTGCTTAGGATATAATTTGTATTTAACTAGAAAAGTTAGACGAGCGTTCAATGAAGATTTTCCCAATTTGTGCCATGATTTGCTTATTTTTTAAGCAATCGCAAATACCAATTTTCCTTTCCTTACAACTTTTAAAACCATGAGCAAGGTATTGAACAAAGAATTGAGTTTGTCTTTGTTTTTAGTATGCGGTGCGTACATATTGGTTGACAAATGACATATTTTGACAACCGAGATACACAAATAGGTTAGCGAATGCATGTTCCACCAGCATATCATAGATTGTATACATGTACTAATGTGATGCAAATAAACGTATGTATTACCTATATTCGACGTTAATTTTATAATCATTTATTATTAATTGCATATAAAATCAAAATTGGGAATTTAAGTAATTACACAAGATCACTAGCGAACAGCATAACTTTAGAAACTGGAAACGAAACCGGTTGACTCTTCAAAATATTCACATTGGTGTTATTACTTCGTGTAAATTGAGCAATATATTGATATAAAAATAATAATCAAACCACACCCGTATACTTTAAAGCTTGAGTAACAATTAAATAGTATAAGGAAATAATCTAATTATTTTAACGACTATTTAGCGCTACAATGTAAACAAAAGTAAAATACTACCAACGCCCTCATCAATTAATTAGTATTACATGATTGAACTTTCTATTCACAACTACATTCTGCATTTGCTATTGTGTTGTAAATGTTCCGTGTATTACACCTTTTTTTCAATACCGAAGTGAGACCGAAAATTGTAAATTATTGTTGCAAACTTGTAAATTGTCATTATCATCAGCAGTACTTACACCCAAGCGGGGGTAATAAAGTCAACAGTTGAACTTTAGTGTTCATGTCACGAGAAACTACGCGTGCATGTAGTGCGTCTCCTAGAACTTCTACGTGTTTATTTATGTGTATATTCAATTCACTTAACTAATCCAGCCAAAGTCATTGTTGTCACTTTTAAATGATACATATTTCTTGAATTCAGAATTGAACCTGTATTTGATTATGTCAATAATGCAACTTTAATATATTATGTGCAACCTTTACATTAAAAACTAAGACTTAGCAAAATATCAAGACCTATATTGCTCTTATTTTGTATATAGAAATCATAACGATAAACGACTTATGAATTGTTAATGTATTTGGTAACTCTAATTCCGACTTATCCTTATTAGTGTCAAGAAAGTGCTGAATCTTCTCCTCCAGTTTTTGCATCACATGGTATCGGTGCATACATGTAAATTTATTTAAATATATATTTCTACTTTGCAAGCTCTATAAAGTATATTCTGAGCAAATTGAGTGTCATTGAAAAAATATTGTATGAAGAAAGAATCACAAGCTAACTATGGGCTGTCATCACCTTTTCCTACGTCAAGTGAAAGCTTTGTTTGCATCTATTTACGCCATCATTATTTATTTATGCATTGTCGATGCCCCAAACACTGTCAACTGTGTGACCATTGTTACGACCAATGGGACAGCAATCTTCGACTTAGAAACTTTATAAAACATAAGACTTACTATAAGCAATTATGACTTTACATAAATAATTTCATAAAACTAGATCATTTCTGTCAGCATATGGTGCTCTTTACAGAGATTTTCTTCATATTGTAGCCATGCTTCGTTCTACGAAACGATCCGATCCGTCTATTATGTGTCTTCAAACACAGTTTTTTGTAGGGGTCATAAATTAAGCTGTTGCAAACTGCTCAAAATCTGACTCTCGGATTATCCGGGCGACGGCCTTGTAATCCTGGTGCAATTTATGGGCACTGTAATGTAAATAAACCAATATGAGTCAAACTTCAATTTTAATCATGTACCTGAGCTGAATATAGCTCAGACACGCAAACTTAGGACGCTAGTTAAAGTGCACGACATTCCAATGGTACCGAATGTCTTGAAATATTTTATTGAATAAAATTTAACGTGATTAGAATTTTTTCTAAAATGCAATAATTTTAATATCTAAAACTGAACATCGTCCTAAGCTGTAGCATAATCCCTGAATGAAGCATAGGTGAAACGTGTTTGCAAGTTTACAAAAGAAATAAAATGCCCAAAACATTTGAGAGTGGATTTATCAAGAGATTTTGGCTGTAAAGCGAAATACTACAAGCATACATTGTTTGTGTGAATGAGTGAGAAAATAATGTTAAAGGTTTAATATTCGACCAAAATTTATGTGTATAAAGAGCATTTTACATAATAAATTCCACCCATTCAATAAACCCAGCTCATTACGAGGAATACAACCTTAATCTGGTTAGGTTTTGTTATTAGCAGTTTTACTCGATTGCAAAGCCAGTCTCGACGACTTTTTGTGAACTGCATCAAAGAAACAATAAAAATGATTATGGGTTGGCTTACCTATAGACGTGGGTCAATAGCGAATTCCTTGAGCTGTATACCCGTCCACAGAGGAGACACTTTCCTGTTATAAAAATAAAACACCAATTTCAGTATGTTAAAATTCCAAAATTGTTAAAAGCTACTTTTCGGAATTGATTCTTAGAAGCTTTATGAATAATCAGGGACAATTTCAGAAAAAGTTAGCATATACTTGTGTTTTTCTTAGGTGAAGGAAAAGTAAGCATAAGGTGATCGTGTTAAAAGATCACCATGGTTACGGCGAAGCCTAAGTATGCATTCAGCTGCAACTTTGAAAAGGTCGCACTGAGATTTCGCCCAAACCGTTCGTTGCATCGAAAACATGTTGAAACAAAAAAACCAGAGAATTATGTTTTACAGATACGTTTTTTTATTTTTTCAAAAATTCTAATTCCTTCTTGTAGAAAGTCCGATGCCTTAAATTTCAAATCCATTTCTTGGCATCAAGATAGTGTTTCTGACCTGGGGCTTTCCATTTTTATTATTCTCTAGGATAATTCGCAAATTTTAAGCCTTTGTTCGACTTAATCGGATGAAAACTCACGGAATTAGAGCTTTTTGAAATATTTGCATTAAGCAACCTATTTACATGTTAGGTTACTGGTTGCTAACGTGCGCTAATAGTTTATATAGCATCGCTATTCAATACCCAACATAACCAATGTTGCTAGACAATCGAATTACGTTATTATCAGATCGCTAAGTGTCAAGGCATGTTGCAACAGAACAATTCAGAAACTGGGGGATTAAATTGGTATACCACGCATCCACCCACAGGAGAATTAACAACGTTTAAGATTTTAAAATTGCATATGATTTTATGCATATAAGTTCACAAATCACTAAAAATAATTAAATAAATAAATTTTAAAAAACAAACTTAGGTGAAGGACGCGCTTAAAATATTAAAACAAGAAGCATTAAAAAATGTCATAAATCGTTTAATATTTATTAACTTTTACTTCACCGGGGGCCCAACTAACAGGAAAAAAGTTATACTTTCAAGCATTTGGAACAATTATACGAAATACATGGTGGTTTAAATGCCAGGTTACAATGAAAAATTTTTCAATGGGAAAAATTCGTAAATTTCCAGTAGTTACGGATTTGGGATTGAGATTTTTATTAACTTTTATCAAAATTATGGAACACTGATGACAAAATTCTTAAAATCTTGAATTTCAGAGGCAAAATTTCGGAACTAATGGATATTTTAGAATTTTTCCCATTGAAAAATTTTCCATTGTAACCTGACATTTAAACCACCCGTAATATGTATTTGTATATCAAACTTGCAAGATTTGAATGGTTATCTTTCAATAAATCGCGACACCTCTTATAGAGGAAATTCATGTTCTGGCGTATTTTAATAACTCCCCATGTAATGCTGCACTTAATATTTATCGGTGGTTTAGTTACATTTATTGATATTCATTGCTTTGAAAATTTAATAGTTGCATGGGCCCACGGTGAAGTAAAAGTTAATATATATTAAACGATTTATGACATTTTTTGATGCTTCTTGTTTTAATATTTTAAGCGCGTCCTTCACCTAAGTTTGTTTTTTAAAATTTATTTATTATTCGATGAGTTCCTTTCCTTTTAAAGAAAAGCATGAAAAATGAGCGTAATTCATGAAACGAACCTTGTATGCGTGCACAATGTACATCTTCCATGTGTCGTTTTAATGCCGATAAACTGCTTAAAACTTTGCTGCAACTCGTACAACTGAAAATTGAGTTAATTCATTAATCAAATATCATATTTACTAGCAGTCGAATAATACAGAGCTCAAACTATAAACGTATAATTAGCAAAATATTTAAGGTACTTACGCAACATAGCGTTTTTGCTTCCTCAAACCGGCTGATAGGAGATTTCTAAATTGAGCACATTAAAAACTTCAATTAAATCTGCATTGTTCAATGCCCTGCACTTTGCATGACATTTTTTGTTGAATTAGACCAGAAAAACCGCTAATCCTACATAAGTGTCTAGTCAACGGTTATGCATTTATGGACGGGTCATCTCGTTATTCTACTTTGAAACAAAATATAAAAAACAATCCTAGACTATGTAGGTATAAGTTGTCTGGCTCAATACGTTGTAAAATTATCCTATCCTATTCTAAAACTCGTTTCTAATGAACGTAAAATAGCTACATATATATTGCAGGTTAAAAAAACTAAATGGATTTTACGTTTCAAAGGTACGTGCAAGTGCATCTCAATGTCATTCATCTCGGCAATATTATTCACCTCTTACAAGCTCCAAGAACTTAATAAACAATGCGGTTTTATCGGTTTTCTGTTATTCGTGCATTTCAAGTCCCAGGTTTTCCTATCTTACTTTATTGTACTTAAATATGTATGGATTTTGCCTTTATGTATTTTATGAAGAGTGTTCCACGGTTTGTAAATGAATCATTTGAATCAATGTCCGTCGACACTTGCATAAAAAACGGCTTTACTTGACTGGACAATGCCGTATAGATCTTTCGTATTCTTTTTGTCACCACCTCTATTACGCAAGTTTCGAAAATGCAAAGAATAAATTCTAAGTCTGACTGAGAATACTGCTGATGGGACCAATACTTACAAATTAAACAAAGGAAGAGAAAAGCTTACGGATCATTATGCGACAAATTATCGAAAAAACCCGAATTTCCTGGACTGCTCGATGGTTTGCTGCTGGTGGAACCACCTTGTAAGGGTTCTCGCATCATCCTCATTAGAATCCCCTCATTAATCGCAGACACACCTCCCGATTGAGGTGACCCTTGACCTGGTAACTGATGAGCTTTTGGAATCATTGGTCGAGCCAATTTGCTCAAATGTTTGAGCGTCAACTGCTGCTGGAGTGAAAGTGGTGAAGATGGAACGGACAAGCCACCCCCACTCAAATTACCACCTACGGTTGGAGTCACAGATAATGCAGAGTTTCCCATCAACGACAGATTGAAACTGTTACTGAAACTGGTTGGTTTATGAGAAAATGAGTGACGCCTATCACTAATGGTGAAGGACTCATCTGACTCTCGTAAGGACACTTCCGGTTGAATTGACATGGAGAAAGAGTCATCATCATCGTCATACTCATCATCCATGTCTCCATCGTGGATGGACATTCTTCCCTCTCGCTCATCCCCCAAGGGTCGACTGTCTTGGTCCATGTCCAAACTCTCAGTGTCATGATTATGATTATGATAGCGACCAATATGCAGATTAAGAGCAGTGTTGCCTTTGGCATCTGGATTGTTGCTTGCATTGCTGTCGTCCTGAACATCGTCCTCAACGTCAACACCACCGTTTCGGTTCATAGGCGGGGAAAGCTGTGAGTTGTCATCCCCGTTGGAAGTGGTGTGGTTCAAATGGTGACTAAGTCTTGAGGTGTCATTGTGTGGGGATGGCATATTGTTGTTATTGTTGGACGCCTGTGAAGATATTGAGCTATTTGCAGATCGCCCACTGCCCCCACCAATGAGGGCAGGACGAGAAGTGCCTTTGGTGGACTCATCATCGGATGAATTAATAACAACACCTGCAGTGTTGGAAATTGAGTTGAACGATTGACCATTTTCCTTTGGTGGTGTTGAGCGTTGAGAGTTGTTGATTTGGGAAGAAATTGCACTAAGTATTTTAGAAGGAATGGAACTATTATTGGCTTCTTCGTCAAGCCTGGCTTCCGATGCGAGTCTCTTATTGGGGTTGGACGGTGAAGCTATTGGTGAACTGGTGGATAAGTTTTGAGCATAAGCAAGGGGGATATTGGTTTCGAGATCCTATAAATACAAAATATATGTAACAAGCCTTATAAATATGTAGGATTGGGCAAAAAGGGTGAGGCAACATATGAATTAAGTATTTGGGTACCTCGTTAAGCTCAAAATCCATCCCCTTAATTCTAAGTAGTTTAGCTACTGCTAAGAATGATTTCAGAGATCGCTTATTGATTTTAATCTCTCCATCATAGATGAATTTTAAAAGATTTCCCAAGTCCGACGCACCGATGTGTGGCCTAGAATTTACAAAGCAAAGAGGGAAAATAGTAAGTTCATTGACCTCCCTCATTTTTGTTTTCCCTTTCGCTCTCCAGCAAATTACGTTCATAAAAAACTTATAGAATTCTGAGCTGCATACTTTTTTTTATGTGAACAGTAATTTTATAAGTAAATAATTACAAGTAATTTTTATAAATAACAATTAATTGCCGAGTTAAAGGATGGAGTTAAATTACGAAATTTTAAATTTACAAACGCTTCCTGTTGTCCCAATTCATCGCCGAGAGATTGTCGTTCGAGGTCCCGCACCACCGTTCTGTCGAGTACTGACGGTGCCGGAAAGACGTGGGGCAAACGTTGATGGAGGTAAGTATTTTGTAAGTAGTATAATTATTATCGTGGGAATTTAATTATCACGTGTTACAATTACATAGGAGTGGAAGCAATAAAAAATACTTTTTATGGGATTGCCAGACCAGCTGAACAAATTGTAGAAAATGCTCCAATTTACAGTAACCCCGAAATCTTGTCCCAAGAACCTCCATCATATAATAGGGACCCTCCTCTTTGTCAAGCTGAACGTGACGTTGCTGTTGACATGATTCAAAGAGCTGGACCTGATGGAATTGATGTATTGGGGAGAGATTTACAATTGGTTTGGATGCCAAAGTGTCCTAGAGGTTGGGGTCAATCAGTTAAACGGGTGTCAGACCAACTTAGTGTAAAACGAGCGGTAGGAGTTAGAAAAAATGGATCCTTCAATTACAAATATGATCCAATTTGCACATATTTAGGTAATTGTATACATCACCCATATAATTATAATGCTCAAATTGTCTCATGATTCTCATTAATATTGATAGATTGCTTCAACTATATTGGAACACGGGTGGCTGAAGAGAATCCAAAATGTGTTTTGCATAAAGGACCTTATACTGGCTTCGTGGTATTCGAATATGAAATACTGTCTCATCCACCACTTTCTGTTCTTCAAACTATTGAACACCGATTTGTTTCATTCACGTATTTAAACGACTCTACGAGAGAAGAGCACATGAGAATTGGAATGCAGAATTTCACTCAATCACTTGGGCAAGAAGTAAGAAGACAATTCTTCAATGCTCGAGAGGATGCTGAGAAAACTTATGCTCTCTGGAAAACTTCTGCAATGTTTATGCAACTTCACTCTCCGTCATCATTCAGGTATAAGGGTGTGTCCATTTCATTGGCAATTGGATTAGAAGATCAGCTTAAGCAAGAATTAAGAACAAGATATGGACTTCAGCTCGAAGTCACAGCCATCCTTCAGGATGAAGGAGAAAGTCGCAAGATTTCATTTCCATTTGGTATAGAAGCACGAGAAACGGATAAATTGGCAGATTTGGTCAGCTCCACCCACGGTGCTCTCTACGTTATCTGTGATGATAAGATCATGTATGGTGGTCAATGTATTGATAAAGGAGGCTGTCTCCATCGTGCTACTGACTTGAACGACACAATCAACAACTATAAGCGATTGACTGGTGGAAATCCACAGCTCATCCCCATTGCCAGCGTACAAAAAGGAGTGAAGTCCCGAAACTTGTTTAAGATGGAGTCTCATCTCCATGTCGCATTATACCTGGCTTATCTATTTAGGTTGAGAAACCCATTTCACCAAAACTACCAACTCTATCACCCATATTCTATCAACAAAGAGACTAACTCTAATTTCGATAATCTTTCGTGGAATATGATTCAGCAGTTTGTGTTTCGGAAATTTGGCGTTAAAATTGAGCTTTGTCATGCATAGATATAAATGTTTATCAATTGTTGCTTATAAAATGCTTAAATAATAATAATAAATAATAATACTTACATAAATATAACCGCATGCTGTAATGCAGGCACGCTCTGAAACCCCAAAATGTACATAAATCACAATTCCTCCTTATAATTTGGTGTGTGCAGAACAAATGTGTTTGATTTCTTACCTCCAACATATTTTTCAGATATGAACTGCTGGCAGAAAGGAGTAGTTTGTGGGCCTTGAATATTTTATTGTCTGCAACAATCGTCGTGTCCACAAATGCTTCTTCCCGATATAGACTCGCCATGGACCCCAACAACGCCGAACGTTGTGCGTCCCACCGCAAATTAAATAAAGCGTCTTCCGTCATTTTCCTGCAATTCATAAAAATTAAGTTGCTGGTTAGGCAGCTTTGGTAGATTTGACGTACTTTTGTACGCATTGGATTCACGTGTCATTTGAAATCATATATTGTTTCATTGTGAATTAAGTGTTTGCCTCATGATATCACAATAAATAGATAGGCAATTAATGACTCAAGTTTTGCCACTACATGAGCAACTAAAATAATCAGCAGTTGCTGAAAATTCGACTGATACAGGTACGCATATTATTTAGTACTAATGCAATAAGTTTTTTTAATACAAAGAAAGTCACCAGCCCATATCAACGGGAACATGTATAACGTTTTTCTTGATGCCAAACTATTCTAGTTATGGTCTAGGTGCTCTCCCAACCTTTAGTTTAATGGCAAATTGCTACAAAGTTTCATCTTAATGGAAAAAATTGTAGAGTTATGATTGAAAATCCGCATTTACCAAAATTTCATAATACTTCAAACGCACCATAAAACTTCATGGCTGAGTAATTTTAGAACAAAGCAATTAAACAGACTGTGTTCTAATAAAAACTTAATTTGTACAGACGTCGCAGTTTCAATAAATCCAAAAACTATTTTCAAATATCCTTTACATCACAGCCTCACAGACAGTCATTTACGTAAGTAAAGCACCCATGTGCATATAGAGCTATGTACATACGTCACAGGTGCATTGAAGATGTAGATTAGAAATTTAACAGGAAATGACTACTTGGTTTGCAGTGTGCAAGCGGTGTTCAATTGTTGTACTGATAATTGATACTTCACATGAGTGAACATAAATCTGACTTTATTAACGTGCTAAATGCTTAATGAGCAAATGGCTCGCTCTCCGTTTCAAAATTGCATTCTCAAGTAATTCATGGACTAAAGTATCAAAGGAAATTGTAATATTGTATGTAATTTGAGAAGGAAGTGATAATTGATACGTAATCTTGCATGTAAATCAGTGCTAGCAACATGACATAGATCCACTTATTTACTTGTCAGTCACTGGGTTAAAATCAAAGATTGTTTAATAATAACTATAATAATAATAATTTGTTGTATTTATGCATACATAGTTGCAGTTATTTTTGTATTATTTGCCCTGGTGTCAAAATAAAGTCGTCCTCAGAGACATAAATTCGCATGCAGCCAATCACAAGTTTTTACACGAGACGAGAAACTTCGTTGCCGACTGTTGTATGTAGTAGGTGGCTTGAGATTATTGAGATTATCACTCCCAAAGACAAGTTCTGAATTATTTTATGCTTGGTAAGTATGTGCATGGGCATCTAGATGACCATGCTGTTTAGCTTGGAATTAAGTGCACAAATTAAATATTACTACGATACTTATTTGTGGAATGAATTATTGGATATTCGTGCTGCTACTCGGTGTCTTAAAAAACTGAATTGAGCTACAGAATATTTTCTATTGGTACAATTTGAATAAATATGTGTAGACACATTGCTGCGTGTAGCTATAACTACCTTGAACCCGATGAGGACCTCATGATTATTCGATTGCAAACTGAATTCAAGTGGTGGATTTTTAATTGCTGATTCACTAGAATATGACCCGTCGTCCTCCTCGATACTACAATTATTACCTACTCGACTGCTGGAAAGTGTAGCTTTTGCTATAATGAATTTCGCAACCACGATATTAGAATCTACATCGCATAACGTCCTCCATGTGCTTATCTCAACCACGCAGTTAGCAGTAAGCAAAATATGTCAAGTAAAAAGCACTTGCCTAATAACTTATCGGAATAAAATATATAGAGCTGCCTTGTTATTGCTTTAAACAATGTGCGGTTCCAAACTCTCAATTCCCAAAAAACTGGCATAAAATGATTCTGTTCACACACCATGTCTGCTGCTATTGTACTTTACACCTTCATCGAGTCAACAAATAAGAAGATAAGCGAATAAATGGTTGTGATTAGGAAAAATCTAGTCCACGTTCCACTAAATGTAACATCAAACGAAGGAGATGACAATGATATGAGTAACACAACGTCAAGTCTCCGAGTGGTGCAAAACATTTAGTCAATTCCATGACCATAATTACTCAATTTTTGAAACTTCACAGAGTAAATCGGCAACACATGCATACTTATTTGGACTGGAGCCTCATTTCCACGCAGACAAGGCGCATGATGTGACCCGGTACTGATGAGCAGAAGAAGAGGTGGAGATGACACGGCGATGACGCGACATAGTTTCTCATATCAAATAGCAAACAGTTTACCTAAACAGGCTACAGATTAGTAGACATTTCCAGTACACAACAACTTTTCAAGTCTCTCTGTTTACTTATGACAAGTGCAGCATTATAGTTTTGAGGTGTAATAATAATAAAACGAGATTTAGTTGGTTCATCTGCGGCTGTAAATTTCGGTGTCAGAATAATCTCTCTTAGGTTTTAGGTGCCACGAGAGAGTAGAGCTGGGGTGCGATAAAAAGTAATAGGGAATACATACGACTCATCTCCACGACATACTTCCAAATTTCAATTGATCATCAAGTCGCGAGGTTGTTTTGAGTTAACTTTGAAACATATGTACGTAGGTTCTCATCTTCATACGGAAAATTAGATGATGGTATCAAAGCAAACATTCAGTCAGCATTTAGATATTACAATTACACAAGAATAAGCTCTTATCTATTTATTCTCTATTGTTAAATGTGGAATGTTTTGAGGTGGATGAAATTTAATATTTGATCAAGTCTATTGTCCAAACGAAACCAATATAACGAACTATTTAACGGCAGGTACATAGATGTTGGTGTATCCAGTATTATTAGCACTACAAGCTCACGAGCAACGACGGCACAACGGAGAGCCACGATCCACTTCAAAATGGACATCATTCTAAATTGAAGCAACTATCTACTAGTCGAATTGGATATGAGCTGCTGCAAACAATGTGCTGAAATGATCTTTGATCGCATGTGTCTCTTGTTCAATTGTTTTTTTTGCCACACAAAAAACGTCCATGACAGAAAGATAAGTCATAATTTGGATACATCATCATGAGAAACTGAATGATACTACCGGCTTGATGAAATTGTATTAAACCCATCCAGTTGTGCAATCCTATGTGACATGTGGTGGCTCTGGCTGCTACAACGGCAACACACGGACCGAGAGTTTAGGGTTATCTAAATTATTGCGTTATTTTTTCTTGGAAAACTTTGGTCTGATGATGCGATGTTTATGCGTTCGGCCTCTGCGTCCCGTCCATTTCCTTCCACACCATTGCATCACCACTCTCTCCACGCTGTGTCAATATGCAGTGGTGAATTGAAGCCTATAATATATCGCTTTTAAATCATTCATCCCACGTTAAGGTGTAAGTAAGCAGACGCAAATGTTAATCACAAGTAATTATGAAATTATGCATTTCGCATTTATCCCGGAATGCTCATGGGTCGCCTGAGTTGAGGTGTACAAAACAAAAACAGGCTACTTAATCTTCACATCCTGGCTGGACAATATATACACATGCATACGTAAGCATATTACCTCCTGTTGGAAACTGAAATTCTACAAATTGCAGTCAACAGTTATATGTCATGTTATGACGCACGATGATAGGAATAAGTCAAACCAACAATGTGATGCTGATTAACCCATTGGAAACGAAACCCGATTACTCATTCAGTCATAATTTTCTATAAATTTTTAAAATATTTTGTCAATTACCTGATTATTGGAAATGTTGTTTGCTTTCCGAAAGATTGAAATGTGTTGGCTGTTCTTTTGCATACAAACACTAAATCCGGTAAGATTTATAACTTTCGTCAGTGCATAAGCTTATTTTGTAAATATATTGTTACAAGTCTTTGATTTTGTAAATATATTGCTGCAAGTCTTTATTTTGTAAATAATTGATTGACTTGGAAGGTATGTACTAGTCCACGCTGCCAAAATTATAACAAATAATAATTATTATTATGTAATTATCTAATTGTTTGTGTTATTATTGTATTACGTAACACTTGTCTTTATAAAAATCTAATGGTTTCACTGAGTCTTTTGTATTTATTACACTATGTTTTTAGATTGTACCAATATTTTAAACTTTTACTTCCAAGCCCAATAAGTTAAGACAGACGCATGCACTAAGTATGCATGTCTTCCTACATACGTATAACCAACAATGGAACTACGACATAATAAATCGTAAATGCTAAACACCGACGAGCATATTCCTGTCTTCCAAAGTAATTGCAGCAGCGAAGCACAAAAGATACAAAGTTATTACTGCATGTAAACAGACAATTGAATCCAGACCATGTCAGATAAGGTGACGTAGTAGTATTATTATTATAGTAACAATATGCGCGTTAAGGTTAAAACTTTCTAGGATTTCGGTTTTAATACAAAGAAAATAGCAATATCCGTGAATATATATCTGCATTTACTCCATAGCACTAAACACAATGACAGTTAATTGTTCTGAAGGTTCAGTCATCAATCAATTATTCTTAAGGTTTGGGAATGTTAATTTCATAAAACAATTTTCAATGACATAAAATTGTAGTCGAGTCGCGAAAAATGAGCAAATCACTTGTTACATAAAATTATGTATTTCATTAAGCGTATGTACATACATAAATATGTAAGTTTATGTCGTAATTTTCTTCACTTGTCACTTGTTAAAGAGATTCGGGAAGTACATGTGCACAAATGCTTCGATTCAGGGAAACTGAGACTGTGAGGCAATGTGAGAAAATGAAAATAACTCGTACGGGTTGAAGAGAGATGAATCACATTACAACAAAATCCTAGATATTGAGGAGCTCTGACGAAGGATTATTAGCTGGACACTGATCAGGCTGAAATGGGCCATAAGAACTTGACTTAGACAGATCTTAGATTTTCACCCCTCTTGAAAGTCGTCGCTTGGTCAACACGCTTATTATTATTATTATTAGACATGGGAGTAAACTATAAAAATTTATTAATGTGATCAGTTTATTCTGCTCCAATCTTGTTTCAACGCTTCGCATGTCATCACATGTTTACTAAAACCACATTGATTTTATCTTCGTCTTGTTACTTCCTATAAGTTGCGATTGATAATAACACACAGTTCAGCCCAGACTCTCCCAGAGCAATTTGTTTACGACTCATACACACATCATATTCACTAATGCATAGATAAATACTTCCATGTTATTAGTTCTGTAATGGAGTACCTTCAATAAAAATTGGGTAGTTAAAACAGCACTACTTTTGTTGACTTGTGTTGTGTATGACTTGCACTGATGCAAAAAAATTAAAATTATGGAAATTTACTGGATATGAAAAAAGTTTGATGGCTTGTAAAATATGTAAAGTGTCGACAATCAATATGATGATGAGATTACTTCCTTTCTTCACGTTCAGATTGGGAGGATTAAGCTGTACTCAATTTTGCTTTCAGACAATATCACAACCAATCGAGCGTATTTAATTCGGCTAATGTTGTTGAAATTTAAATTAAATGATGGTTAAAATGGTATTTTTAAGAATCTCGATTGCATTAGTATATTTATTTGCTTTTAGTAAATTCATACGTTACACACACAGATATGTAATTTGGCTGTGCTACACACTTTTCACTTTGTTAACTGATTTTGCGATTTCCGATTTTGTTTTCCATTTGTTTCTCATCAGCACCAACACAACTGAAAACACAGTCAGTACAACTCGTCTGTTATTTCATGCTAATCTGCAGATACAATTGTTATTATTGCAGCTTATTTCACGAAAATATCAACTTTTTCATTAACTCTTCAGGATCTTAACGGTGCAAGATAAATGCAGACGAAGGATGATCGACACTAACACGCTACACTAATTTTAAAATTTCCCCAAATTGGATCGATGCAGGTGGCAAAGTGTTATATCTTATGAAGAAATCTGGTCAAATTTGCATTCGACAAGCAAAACACGGCGAGATGAGGAACGAAACCCCAGATTAGTGATAAAAGACTTTGACACGCTAATTGTTCTTACGAAACGTTGGTAATAATCACAGTACACAGCAATGTAAGACGCAAGAAGCGAACTAAGTGTCAGTGTCAATAAGAATAGAAATCACTTTTGAGGATTACTCCTTATTCTTCATCTTGGTCTACAACAGTACGTACGTTTTTGACGCAATCCGTATTCCGTAGTAGTGTTTATGTAGTAAAGCACTATAAAATGGGACAAAAAGGATGGTTCGTGATGACTGATAAGATTTGAGCGTTTGGAAGTTTGTCACCCTTGAAATTGATTCCACGCATGGAAAATCAAGCCGCAATTACTAATTAAATATGTGTACAATTAACTTCTTAATTTACTGTTGAGTTAATTTGTCAAGAACCGTAAATACAAAAATGTGACCTCATAGAAATATGTCAGTGTGTAACTACTTTGTTCAGCACGATATGAGCCAATGAGCTAGCCTGCAAATACTAAAAGTGCGCTGTAAGTCTTATGCAAACAGAAATTTTGCTTTGTAGAATAACCACTTTAAGCTGAGGATTCAAATAAAAAACTCGAGACAAAAATCTTAGAAGTTAGTCGTAGAAGTTACAAATAGAAAATGAAAATTGCGCATTCGTCCTGTATGTAATTCTGTTCCTGTTTCGTGCATCCACGAAATGAAACGTACTTACACACGATGTATCAAAAATCAGCTCACTTGAGGGCAACTATAAGGCTAAGCAACATTATTTTAATATAACTCCAATCCACTTTGCAGCAGCAGAAGAAGAAGTTTGTTGAGTTTTAAGTAAGTTATCTCGTCTCGTATGTATCTCTCCATCATTGAACTCGCTCCTTGTCTGTGCATTGTATGTGCTATCTCAACTTCAATCCATTCAGTCGGGTGTGAGCTTAATATTGCGTTATTATGCCTGCGTACAACAAATGCAGCTAAAAAATGAGATTGTTTGGTAGAAGCCGTTTTACGAGATCATCATCAATGAGACTAGCAGAGAAGTGCATACCTAAGTAGCCCTGATTTGAGGTCTCTTTCAAATGTGTCATTTTTAGTTCGAATTTAAAACACTCAATTATTTGTCTTCCTAAGGTTTGTGTTATTCTGTCATGAACACGGAGTGTAAGCAGCTCTATGTCCTTCAATACTAAATTGATGCCTGTTACTTTCCGGTATGGCTGACAAGAAGTGGATCTGATTTTATTATCAACTTGATTCTATTCAGTTTCAAAAACAATTTTGCATGTGCGTACGTGTGCAAGAATTTTTTAGTTTTGTTATTCTATCAATAAATAAGTTACTGAGCAGTGAGCAGTAACTTCAAGTATTTTAAACTGAATTGAATTGGTACACTTTTGCTAATAATGTATGCCATAATTTAGATTTGTAACACCGCAGTACTAAATATACACCATTCATTTTTGCTAGTCCGTCGTTAGTAAAATAAGTATTTTCAACCATGAACAGGATGATTTAGAATAAATATTTGCTCATGCTTTCATTTTTCGAATAGCAGTGTTTTTGGCACAGTAGCATAATTATGAACATTCGATCTAATCTGCGCATAGTTTTTTGGTTTTACCCCATTTTTAGTTCTTTTGCTACCACAAAATTAATATTCCATTCTGATAGTTGTCTGCATACAATAAAAATCAGAATAAAAAAACAAAACAACCTTCAAATTATTTCTTACATGAACAGCGTACATATAAAGTAAATGTGTACATTCATGTTCCTATGTACTCTGATGTATCAGTTTACCTTCGCTTTTGAAGCCGTGTACTTAAAAGTGCTGTATGAATTAAATACGTTATTGTGTAATTGACAATTGATTTAGTATTACATGGATAGCAGTTTTAGTAGCATGACACCAATTAACTAACTCTACTGATATCCGATAATATACTAAATTGACCGTTAGTTCCATAAGTAAATGCTTATCATATAAAGTAACTGAGGAAATTCATCAGCAGCAGAAACAAAATTACTAACACAAGTGGATGAGAGCTTTTAGATCATCTGGGGAGCAATTACAGCACATTATGAATGTTATCTCCTACACCATATAGCCAGCAGTTATTACATATGTATGCAGAGAGAGTCAGCGTTATCATACGTAATGCTTACTACCAAGTATTATTATTCTATGTACATGCATACAAGTTAAGTTGGCTGATTAAGTGATGTTGAATTTTAATTTTCTACGCACTCGTTCAGATCCAAATCCATATTTCACGTGGGAGATAGATAGCACAGACATGCTTCTTTGTATAAGACGACGACATGAATGAATCGTTGATGGCTTAAAAAATATCTCGTCCTCGTTTATTTGTTATTCAATAGAATAATAATACCTCGCGTTGCTTTTGCTTTCGCTGGATGATTGAGTTGTTTTTTAGACCGAAGGATGAACAACACATCGGCACCTTGATCGGATTTGAATGCTGGGATGAAAATTAGACATCACGATGATTGTCTAGCTGCAGCGTGTTTTGTCCAAGTTTTATTATGATGACATCTTGTACACACATTTATGGACGTGTGTTAAATGTTGGAAATTTATAGCCAACATGCATAGTTTAGAAATGCGATACGTTGAACTCGTTTTTAATTAAGCTGATTAATTTTGTTCCATGAGTTTGATTTGCTCGTTTTAAGCATGGTTAAAATGTATGTATCTATAATAAAGACCAAGTGCGAGATTTTCTGCCAAATTTTTCCACGCCCAAGAAATTGTACAATAATAATAATAATAATATGATGCAAGTAAAAATCTGTTTTAATAAAGTTTCATTATTTGAAGCGGACGATGAATATTACACAAGTTATCAATGCAGTAAAAAAATGAGTATCTAGCAAGTAGTAAGTACATTGCTGTTCCAGTTGTCAAACCAGCAACTTCTATCAAATGATGACCTGACGGACAATAAAAGCGTCTGGAACTGCAAAGTAGGAAATGAATCCTGGAAGAGATTAGGCAACCAACCACATATATCGTACCATTCAAACTAAATAAGCATATTAAGTATTTATTTTGACTTTCGATTGATATAAATTATCTAGTTCAGCGCAAAACTGAGTTGTATATGTACGTGTAGATGCGATGTACCCTAGTTTTGAATTAAAATCATCTTTGTCGTCGCATCTGTTCGTGCAGAAGTTACAAGACTTGAGTTGACCGAGAGTTCAAATTCAATTGATGATAGTTTGACTTTGCATGCAGTGTCTAATCGCTCAAATGTTATAACGTCGTCCTGTGCTCCAATTTGCTTGTCCTCACCCCGTCGATGCACTGATGCTCTATCGCGTTAGTCTACTTTTTCAACTTTTCAGTAATTGATGGAAACATGGGTTAATAGGAACTAATGAACGCAACTACTTTTAAGTAAACACAGAGCTATATTTTATTTTAATCTGTAATTTTTACGCAAACTGGCTCCAAAGTTGAAAACAGTTGATTGTAAGATTTTCATAACATCAACATTTTTTTAATTGCGTTGATTTAATGGAAAATTTGACTGGTTGACCAGCGGGGTAGATACATGTTGTGAATTTCTTTTACCACATAAATAATTTAATGCATATGATAAACGCGGTATGATGAGCCAAACAAATACAAATGCAAATAGCTCAATCAATAAGGTGAGAAGAAAAAGTATGTCATATGAAAAATATAAATATTAAATAAGTATTAAATAACTAAACTACGTCTCTAAAAATAAATTTTAGGGCGATCTGTTCATTTACATTTAGGAGAACAATGTTGACAATGGGCTTTAGTGACTAAACAAGAATCAACTTCACAAAACTAACATTAACTAAAAAGAATTTATCCTTGGGACGTCAAATGTAAATGGTATTTCCTCAAGCTTTATGGATGTAAACGACAAATGCAAAACTATCTCGAATAGTGATTTTCATTTTATATACAAAAAATATAATTCAAGCTAAATCATTCAATCTAGACTTGACTCGAGAGTGCCGAATTGTGTATACGAACATATTTATTTATGCAGTTGTTGTAAAAATAGAAAACATTGCTGCGGCGTTGCTGTACTGAATAAAATGCAGAATTCTTCGTCGTACGACAAGTCAAGTTGGATGGCAGCGATACACCGCAAATACCAATATGCCTGCAAATAAAATTAATGCAAATCAACCTGCTCGCTCACTAGTGATTATTTTCAAGAACAACAAGTTTTGAGGACTGTCACAATTTGTAAAATATCGTCCCAACAAAGCGATTAAGACTCACCCTGAAGTGGAATTCTTTCAATACGGCCAGAATGATAGAGCACAAGTTAATAGGAGCGCATTACTTCTATTTTCTGGTCACTCTGACTTCGATGACGGGCAATAGTTTTGCATATGTATGTAGCGGCATACGAACTAGAAATTTTCCATGAATAATTTACAAAACTTACTCCTGGCTGGAGTATTTCATACAGGTTTTTAAGCTAAATTTGAATTAATTTGGAGTGCAGTCGTAAAACTAATGCTGCCTGAAGTATTTTTATGTAAACATTTAAAATATTTTGAGGGTATGAAAATTGTCACGGGGTATCGAAAATCATATCGAAATTTCTATCATAAAAATGTTTATAATTAATTAGACGCACATATATTATATATGTACACGGACAATCTAGATATGTGCAACAGCTAGCAATGAGGAGTGAAAGATAATTAAGAAAATATACTTGCACAACGCGTCGGAAATGTGTTAATTTGTTTAGTAGATTTTAAGAAAATAAATAAGTAGATTTTGATGTATTTTTAGCATGAGTGAGAGCCTATGCAGTCGTTAGATCTTGGCGTCCATGCTGATAAACGAGTTATATGATGGATTTGTAATTTTACACGTTTTTAGACAATCTTATGGATCCGGCATGTAGTGTGTCTGTCCGTCTGCGAAACGCTAGCGGACTAACCACAGAACCGATTTGAACCAACTTACAACTTACTTAGTGTTAAAATATGCGTATCTCAATTAGAGTCCGGTCAATCCAGACAACGATTTAGTCGCCTGTAGACTCTGCCTAAATGAAAGGCTAAATCGGGCTAAATTAAGGCTGAACTGTAGGCTTTTAATGATTAAATATATGCATGTGTGAAAAAAGTATGATTATATAATTTATATACAAGCTCGAAGATGGATCAAATCAGTTAGCGAGGGGATTATGTGGGTCAATCCCCGAATGATTATTTTTAGAACAATGATAATTTTTGGTGTTGTTTTTTTGAAATATGTATGAAAATACTCCATAACATAACTTTAAAAACTGTATTTCGGTAACAATAATAGTGTCAAGCTACGTAAGCTATTTTCAGCGTCAAAATATGGTTAATTTTTTAAATGTGGGCGAACAGTATGTATACCCAAACGGATGAAAAATGAGAAGCCAACTTTCAAAATATATTTATTGTAATTATGACCATATGTATTACATTATAGGCCACTTTTTCTCAGTCTATTTAGTTTTGGTCCTTCAAATATGTCATCGCAATCTATTTGTAAATATTTGATGGCATTTTACTTTAATCCTCACCTTTTATAACCCTTGTGCACAACTATTAGAGCTAGAACCCAAATATCTCATAAATCCATATATCTATATTATGATAATAAATAAGACATGGTTAGAAGACGATGAATACTTATGTAGTTAGACCACGCACACTGTGTAGTTGATTTTACTGGATAAATACTAACAGATAAGACATCAATTTCAATGAATGGGTTTTGAATTACAGGGTGAACCAACAGGCAGATTTAAGAGTTTATTAAGAACCAAATAAAAATACTACTAAAAAAGCGATGAAGATCGAGAATAACCAATATTGGAAAAAAATTATAACTTCATTTCTCATTTCCCTCTTGAATGGATCAATTTGATTGAACGTATACTATTTATAACTCATTATGACAAGTTGAGTAGAGTCATCTTAGAAGATATAAAACGTCGAATTTAGCATATTGCTGTTCAAAATTAGTTTTGAAACTTGTTCTTTAATAATTTAAAGCATGATCTCAAATCTAATACCTTTTGAGTCTTCATACTTTTCAATTTGCATGATGCACATAAAATAGGATTTCCTCGTAAACGGGGATGAAAATGAAAATATGGTTTCCGTTACATAAACGAATTGTGAAATTATATGATTTATACCAAGAAAAATATAAAACTAGAAGTTTTATTGAGGAAACAACATGTTGCTTCATTAAGAAACAGCAATTCTCAATTCAAATAACATCTAATAAATGAGTATTAATTATGACATTATGAGAAAAAATAAAATTGATACAATGTGTGAACAATTAGAGCGTTCTACACACTCGAGTTCCCACCTAAGCTACTCAATTCTCTACCTGAACTTTACTCTGACAATTGATAATCACCTGCACGTACCGACTAGTTAAACCACCAAATAACTAACTACATGTCTAAATCAAAACCCAAAAAAATAAAATGTACATGAAAATGGACATGTTTTTCCTAGAATTTAATTCAACTAAGGGTGCCAGCTACCCAAAGGCTTATTTCCTTTATTTGTCTTGGATTATGTAATCCATCCAAAATACTACAGAAAAATTTATGACTGTTTGATTGAGAGGAAGTTGAGATAAGTTGAATGAATTGAGTTGCAGTGAGGCAACGTGAGACAAGGCAAGATGAGAAAGTGGCTTGGAGAACGTAGACCATAGAGCGTTAAACGTTTAGAGCGTTTCGCTCCTCTTTTGTGCTTCGTCCCATCCATCCTCCGCCGGCCAACCACCCATCACGGCAAAAATTGTTCATTGTCTGCTAATTAATTCCCAGCTCCATAAATTTGGATAAGCCCTGCCTCCCACCTGCAATATATAAGAATATGAATCGTCGCCGTCGTTTTGAGGAGGTCGAAGGTGAGAGGACTTTAATAAGATTCACTTCAAGTGATCTTATTAAATTTTGGCAACTAATAATTTGGTTTAATTGATTTACACCATCTTAATTCATAATTCAGTGCACAAAACATAATAATACTGTTTACTTTCAAAGGGGGAGATCGAAACTTTAAACGTCGAAGGACATCATCCTACAATGAGAAAAAAGAAGAGGACCCAATCAAGTCGCTGATTTGCAATGCTGGAGACAAAAAGGTACAGATAATTAGAGGAAATTGCCTTTTTGCAGATTTAATCCGTTACGTTACACATATTTTGCAGTCAGCTTCAGTTGAAACAAGTATTGAAGAGGCAGCCAAAATGTTGGAAAATGAGCTGGCAACACAAAAGCCCAAAATTTTGGCAACTCTGGTTGAAGTTGTAACGACTCTTCCGGAAAAGTACTCAATTTACTCGACATTGGCCGGATTACTAAATGCTAAGAATTACAACTTTGGTGGTGAGGTAAGTCTGCTATGATGATCATGAGATATGATACAAGTTATTATATACCCAAGAACTAATAACGTTGAAAATTATTTTTATTTGCTTAATAGTTTGTGGAAACATTGGTGAAATCATTTAAAGAGTTTCTTCGAAATATGAATTGGAGAAATTGCCAGTACACTGTACGATTCATTAGCGACTTGGTCAACTGCCATGTTGTTTCTGCAACTTCATTGCTCCAACTGTACGACAGTTTTATGGAAGGTGCAATTGATTCTGCTATTCCGCAGGTTTGTGTGGAAGATGAGAAGATGATTTTCTTAAAGAAATACAAAAAGGCTGGCCAATAATCAACAAATTACTCTGTAGGTTCGTCGAGACTGGTTGGTCTATTCAATTCTATATTGCTTGCCTTGTGTTGGGCGTGAATTGTACGACAAAAAGGAACAAACGGTGGAACGTTTGATGATAACAATCGATAATTATATGAAGAAACGGAGGAGGACGCATATGGGAATGCTACGTGTTTGGTCTTCTGATGAGCCTCATCCACAAGAAGAAGTGCGTTATACCTTCATATGCTTTCAATCTGCTCAAGTGACACATGTCAATAATTTTATCTTTAATACTAATTGCAGTACTTGGATTGTCTTTGGGCTCAAGTCGAGAAATTAAAATTGGACGGTTGGATGGAAAAGCATATCGCACGTCCTTACTTGGCATTCGACAGTATTTTGTGCGAAGCTTTGCAACACAACTTGCAACAAATATCGCTACCACCGCATCATGATGGAATTAGATATCCAATTCCAAGTGTGGTGTTTCGAATGTTTGACTACACTGATTGCCCAGAGGTAAGAGAGATATATATATATAATAATTTTTATTATCATACCGTCCAATTCCATTGAGTAACGTGTTGGTTGTAGGGCACAATGTCACCCGTTCTTCCAGGTGCACATTCGATTGAACGATTTTTGATTGAAGAAGAATTGAGAGATATTCTACGAAAATACCATTTAGAGCGTCGGGATTGGTGAGCGCAAACTATAATTTTTTGGTCTAATAAGGCAAACACTAAAAAGTCTAACGAAACAACAAAATGATAAACTGCTTCATAAAAAATAGTGCTGCAGCTCTATTGGAATATCCTCAAAACCATCGAGTCCCTGTTGAGTACATGGTGGTTGAAATTTTATTTGGAGAATTGTTTCGATTACCGACCCCAGAGTATTTGGAAATTTGCTATGGATCAATTCTTATCGAGTTGTGCAAGAGTCAGCCTGCAATGATGCCTCAGGTATGTTATTTCTGAAATTATCGTCTTAATATCCACCGCCGTTATTAAATAAAATTACTTTGAACAAAATTAGGACCAGAGAATCGAAAGAGATTTTAATACAATATTTTCTCCACACTTTTAGGTTTTGGCACAAGCAACCGAATTGCTGTTTGATAGATTGGATACCATGAACGTGATCTGTATTGATCGGTTCGCAAATTGGTTTTCCTACCACTTGAGCAATTTTCAATTCCGTTGGAGCTGGACAGATTGGGTGTATGCCATGAATTTTGATGCAGAGCATCCAAAATCTAAATTTATTTCTGAAGTTGTTCAGAAGTGCATTCGGTTAGTCGGAGTAAAGTTCCTAAAGTTGAATAAGTTTACGATTTAAAATTAATCTTCTTATTGGTAACTTTCAGACTGTCTTATCACGAGAGAATCATCGAAATGATTCCGGTAACAATAATAATTATTATTTCGGGCAAGAAAGGTATGAGTTTATTTATTTTGGTATTAATAAGTGGGGCGGTTAATATGGACTGGTTGTGCTGAACTCCATAATTAATACCAAAGTCATAACTTACTTAGACCAATTTAGAACCTCGCCCAATTTGTTGCACCTCTCCCCCCAATCCATGTTTTATTTTTTAATTTTTTGTCGTATTTCAGCAACCGTTTCAGCGTGTTTTCCCTGAACGCAGCACGGACCCGCTCTACAAGTTTTACGAAGGTGACAAAGGTACGTATACCCATTTTTTATTATTATTCCAATTTTTATATGTTCAACTTAAAAACTAAAGTTCAACAATGCAAAATTACATGAGAAAAATTCTGTATACTTTTTGAAACTAAAAATCTAATATGTAACCTCCTTTATTGTTAATATCGTTTACTAATTTTTGTTTATAGTACCATCGTTGTCGTTCTTGCTGGTATTTGTCGCTATATTTGAATCCGCTGTTATAAGGCTTCGGTTGACGAATTGGATAGTATTTCTTTTCGTTGTCAACAAGGTTTGATATCGTGTAGGGACGCTGAGTATCGTATTTTGTGTCCTTATTTTGTTCAACTTTCTTTGTATCTGGTTTATGGTTGGTTTTATTATTATTCAGTATTTGGTGTTTCCCAATTCCCTTTCGTTGTTTCGTATGATCTTCATTTGGAGTTAAATGGTTTGCAATTCTTTGGCCGCTGTTGTGTATGTTGAAATCCATATATGCGGGTGGAAAGCGTGGTGGGTAGTTGACAATAAAGGGCAGTTGTTCAATTGGTAGAATTGGTTGAATCATGGGGGGTATTTGCGCATCTGGTGGGGGTAACATTTGTTCGCTTTGATGCTGTTGTTGTATGTTGTGAGGGGAAATTATGTCTTGAATAGACTTTGGGAAAGTTGGCGGCTTTGGAAGTTGTACCTCCTCCTGTTGTTCAGGTACAACTGCAGGCAAATTTGTGGGGTTGACAGAAATGGGGGGCCCATTACCTAATTCCTGGCTGCCATGAATATCAGGCTCAGAAGGAGGAGGAGATAATAAAGATAATGGTTGTTCTGGTGCCACTTGCGATGGAAGATCGTACTTAATTGGCATATGAATGTTTAAATCGCTGTAAGGAATTGAGTGATATCCAACGTTCGGGTCGATGAAAGCATTTATTTGTAGAGCGTTGTTGTACTGCTCGAGTAAGCCAGGATCAGGGTAAGGTTGCCCGTTTTGCAAAATGACGCCAAGATTTAACCCTTCTCCAACCCCCACAGGTCCTCTGTGTGCATAGTGTGGCTGTGGACTAGGAAGAATTCCTTCAAGTTGATTAAGATGAAAATAATTTTGATGATTTACGAAGGCCGGGTCTGGTTTAGAGTTCCGTGTTATTATCGTGTGCGGATGCCCACGATGAGGTTTGTTGGAATTATAATTTAGTTGGTGTTGTTGCTGGATGTGCAACTGCATTTGGTCGTTTTGTTGTTGAAGTTCAACATGATTTTGTGAATTCTGAGCATTTTCATAAAAGCTTGTGAAAGGGTCGATTGACGAAGGATGGAACATTTCATTAGCAGAAAATGGGAAAACTTTTGGTGGTGTGGGGACGCTGTGAGGTAGAGGATAAACTAGGTATTGGAGGGCAGGTTGTCCATTCTCTTTAAAAACTCTACTTACTGCCCAATACGCTACCAAAATTTCACCAGGACTAAACAAATAGCATCCACAGTTTTCTACATTATATGGACTGTGTTCTTGACTTGGAAAATAGAGTTCGGATGCTACTCGCAAATGCAAATGTCCATGTGGGGAATTGACGAGGATTCCAGATACAATGGGACCCTCTTCGGATGGAAGGTAGATCGTGCCGTATGGAGTCGTGGAGACCTGAGCCATTTTGTCCACATATTGCAAATGAGCAGATTTTATTGACTTCCAAGTCTCAGGGAATCTTATTTTAAACTTTATTAACTTTGCTGGCTCGTCATGTCGAGTATACACTGAATTTTTCCCGTCAATAATCCCTTGTCCATCAGTGATACTTTGGTATAAGGCACGTTTAAGGTATTTCACCCATGATGATGGGATCCGTTTTACAACTTGATGATTTGTGTGCTCTGTTGCAGCATTTTGTAAACCTGTTGCGACTGGGAATAGCTGATGCTTCTGACTTGTAATGTTTTCTGAATTGTTCCCTGGAACCCTTTTAGATTCCCAATTAATAAACTTGTTAACTATTCTCGATTGAATTTGAGGCTCCACTGTTCCATGTTCCATGTATGAATTACTGTCAGTTTCCACATTTGTTGGACTCCTTGAAACTCGGTAGGATTTTATTCCAATCGTTCCTTTTCTCATGTCAGCATTTTTTTCTAATTCTGAATTTAAAAAGTTTTGCAAGAATTTAGATTCAGCCAAATGTGACTGGGCAGCACCGAAATTGATATCATCATTCTGACTTTCTGGAACTACTAATCTTGGGCTTGAGGTTGTGTAGCGTTTTTGTTGATGATGATTCCCTTGATATTTTTCATTAATACTTTCGAAAATTCGATCTGTAGAAGTTACTTCACCCTTGATTGGAATAATTAATGTATAAAATGATCTGGTTGAGTTATTTATCGCCACATTTTTAGCCACAGGCTCAAAATTACTTCCTTCTCTAGACACTTCACGTTTAGAATTGCCTCCAATTGCTGTTCTAGATGCATAGCTGGGAAAGCTTTCCAGTGGGGGCGGTGGCGTTTTTGAGAATGTAAGACAACAAGGTGGGAGATAAAATTGGGAAAAGTCAAGTTTACATTTCACCACACTCACGACCATCAACAATATCTAAGTGAAAAGATTCAGTAAGTTTTCAGTACGAGAACAATGTTAAAAGCACAAAATTTCTGTTATTTTATAAGCGCTTACCATTAATGGAGACTTCATGTTTAGCTTTTTAGACACTACTTGTCGACAATCTCACAATCATCATGCTTTATCTAAAGTCACTACTTGAAATTTTATTTATCCAGTTATCGTTTAAATTTTTTTTACACAAATAACTATCCGTCAGGATTGTTATTCATTCTGCGTCCAGCAAGGCACTCGCACTTTGATCAAGATTTGCATTTAAATCAGACAAAATCACAAGACTGATTTGTCTACTTCCGTTGAGATTTCTTTTTCACAAGCACAATGGGCGTAAACAATTTAATGTATGTCTCTTGAGGGCAATCGTGGTGTGCTTTATGTTGACCAAATTCTGATCTACGACAAAGAAAATGTCCAAACGGAAATTACTTTCAGCTCGACTATGTAGTAACTCTCATGACATGAGTTCCATATGTGTAGGCACGTAATTCCATATTTTAGGCCCCAGACCCCCAATTCTCAGGTTCTATCAAACCAAGCATATTATATAATATATATGTTTAGTTGGCATTTGGGGTGTGATTAGTATAGAATAAATTTTATTATTGCTGTAAGATGTTAATTATGAGAAATGTCATAGTCTCAAAATATTATCTCTTTAAAACGTAGCTTGGCCTATGTACGTAACGTAACTGGTAGACAACATCACAAAATAATGTCACAAAATGGCTCTAATTCTAGCCAACTACTTATTAGATAGTGCACATGTGTCATGGATGTCAGATTGACGAGACGAGTTGGTTAACATGATTATTACTGGCGCACTGGTTAAGTGTGCCTGCCTATATTGTCGAGGCTTGCAAAAGTCTTATTGTTTTTGTTGCTCATCCGAGTCTCATTTGGGTGCTACGCAAGCTTAGGATTAGTCACCTTTAACAGACAAAGCTATGTAGAAGCTTTCTGTATTATAATTCTGAATTTTTACATGTTTATAGAATTTGGCGTCATTTCGATTATATCAGATTAACCAGAAAATTATAATTTTTTTAAGAAATGCATGGCTGTAAATATGATTATGTGCAAGTCTTTACTTGACATAGTTAAATACCAATAAATAACCGTTCAGGGATTCTGTATTTCAATTTCATTTTTTTTTGTTTAGCATAAAGTAAGCCGACAATTTAGTTGGGGTAATTTAGTTTAACAGTTAACGCTCACTGAATCTGTTAACATTCTTTCATAATTGCTACTTTAAATATGTTTGGGTTCCTTACTGGGTGTGTAATTTGTTTAATGTAAAAGTTTCCTGGTCTCCATTGTTGAGGATAAAGTTTATGCATACCGGTTTCCTAGATATGCATTCGTACAGTGACATTTCACTTTCGATTGTCATTCCTGTTTTACTTTTTTGATTGAAATGTTATCTAAATTAAATTTGAAGATACCCTGAAACACGGCTTTAACCGATTTTTGAAACTTTAATTATAGTCTAGAAATTAGTTTAGTCGTTGTACACAGGAAATAGTAGTGACTGACGACTGACAAATTAGATTAGTTGAAGGCTGTAATTACTTTCATTTTGCATGAATGACTTTACTGAATAGAAAATTGGACAACCATTGCTCACGACGACGACGACGAGGGAAAGCAATGGGAATGTTAATGTTTATTGGAATAATCAATGAAAACATTATTATAATCCTTATTGTTGTAACTTCCATTACTTTTCGATTTCATTAGGTACTTTAGGTTAATGTTAATGTCTCGTGTTTGCTAATCTCAGATCAGTTCTGCTTTAAATTAGATACACTTTTCTACTCCCATGAGTCTCATGCACATCTCTCGCAATAAATTTTATTGTGTCATGTGCTCATGAATGCAGTGTGGGTGAGGAACGCTGCGTGAGGCGTAGATGCACTTAAGTCTTGTACAAATGTATGCATATACACGTAAGAAACAAGCATTAGACATCGCAACCGCCAATGGAATGAAGCCAAAAACCATATATATTCTTGAAATCAATTTAATTTTGAATCAAATTTAAAAATTTGATGCAATTTGGTCACCTTGTATGCATGTGATAATCCGTTGAATGGAACCTGTGACCGATCACCAAGATTTATGTATTTCAACGTTAGAAAACAGAAACAATAATGTGCAATATAAGGGCTTACCGAAAATTAAACCACATTTCGTCTGCCCATTGACCTTCTTTTTTTATTGCGCATTGTGCAACAAGAAATGACGCGGAGTCTAATACATCTTAATAATGTATATGTGAACATCTATGTAAAATTATGAAATATTGTTTACGCATCACTAAAAATTAACATTAGTTGTAGATACTGTTATATTGGGTTTGCTGAACTAGAAACATTTATTTGAACTTGTTCTTGCAGAGGAGAAGAATATTGTTGGATGGACACAGTCCAAGCAACTTCAAGCTGCTTTCCGAGGAAAAGCAGCACTTGATGAAATTTCAGTGATTATGCGAGAAGGTTGGTTTTCAATATTTTCAAAGGTGAAACTCACGAAGACTTGAAATGCAAACATGTGCTTAATAAATTTCTGTACATTTATAGTCCCAAACCCACTGGATGACGATGAAGCAACCCACAATCCAATCGCTATTGACATATTTTCTCAAACGGTTTTCATGCTTGGATCAAAAAGCATCAGTCATTGTCAAACTGCTATTGCGAAATATCAACTTATATTCAAGGCATGTCTATTTAATATGTATATACTTGTATATCTTCCCATTAAATTATATAATTGCTTTGTAACACTTGTACGTTTCCAATATTTCTATATAATTTAGGAATTAGTGCCCAATGAAGATGCCCAGCTCTGTGTTTTGAAGGCTGCTCATGACGTTTGGAAAAATGACACACAAATGATGGCTATTGTCGTTGAATTGCTTTTGAAATATCACATTATTGAATGCGCTTCCGTTGCAAATTGGGTTTTCATGAAAGAAATGACTGGTCAATTTACTAGGTAAGTATGAATGAACGTTTCAATACAGTAGAGAATATCAGAGAATATTTGAGGACAATAACTCAGTTTTTAATATGTTGTATCCCAGAATTTACCTGTGGGAAATTTTGCATATGACCATACGAAAGATGAACAAGCACGTTGGAAAGTTGAGCACAGAGTTGACTGATGCGCGAGACAAACTTCGTAAAGCCGAGATGAATTCAAGTGACAGTGAAGCTGAGGAGGAGAACACGCATAAAGGGAAGGAAAATAAAGATATTCCCACAGAAGAGCAAGTTGATAAAATGGAAGAAATGTTGGAAGCTGCACAAGCAGACCAAAAGAATTTGTTTCTCATCGTTTTCCAGCGTTTCATCATGATTTTATCCGAGCACATTACACGATGCGACACTGATGGAAAAGCGTTCAACACTCCATGGTAAGTAAATTAATAATCTCTCTTAATTTAAGTTATGAAGTTTGTTATGTTTAGTTTAGAGTAAGTTTCCAGAATTTAAAACATTAGTGACCTAAGTTATAGTTTTCTATTCGGACGAATAAATAACCTGCTTTATTGTATAGGTTTCGATGGACAATTGGGAGATTACAACAAGTGTTTTCCCAGGTGACGTTTTGAACTATCGTGTGCATAAAAGTGTGTCCCATTATTGGATGGTTGGATTTTACTTTGCATTTTGTATGAATTATAGCATGCTGACCAAGTAGCTCAATACAGCTCGACATTGGAGACACTGCTTTTTACGCAGGACTTGGACAGGAATATATTGGAAATCTTCCAACAGTTTCAAGCCTTGAAAGCTTAGAGCTGTTTTAAATCTTCACACATATATGTGCTGATTGATGCATGTTTAATACAGGTTTACTGAAGACAAAATTTTTTAGATAATTTTCAAATACTTAATTGGTTAATGAATATGGACATTTTAGAGATACATGTATCACAACTATTTAAATTGGCGTATGTAAATTGGCGAAATTTAAAGATAATAACAGAGCTGGACGGTTCTTAAATTCTCATGTATATGTATGTTGGAATGAATGGACTTTATTTGAAATAAACAAACCAAATTAAAAATGCCACAAATGTATTAATTTGAATTATCACTTTATATTGTTTCCGATTTCCTTGTTCAGTATGTTTTGTTACACCTTACACCCATAAATATGTTAGGCTTTTTTGTATTTAGCGATGACTGCCAAAACATCGTTGACATCATCTTTAGAGCCAAGGAAAATTGGGGAACGTTCATGGATGTTTTTGGGTTCGATGTCAAGGATCGAGATGCTCCCGTTACTTGCAATTCCGCCAGCTTGTTCCATAATATAGCCCATAGGGTTGCATTCATATAACAATCGTAACTAAAAATAAACCAAAATAGTTAGTGTTAATAAACGGAAATATTTGCAAAGTCGTAGAACATTTAGAAAATCCTGATAGCTTAGTTCTGATATTTTCGTTAATTGTGATGTTGTAATTGTACCTTTCCACTTGGAGCATCCTTTGTTGCTGGGTACATGAAGATCCCCCCATATTTTAGAGTTCGATGTACATCTGCCACCATCGATCCAATATATCTAAGTGAACGGTTGGAATAATTTTGATGAACCTTTGTCTCTTTATACAAATATAATTTCATAATTCTGTAATGTAAATTTTCATATTTACCTAGCACCGTAGGGCTTCCCAGTCTATATGAAAAAAGCAATCCATATTGAATGTCGTGTAAGACGATACAAAATTTCAATGTCCCATTGGACACTCTAACTATGATTATTTACCTTCGGGTTCTTTTTCGATTCAACATATTCTTTCACAGCATCATCCCAAGTGCCGGCATATCCTTCATTGATGCTGTAAATCTTTCCCCGAGATGGTACAGTCATTTTGGGGTCCGTCAAAATAAATTCCCCAATCGCCTGAAAAATGAAAAAAAATTTTTTTTGGCTGCAACACTCAATAGTAATAAATCTGTAGACCGTGCATACAGGGTCTAACATAAACCCATTGACGCCCTGACCGGTGGACAAGACCAAAGCTGTTGCTGATCCATACAATGCATATCCAGCTGCAACAAGACTTTTTCCAGGTTGCAAAGCGTCCTCTACAGTGGGATTGCTCTTGGAAAGTCTCCTGAATAATTTAAACGAGACAGAATAGTAATGATAAGCGATCATTAGTGATTCTGAAATACTTTAGTCTTTATCTAGCTAACTTATAAATTCCAAAAATAGATCCAATGGAGACAAGGCAGTCAATGTTGGAAGATCCATCCAATGGATCAAAACAAATAATATACTTTCCTTGCTTCTCAGTTTCAACCTGTAAAAGCATGTAAACTTACATATATTCATTCGATGTCATAATAATAAGATCGTGAGACAAATTCCATTACCTCGATGACATTCTCGTTTTCTTCCGAAACCAGCAAACATGTTGTGTAGGAAGATCTCATGAGATTGATAAACAAGTCATTTGCAAGTACGTCCAACTTTTTTACTTCTTCTCCTTGAACATTTGTTTGTCCAGCAATGCCGTACCTTAGATATATCATGAAACAATTTATTTAATAATTTCCAATGCTTGTCAACAATATGAAAACTACATTTATTTTTTAGTAACATCGTTGCTGTATGTAAAATGCAATCGTGACGTATGATAAATGATGGATTAATGATGGGGCTAAGGGTAACAGATAACACATCAAAGTATTACATAATTATGGCATTTCATGTAAAACTGGGCTAACCAATAGCCAATCAGGCTAAATAGCGTACGTGATCTGAATAAGATAAAGGAAGGATCATACTATTTGGAAAATTTCTACGCTATGCGTACTAACAAATCATAGCATCACTGACGCCCCTCAATGAGAGCAAGTTGGAAAATATGTATCGTCATACGCGGTCATAAAGACTCAGGATTAATAAATAATAAAAATCGTCGTGTATTTAAATAATAACTGGTTAGAATTAAGTTGTCCTTACAATTTAGCCAGTCCAGCTTTCCGGACAGCGGATGAGATTGCTTTGACGGCGGCCTGGATGGTCTGAAATACGACAAAAAAATATTTGATTCGGACGATTTCTGTTCTGCCCTCTCTTAATAAAGTAATTTACCGTGAGGAGGAGGGTCATGTCCCCAGTCGCATCTGGGGCTCGGCGCTGCTCAGCTAGGACAAACCTCGTCAACGTCATACAATTCGTGTCGATAGTCCCTGCCGAACTCATCCTGGTTTTTATTTCCTAAGACGTGTAAAAACTTTGTTTTAAATTACAACTTCCAACTTTCCGAAACCGATTGACAAGACCAAGATCTGCAGACTGCAACAGTTAACAAGCAAATCGCAACTGTTACCTAAAATATTATTGAGATACGTGCTGCCGGCATAAAATATTCCACCAACCACTCGGTTAACTTATTTAAGCACTAACGTGATGTATTTCACGTGGTGTGGTATTATGAGATGCGATTTACATACAGCATTATGTATGTACATATTCCTTTCCATGCAAGAACAATATGTATGACTAAATCTCCTAAAGCCGGGTTACATGTGTGTAGTGTGTAATACACACTGTGTATATATATTATACTGCTTTTGTGATTAGTGAAGGATCAGTAGAGTTCATTATCAAACCGAACTTGTAAATATGACGTACATATGTACACAAAGATTCACATGTTCACAATCATTTCACAATTCACAAAATGCAAAAATCTGTAAATCTCCAAAAATCTCAGATTGAGGGGTTTGCAGTTTGCGCGAATGAGTCGCCCGTTGCCTTTTATCCGAATGTTCAAGATTTTGGATTTGAATTTTGCATCGAATTAATTAAAATATCGATAGTTTAGTTATTTCCATACGTCATAGGAAGTTCAACTTGCAATATATATTACCGCTCACATACATGTGTTTTTGTTTTTCTTTCATTTGTCGTCGATATCGATATATGCTCATTGCTGCTATCAACAGTACACAGTACCAACAAGGACTAACATGTCTTGCAACTATGCCGAAGGACTATCTCCTTATGAGCACAAAGGAAAATTAGGAATTCCGGAGGTAATTTTTGACCAAGACGATGAAACAGTTAGCTGCGTCAATAATTACTTAATTTGGTCGTACACAATCCTCAGGTTTTCGACGATGATGAAACAGTTGAGGTCAAAGTGGCGAAATTGGCAGAGTGGATTCGACATGCAAAACACGTTGTTGTACACACAGGGGCTGGGATAAGCACAGCAGGTTTACCTAATAATGAACAAAACTGAGAGTGTCACTATTAGTTGACACACCTGCTTAATCGTCAATTCTAATTTATAGCTGGCATCCCAGATTTTCGGGGACCACGTGGCGTTTGGACGCTGGAGGAAAAGGGACTGAAACCAAATGTCAACATTTCGTTCGATAATGCTACACCCACACTTGCTCATATGGGAATTTGTTCTTTGGTGCAGTCTGGTACAGTCAAAATTGTGCTGTTCTATGTATAATAATGATAGTTACATCATGTAACTTACATGATAGATTACTAAGATTACATTTAGTATTAAATTAGCATTTACTATTTCTATTTATATGTAGGGCACATAAAATACGTAATCAGCCAAAACATTGATGGGTTGCATTTGCGATCGGGATTAAAGCGGACAAATATTTCAGAATTACATGGTAATATGTTTGTGGCAAGGTGTTCATATTGCGATAGGTCAGTAAACTCTTCGTAGAAGTACTACACTACTTCTAAAACGTTGGTGTTTAAGATCGTTTCATGAATCTTTTCATCAGGGAATTTATTCGGCCAACTTCGGTACCAACTGTTGGACAAAAAGAAATTGGAATGGATTGTCCTTGGGTGAAAGCTGGTGGTCGCATTTGTCGAGGAAAATTACGAGATAATATTCTAGACTGGGAAGACAACCTCCCAGACAAAGATCTGGACATGGCCGAGATGCATTCCACGTAAATATTTCTGTCTGACTTATCAAACTGGTTTCTACTAATAATAATTAATAATCATGTCTTCATTGATTTTTTAAAGGATTGCCGACTTGAGTATTTCACTTGGTGAGTTAATTTATTATTTATTAGGAAGGAACGACACAGTACATAATATGCGTATAGTAAACAATTTATCAGCTTGGATTTAAAGGTACAACGTTACAAATAATTCCGGCTGGAAATTTACCCCTTAAAGCGAAAAAGAATAATGGGAAATTCGTCGTTGTTAATTTACAACCAACCAAGCATGTACGTATTCTGTTTTTGCTAGCTTGATATTAAACTAAAAGATGAATTTGTAACATCTCTGTTTCTTTTCTCTAGCACAAAAAAGCTGATCTCGTGATTCATACGCAAGTTGATAAAGTTATATCCAAGATTGCGGCCATCCTAGGGGTTGAAATTCAGCCATATTTACCAGAGATTGATCCTACATGTATTCTTCAAACCTTACAAGACTCGACAAATTCATGGAAAACTCGTTCACTTTCCGACTGGACAATTGCTGGTAGCTAAAGAATTTCTTGTTTAATGTTTTTCATTGTCCCAATGAAAATTTCTCATTGTACATGTTATTGTACATGTTTTTTTTTTTTTTTTTTTTTTAATATGTAGCAAACCAAACTAACTTTTCTGTTTATTGTATAATTTGTAGCAGCATCTGTATCGAAGATGAAAAGCATTGCTGCTGCAATAAAAGACAATAAGCCAAAAAGTGTTTCCAGAAAGAAACGAAAGACTGACAAAGTGAATGAGCCAATAAGTGACCATGAAGAAGAACAAGATCTTTTTGTTCCAACTAGGCCTCCAGAAAAGCAGGAAATTTGCCTTGCTGAACTTTCAAGAAAAAACACTGAAATTGTTCCAAATGGCGTCCACCCCAAAGATTCTAACGAATCCGATTAAACAACGATTTTCAGATCAATATATAATACTGTAGAATTGTAATTATTCACAATATTATATATTATATCCACGAATACTCAAAGGGGCTGAAGGACTGATCACTCGCGCCCATGGATTTATAGTAGCTATTTTCCCACCTTACAACTTGTAATTTTAATAAATCAACGAAATTCCTTTGTTAGAATTTCTAACAAATTTCTAACTTAGAATTAGATATTAAAATTTTTAAGTCCAAGACAAGTTTCAAGTGCATTAAAGTATAATAATAAAGATTAAAATATGCAATGCAAAAAAGGTGTACGTTTTATTTCGTTCCCTTCTCCTCTATCATGCAAAATGTGACCTTCGCTTGTCACAATGTATACACTGCCAAGTGTCATTGTGCATCTATTAGACAAGGCTAGGCTACTTTACTCGCAAACATATATCCAAAATCATGCAGATTTGAGATTACAGTAATCGTACAGAGTTTAAAAAAATTGCCGTACAAGTCAATTTCGTCATGAATATATTACAGGTTATGTTTATTACAAGTTAATTTCAACCATCGTACTATTCAATCGATTCAATAAAAAAGTAGCAAACTGTTACATTTACAAATTCAAGTTCATATTCAATTGAAAGGATATCACCACCGGAAGTATTATACAAATTCCATTCCAGTCAAATGACACTGATACGACTGTAAAAAAATACTTTCTACCACTTGTAGAAACTACCAGTAGGTAATTAATTTTTAAACTATTTTATAAGGTAAGTGATTCTATACTGGTTCATTTCACGGGCATTAAAGCTACCATCACAAACTGACTGAAAATTATCACACCCAGAGCGTCATGTACTGAGAAATTCATATTTAGAGTATATAGCAATAATTAACTAGTATTTCATTAAACAAACTTTGAAAAATGAATATTTAAAAAATAAGTCCATGGTAGTTTTTGAAAATGAAATTTTGTAGAAGGAATGCATCAATTAAATCGTCTAATGATGAACCAGTTTTTTGTTGCAGAAAGGAGATGCCTTATAGTGTATAGTAGATTATAGTATATCTTATTCGATGGGAGATGCTAAAGGATAACAGTGAATGGACGGGTTAAGTTGAGAATTCTGTAAATTCAAGAATAAAAAACTTTACATTTTAGACAAAAAGATACTTTCCAAATTGGAAATTCCAATGAATGACGTTTTACAATACCTTTGATTTTGAGCCAAATTATTGATCGATGTTGTTATCAAAAAGATTTTTTGGATCCCCAGGTTGAGCTGGTGGTGTTACTACTGGAAGCCTTGTGAGAAAATGAATTGGTCGTCATTTTCCCACCCGCAGTGCCTGCCGATCTGTTACGATAGAATGCATACATAAAAATAGGTTCAAATAGGATTTCAGAATGAATTGTACGAGTTTCATGAATAAAAACTCACCCGAAGGATGCGGACACTTGGGACTTGACAACTAGTCCAGCCTCCTTTTGAAGCCTCCAAAATCTTCCTCCCAGGGTGAGAGCGGGTGCGATTTTTCCAGATGAAGACATTTTGTAGTTATCTGACCAAGTTTTAGCGAGAAGATAAGTTTTAGAGGTTCACTGATCACCGTTCAGTCAGAGGCAGCCAAACTTTTTGGAGGCAAGAAAGAGGAAGAAACTACGGACGGAAGTGTGTGGATGGAGAATGCGGTGCGTGGTGGTTGGTGGTGTGCTCACTGCCAATGCCGCCCAAAGAATGGAATGGATCTTGTGGTGGTCGGAACCCAAAAGGAAGACTATTGACCGTCGCATACATCAAATCCTACGTTGTGCGAATTTGAGACAAGTCAGAGTCAGACGATGGTTGGAATGCGATGATTGTCTCATTTCGTAGAAAAACGTGAGCTCATTTTCTCTTTGATCTGTTGAATCATTAGAAGCATGCAATTTGACATGAGATTATTCCATTAGCCCAGCCAGAGAGAGGTGAAAAAGAACGATGGGAAAACCACAAGCATAGAATAAGAGTGACGTTCCTACAAGAATTTGGTCTCTTCCATTCAATTTGACTACCTGAAACTGTATTACGATTATTTTTAGGTATGAAGAAATAGGTACCTACATTGTCTGTCTGTTATCAAACCTTAAGAGTTAATTTGCATGCTGCCCCTAAATGCTGTGCAACCAAATTAATGTGAATTTAGTTGCCTCAATTTATTTTGCATGCTGCTGCCAAAGTCATGCATGATCATCTCTTGTACGAACTTCACGGTATGCGTAGTAGTACCGTAGTATACAGTGAATTTGAATTATATATTTATTTTCTACTAATTTCATTGCCACGCTTTTTCTTCTAGTCAAATGCAATTCCTGGGACAATCATAGTTTCAATTTGTTTAGAGACTGAGACTGCTGAGAGTGGTGGGCTTACCAACGTCCCTCAATTTGAGATTCTGAAAACTTGAAAGTGCAAGGATCTTGTTGAACAATAATTTGTTTTATCAAGTGATAACGTACACATTTTGCACTTTGGACTTTTAAAATAAAAGTGAGATTTATATGGATAAATTATAATTACTGCAATCATATGCATGCACCAACGCTGGTTTTAATATATTTTACACAAAAGTAAATACATGCATGTATATAGTAAATTGACGCGTCTCCTGTTCTATAAGAATGCCAATTACTAATTGCATATGAGGTTGACGTGTTATGATTTTTAATAACTAGAGCAAGTTAATATCAAGGGCATATTTTGAATGAAGGTGTCTGTCAGTCAGTCTCATATTTTTTGTTGGATTAGATCACACCCACCAAATTGATTGGTTGGCTCTCAAGGCGTGTCGATTTGCGTCACATCATTGGCCTGACTTGCAGTTTAGCAATGCATGCACATTTTTTACCAATACAGGAACATCAATTGTACTTACAATAACCAAATCTGAATAATCACCCAATGCACAATTATTCGAATGACGTTTACAAATGAGCTCCCTTTTCGTTAGGCACCGTCCATAAAATAAATACATACATATACAAAAATTGCGATTTTAACTCCCATCTTTTTTACCATGATAATATTAGCACAATATCATGGACCTCTCTCCCCTACTGCATTACGCATTTTATGGATCCAACCCAAGCCCCAAGTAAAACAATTGCATGTATAGCATTCTTAAACAAAACACCTCAGTATATGTATGTACTGTAAGGAAATGTAATATTATTCTCAAAGTATATATTGTATAATTTCACTGTCACTACATCTAACCCTACTTTACTCAATAAAGCATTTGAATTGCATTGCATAATGCTACATTTAGTCTAAAGGTATAATTTATTATAGACATGACATATTGATAAATTACAAGATATTTCTAAGTTGACTCTGGGAGTAGAGGGAAAACCCCGACATTGATGTGTTGAGAATTTAGTGACAATTACCCTGGCTTTATTGCTCCGAGTAAAATGAGTGATATTAAATATAAGTATGTACTTGGATCAAAACTGGCCACGAGAAATAAAAAATGTCTACAACTAGAACAACCTGAATAAACTGTCACAGCGCAAGCAGCTAAAGAGTGAAACCGGCGAGTCACAGGTCAAAACGGTATCATTTATTTCCATGTTCCCCTCCAAAACTCTGCTAAAATTTACACGTCAAAAGTAGACATTTTTGGCCTCTACTACACGGTCAGCGGGTCATCGTAGGTCAAAATGATAGATTTCTCTTTAAAAATACTTTCGATTTGAGTCCCCATAGGATGTCATTCTAATTTAAGAAAGTCATTACCTGGCTCCATGTCCATGACCTGAAGACCTACAGTGCCCATCGTCGAATTCGTCCTGTCCCTTGACGTTACGAGTTTACATTGAAACTTCGAAGTTTTAAGTTCTTATGTCTTTCGTTCACGAGTTATCGGACCAACAGACAGACAAATAAACTACTTCTCAATCTGAGATTAATGTCGTCCCTAATTTTGAATTCAATTCAAAATTGGACCGAAGTTCAAATGACATTTGACATTGAAACACCTTCGACACACGATTGCTTGACTTTAAGTATCTAGGTAACGTTAGTCTCCCTTAAGGGTAACTAGGCACTAAAAGTCAAGCAATCGTGCCTTCGACATGTTTCAGAGACACATGCGACATGCGTTACCTAGACACTAAAAGTCAAGTAATCATAGACATGACCCATTATCAAGTAAAATGGATGTCTGCACTCAAACCACAGGATGATTCAATTCGTTTCCTCTTAGGGTGCGGCCGTAACTCAGTCAACGAATTAATTTTTAATTATTTGATAATTTGGTAGATTTTGCCAATCACTGACAATGAAGCCCGAGTCAGGGAGTAGTAGTTAACGATAAATTCGATATCAAGTGCATTACACATTTTATTGTATTCTAATTATTTCTGAGGATGAATTGGACCATTTACTCTCGGGGTGCGGCCATAACTGGGTCGACGAAAATGTTTTTTAATTATTTCCCTATTTTTTAATTGCTGACTCATTACTCTATTTTGCATGACAATATTTCTACACACACATTTTTATTTACAGAAGGGGAGCTCGCCCCGCTGGATACGAATTTGACCTTAGATAACCCCGGAACGGTTTGTTGTAGAGGGTCCAAATTTTGAACAGACGAGCATGTTGTCCTCAACAAATTTTGTGCAAAAAACCAACCCTCTACTTTCAAAATTGCCTCCCCCACGGCCCCCAGAAGTTGAAACAGTCATTTCAACTTGTTCTAGAAAAAATCTTTAACGTCTTTGCAAAAAATTGTATTTGAATTTTCTGTTGAGGAATAGGAGTGAGTTATTGGTGACAATTGACGAAGCACTATTTTCCCTACAAGTTACTAATTGGGTTCGAAGAGCTTACTACACGACAAATGCCGAAAAAAAATTCACGAAATTTGGTTCTTCCCCGTGAGGAGAACTTTTTTAAACAGTTTGTGGTTGTGGGTGCAATGTCGGGTCGTGGTGTCCTCCCACTTATCAAAGTCCCCCAAAAAGTGAAGGAATCTTCGAAGTATTATGTGGACCGTGTATTGAAACCACTTTTAGAACAAGATTTGCCTAAATTGTGTGATAAAAAAATAAATAAATTTGGTTTCCACAAGGATAGAAGTAGTGTTAAAATCAAAACAAATTCCTAGTTCGGAATAAAAAAGAACTTTCCATCGTAGGCCAAAAGTGAACTTTCTTTGGTAGACAACAGTTCGTTGCCACCGTAAAAGAAAGTAGAAATTCACAGAAAAAGGCCACAGACAAATATCAGTAAAGTCCCTATAATGTTACTAATTGCCCTAGTAGCTCAGAGGTCAGAGCACTTGACATGAATTCAAGGGAGCCGTGGTTCGATTCCCGGCTGGGTAACAATTTTTGGCATTATTCGGGATTTACGTATTTGATTTCTAAATAAATAAGGTGATTTTTCATGATCACGCAACGTCTTCCCAGACGGCAAAGTTCACCCAAGATAATGCAAAAGACCTTAAAGCTAAATTAGGGATAAAAATCATTTCAAATAGTGAAATACCTGTACCATCTCCCGATGTAAGTCAAATGGACTTATTTGGGGTTGGCTACTTGAAAAGAAAAAATTTTCTTCGGAAACCAAATTTTTTAGACGGAGTTTGCAAAGAGTTGAAACGAGTGTCTCAACTTCTGGGGGCTGTGGGGGAGGCAATTTTGAAAGTAGAGAGTTGAATTTTTGCACACAACTATCTGAGGATAACATGCTCCTCTGTTCAAAATTTTGACTCGCTACGACAAACCGTTCCGGGGTTATTCAAGGTCAAATTCGTATCCAGCGGGGCGAGCTCCCCCTGTATTATTCTTCCGAGATTGGCATGCCATGCAAAGTGTTAACATCTTTACCAAAATTTGTATGTGCTTCCGTTTTAGGCCTTTTAAGGCCGTGAGCGAGAATTTCCATTTTTGCGTGATATTTTTCTCGCGAGGGAGATAAATATATATTCTCGCTTAACAAACATTTAACTATCCATAACAAGGAGTTTGGTAATATTATGTCGGTCAATTCGGAGAAAAATTTAGAACTCTGACTCACCGAGTTGGGACTCTGTCCATGTCCCTGGCTCGGCTATATGGAGTCTGCCTGCACCGTAGGTTTTTATTGTGTATTTTAATTTTTAATTTATTATTTGATTTCTGTTAGTAAAATTGTAACGCACAAGCAGTAAAAGTATGAATTTGTGGAACTTATGAACAGACAGACAGCCAGACACATGGATACACAAGGCTGGATATTATAATATCCAGCATTTAAAAAAAATTAAAAAAATTAACTTTTCTGAGTTACGGCCGAACCCAGAAACACCGGCGTAGCCGTTAGTGATTGAAGAATCCTGCTCAAAGCATGCCTCTGGTTTAAAAATATATTTTGATCACCGTTTTTCAATATTCCAGCTCATTTTATTTAAGTAACTTTGACCATTTGAAACTATACAGGATTGGCAGGATATTGAGGTTGAGGATAATGCAAGGAATAGGAAACAACTCCAAGAAAAAGTCAAAAAGTGAAAGTGATACCGATTTCATCTCACGACGTAGCTTATTAACTCAAATGCATAATTTATTAATTAATACAGTTACCTTGTAATAATTGACTCTTAATTGACTGATTGGAGCAGAAGGTGGGGGCAGTTCTAGTTTAGGAAGTGGAAGAAATGATGCATTTCAGTCCCGGAGTCTTGGGGCCACGGATATCGAGAGTCGTCAGTGCGAGGGTTTCACACCCGAACTCAAAGAGCAAGAGCATAAAGAATCCGAAATAATCCTTGAGCCACCCGAATACATTAAGCATTGGAAACGTCAAGACTTTACGGGACAAACATATGGATATTTCTCTTTGGTTCGGAAACGAACAATTTAGTAGAAATTATCACCAAAAAAATAATGATAATGATATGGATGATATTGCAGTTTCGGTTCAGCAAACCAGTGGACAGATTATATTTTATTTTTGGAGCAATTGCGGCGTTAATTAGTGGATTTTGCACTCCAATTTTAATAACTACTTTCGGAATCATGGTTCGCTCAATGGTACTCGTGTCACATATTCGTTCAGCCATTTCGAATAATTCAATTTCTGGGAACAAAAAAGCGTATGAAGATTTTTTGTCTCAATGTAAAAGGGACAAGTAAGTTTCCTCTGCACATGCAATTTTAAATTATGATTCACGCATCATTATTATTTAAAATATTACATATGTATATCACAAATACTTACACATGTCTTTGTCATTTGGTTTAAGACCATTTGGAGGAGTACCCTTGGACTTTGAGTCTTTAAATAGCGTTGTGTACAGCAGTATTTATGAATTTACCCTCTGGCATGGGATAACTTCGGTAATCTTTACGATATGCAGCAGTCTATACTTCATTTGCTGGCACATAGCTGGCGACAATCAAGTAATAAAAATCATCGCCTTCGTAATTGAGGCTTTCAAATTATTATCGATCCAACATGTCAAGTTAAGTTTGTATAAAATGCTATAGATTATTCGAATTAGAAAACAATATTTTGAGGCTCTTTTGAGGAAAGACTCCACGTGGTTTGAAACTCAAAAGGATCCTGACTCAGTGAATAAACTGATGGAGTAATAATTTTTCTCTATTTTCAACCTCAAAAATATACTGGGTTGACAATTTTCATAAATTCGTTATTATTGCTGTAAATTAATTAACTTTTTCAGCCACACTAAGGGTATCTGGGTTGGGATTGGCGAAAACATTCCAATTTCAATCAACATCTTAACCACGGCTGTGATATGCTTGATCATCGCCTTTTGTCATGGGTGGCAATTAACTTTATTGGGTCTAGTTGCCTTAATCCTTATAATATTCACAAATTGGCTGGTTTCCTGGACCAATTCTCATAAAATTTTGGCTGAACTCATAACATACAAGAATGCGAACAATGTGGTTGAAGAAACGCTGACAAATATTCGTACAGTCATGTTCTTTGGCGGACAGAAAAAGGAGCTCCTTCGATACAAAAGAAAGCTCGGGATGAATTCGCCAATGGTCATAAAGTGGATTTTTGCACACAGTGGAAGTGTGTTTCTCTTGTGGACAATCAACTTTACAATATGGGCAGTGGTGTTCTGGTTTGGTCTCACATTGGTAATTCAGCAGGGTCCTAGCTGCAAAGACCAGTCAAGCTATTCAGTCTACGATGCGGGGGATGTCATTGTAAGCTTCACAAGATTTTAATCTCACTTTGTAATACAAAATAATTTAGGGCAATAATTGCTTGCAGATTATAATATTTTGCGTTATATTCGGTGCTGGAAACGTGTACATGATATTACCTGTCGTGAAAGCCATCAAAGTAGCGTCAGGCTATGGTTGTAAAGTTTTCAAAGTTATAGACAGGTGTGCAAATAAGTATGTATAGTAAATGGAGTAACCTTCCAGTGGGGCATATCGAGATTTTGATGATGAAAATTATAATTTATTACATTATTCAGAAAGTCTCCGATCGATGGAATGGATGACGTAGAAGGAATGCAAATAATGCCCGATGATTTCAAAGGTTGCATAGAATTTGAAGACGTCCGATTTACATACCCGAATAGCAAAGGAGAGCCGGTGAGACATTATTCGACGAAATAAATATTAATATTGTAGGAATAATAATTTGAATAAATGTACATCTAAGTGATGCCCAATAAATGAATGTAGGTTCTAAATCACATGAATTTAAAAATTCATGCCAAATCAAAAGTAGCAATTTGTGGTTTGAACGGATCTGGGAAGTCCACAATATTGAAGTTGATTTGCAAGGAATACCTTCCAAACAGTGGATTTGTAGGCATAAATATTGGCATCTGCATACATACTTATGATTAGTACGAATGAATTTTTGCTGATTTATTATTTTCCGAACAGGTTAAAATTGATGGTAATGATATTCGTGATTTAAACACAAAGTGGCTGAGAAAACATATCGGAGTGGTTCCCCAACATGCTGATTTTTTCGACGACAGTATTGAATCGAATATCAGGATGAGCAACTTGGATGCTTCATTCTCAGAGATTATGGAAGCCTGCAAATGCGCAAATGCCCACACTTTCATCATGTCATTGAAAGAGGGTTATCAAACAAAAATTGGGACAAACGGGTATAAACTAACGATGGGTCAAGAGCAACGTTTGGCAATTGCGAGGGTATGCAAACTAACTATCACGTTCAACATATCGTAATAATGGGAATAATAATGAAGTTTTTTTCATTAATTTATTTGTGAGGCAGGCGCTGCTGCGGAATCCAAAGATCCTGCTTTTAGATGAGCCGGTCAAGTGGTTTTATGCACATTTGTATAAATAGTTTATAACTGGTGTCATAATAAACTCATTAAGATAACAAAAATTTTCATAGATGACAAATCTAGATCTCCAGAGTGGAATTACCGTGATGGATTCTATACAACGTGTTGCCAAAGAACGGACAGTTATTTTAGTCACTCATCGTCTTCATATGGTGACTGGGGCTGACCACATATTTGTCATCAAAAGGGGAAGAGTATGTAGCAGAGAATACGATTAATTTTCAAGAAACGACACCTTCCAGTTATTACATGCATCAGGTTGTAAACAGGTTGCTGAAAAGGGGATTCATGCAAATCTCATTAAAAACCAAGGACCCTACCACCAACTTGCTTCAGGAAACGTGGATAAAGCGTCCATCTCATTTCGTGAAGCTGTTCCTTTCCGAGAGTTCAACACGAGTGAAATTACAGCTATTCACTACATGAAAATGTTTGCATCAAAGTCTTTCTTGCCAAATATTTACCCTGACCTGATGAGTGTCGACCCGGTGGCAATCCAATGCACAAGTTTGCTAATGGAGCATGTCGTCATATCACATTATGCAGGACCCTTTAGAGACAGGGTACAAAATCTAATAGCATTGGAGAACGAAGAGGATGTACAATACACGCTTGAACTAAAAGATTCAATTGTCACTGACGATGACAGTTTGTCCAAATCTGAGTGTATGCTCAGGACTAATCCGGACAAACCCACGCTCAATAAAAATGCAGATGGTCAAGCCCGAGGTAATCTTGTACACGTAAAATGTTCAACAAAACCTTGGCATGGCATGAAATTCGTTTATCGAGGGTGAACAGAATTTCAATTCAATATAATAACAGGTCAAAGAACTGACCGATATAATCAATCCCAGCCGTATTTCTGGCAAGTATTTTGGTTAACTACTAATTCAACCTACAAACCCCAAATCCTCATTTCTGTACTGGCTGCATGTGCAATTGGATTGGCTTTGCCACTGTTTGGTGTTTTGTTATCCCAAACAATCATGGTAATTCTTAATTGCAATGGAAAAAGTTGTGCATCTGATGACTAATGACTCGCATGTCTTTTATTTACCAGATAATGTCCGATACCCCAGTTCCACACTACAGGAAATTGACCAGAAAATTTGGAGATCAGAATAATTACAAATGGATTGTATTTGGATTTGTTCTATTGGGAGTTTTCGTAGGGGTTGCTGCATCTATTCAAGTATTATAAATTAGAACAGACAAAAAAATATGGTACCTACTTAAAAAATCACTACAATTGAAATTTTTAGGAATTTTTTCTTGGGATTGCAAGTTACAACATGATCAACCGTATCAGAAAAAAGTTATTTGCAGCCATTTTACAGCAAGACATGTCATTTTTTGAAAATCCGTCAATCGGCGTGTTCTTTTTGAGGGATATGCTTGCAAGCAGTGTTCTGACGCTTCGATATGTGAGAAAGACTGCTTCAAATAAGTATACAGTATTTTTATAAAATATTTAGTAATTATTCGGATGAATTATTTTCTATTGTTTGCTTGCTAGTTGCTGAATGGATTCTATGCGAATTTTATTCAATGCATCGTAACCTTTATCGTGGCTGTGGTTATTTCAATAACAGCGTACTCACGTACTTTGACTGGCTACGCTGTGGCAATTACCTTTGGAGTTGCATCGATCAATTTCATTGATGGGTGGCTCGAAAAGAAACAACAATTGTCCACTATGCAAGCCTTGGGAGAAATTTCGAGTTTATTATTTCAAGTATTTTCCGGGAAACATCAGGTCACCGTCATGCAACTCGAACCTTTCTTTCTTGACAGATTCAATACTATTCAAATTGAAGCTTTGAGGTGTGTGCGACATATTTCGGGCGGTGCCAGGTCTGGCTTCGTACTGATGCTATTATTATTTTCAATTAGGTTGAGGCGACGAATTTCGCACCTTCGTGCATTTACCTTTGGATTATCACAAACTGCTGTGTTTTGGGGACACACTTTATTTTTGTACTTGGCAGCTCATGAAATTGTTCACAATGATATAACATTTGAGACGGCTATCGCGTATGAACAAAAAATACATTGATTGAAAACACTGACTCGTGTGGAGTATTTAGAAGTTTTTATTTGCAGAATTGGAGAAATGCTTATCTTTGGAACAATCACTTTTGGCATGAACTTTTCTATTTTGCCAAGTTTTCATTTATCCATTCAAGCGGGACAAAGCATTCTCAACGTACTGAATAGAACGCCGATGATTGCCTTCAACTCAGGAGACGAATTTGAAGTTATTCCTTTATCCTCTTGCATTCTTTCTTGATTTTCGTAAAATTTATTAAAATAAGATGGAATTTATGTAGGGAGACTGCAAAGGGGAGCTAGGATTTCATGAAGTACATTTTTATAATTATTAATTATTCATAAATATTAATTAACAATAATTTATTTATACATTGAGGTACATTTTTGGTATCCCTTTTCTGGGGAGAATCCCTTGTTGAAAGGCGTCACCTTTTACATTCAACCAGAGAAAACCGTTGCATTTGTTGGATCTTCAGAATCTGGCAAAACGGTATATTTGGACGTAATTATGAAGTTCTTCAATGTTACAAGTGGAGTATTGGTACATGTTTATTTATTTAGTTCTTGTATGAATATGCATAAAGAACACTTGTCAACTATATAATCCAACGTTTGTGTTTTACCGTATATGTGTGCAGACTTTAGACGGGAAGGATTTACGAGATTTGAACACAGTCTCATTGAGGCAACTGATCGGATATGTAGATAAGCAGCCACAATTGTTTAATAGAACTGTAGCAGAAAACATTGCTTACGGAGACAACATCAATAATGTACCAATGTCGAGGGTAGTGGAAATAGCAAAGCAACTGGGAATGCATAATTTCTTTTGCAGTTTACCGGATGTAAGTTTACAATTTGAATGCAATAATCGCCAGCTACATACACGCATAAGTATGCAAGTAGCACTGTACTGTACATAGCAGTAACTACAATACAGTTTTTGCAATGCAGGGTTATGAAACCATAGTTGGAGGAGAAATGACTAGATTATCAACTGCTCAAAAGCATCGGATTATGATTGCTCGAGCCATGTTAAGAAACCCCAAGATTTTGTTGATTGATGAGACGACAACATATTTAGATCGAGAAGGGGAACGGTTGGTGAACGAGGCCATTGATAAGGCTCGAAAGGGGCGAACATGCATTCTTGTTTCCCATCGACTTGCTGCAGTTCAGAATGCTGACCTCATCGTCCTTATGAATGATGGATTTGCCATTGAATTGGGAACACACGAGGAGTTAGGACTATTTATTAGCATTGACGAATAAGTGATAAAAATTAGAACTAATTGGAATTGAAAATACTTATAATATGCTCTTGGGTGCTTTATTCAGTTTGATGAAGAGACGCCACAGCGAGTACGGCAGGCTCTGGCGTTCCCAAAATCCTCTCGACGATGAAAGTTTCGCACAGGGCAAACCTTGGCTTGGTGTGGCCCCATCCAAGGTAAAAATAAGTCCCCAGAAGGAAGAACCCCCACCTCCCCGTCCACTCCCCCCACCACCAAATCCACAAGTCGGTGAGAATGAGAAACCAAAAAGTCAGGAAGGATGGTTCGGAGGGTGGTGTTCTCCATCCACCATTATCACTGACAATTCCGAAACGTTATAATATGAAGACTCAATAAGCGTCAATCAGTATTATGCGATGAGAGGTTTTTAACAAATTTATATGATATAGCTGTGTATAAAAGTATTAATATAAATAAATGCATTATCCCATCAATGTATAATTGATTGTAGTCGCTTTAATAGGAAGCTATAAAGTTGCTCCCAATTGTCTTTCCGGTCGTTTCTTCGTTCTTGAAATCCTGTTACTGTTAATATTTTCAAATGTATGCTTCACTGGTATTATGTGTAGCCTGCCTGCCATCACCAACAGTCAAATAAATATAAATTCATTCAAATTTATTTCAAGCAATTTCAGAGTAGTTCCGAATGGGGAATAAAATCATAAATTCGATTATTACTTCAGCTTTGTGCTTCCAGTTGATTTCATCCATCAATGGTGAAACTCAAGTTATTTATTCGAAGGTATTTATATTGGCATATTGATCTTCTTTAAAATTGTAACTGTAACTAAACTCAAATGCACTTACCTAGATACCACTCGGCAATAGGAATGAAAGGAACCCGTCGTCTCAACTTTCTCATTTCTCGCCATCGCCATATTATTACTTTAGAAATCCTACCAGACAACACACTCCAATAGACGACGAAGAATACTTTGACAACGATTCATACGATAATTCCACTGAAGAAGAAGATGCAAGTGATCAGCAGAATACAGGAGAGGTCAAGGAAAAAATGCCAGAGAAGAAAAAATCTAAAGTGGAACAGATTCAAGATATTGGGGAAAAACTGGTAGATAAATGGCTGGACGGATTTCTCCAGATTGAAACGGAAAGTCCTCCAGATCCACCGAAATGGGCAATGGATATATGGGGACCGCCCCCAAGTATTCAAGTAGCACCCTGGAGTAACGTAGCTGATGAACAAAAATAATAATGAATACAATTTCTCATGATTCCACTTTCTTACAAATATGTTCTTGAAAGTCGATAAAATTGATAAAATTATTTTGCTGTTGATGATCAGCCGAACGTAAATAAATATCAAAGCACATTTGAATTTGTCAAACGATTCCTTTTACTCAAATGTTGTTGAAACAGCTTTATTATTAAGATGGAAAATTAATAAAACACTTCATTTCAATGGGATGAAACGGGAAGAGTGTGTAGCTCCAATACCAGGTCGTCCGTGCTTAACCGGCTTGTACGTTACGCTAAATTCTCCCAAATAGTGTCCCACCATTTCTGGCTGCAAAACCCATAAAACAATTAGATAACTCGTTCAATTCACATCTGGCTATTGTAAATATGTATCAACATTGCAATTATCTATAGTTGCATACCTTGACCTCAACCTGGTTGAAGGTTTTTCCGTTGTACACACCCACAATGCTTCCGATCATCTCTGGAATGATGATCATATCTCGGAGATGCGTTTTCACGGCTTCTGGTTTCTCATTTTGAGGAGCATCCTTCTTGGCTTTTCTTAATTTTTTCAAAAGAGCAAGATTCTTCCTCTTTACTCCACGGTTAAACCTCCTTCGTGCCCGGGCATGGACCAAATCTGTCAATTGTTTCCTGAAATCAATAAAAATGCACCCTTGATTAGCTTATCAAGTAAAAAGCCATTTTTGGTCTATACAATTTAGTGTAAGATGAGTGAATTAAGTCATACACATGCATAAAGTAAGCCGAACTTGAAACTAAACTATCATGTTTAATTAAGTTGACTCAAAATAAATAATAAATAAATAAAATGTGTTAACTTACATCCCCATATCAAGCAATTGGTCGAGATCGACTCCTCGAAAAGTAAACTTTCGGAAGGTCCTCTTCCTCTGCGTCCCATCCTGCAAATTACAACATTAACTCCAATTTTAATTGTCCTTAGTAGTTAGTAAATTCATTGTACAATTTGAAAATTTTAGTACAACATTGACTGTAATTTCACTATTCTGTCGAACAACTTAAATGTATATAAAGATTTTGTGTGCATTAGGAGCAGTGAATAACTTACGTCAGCCATGGTGGTGTTTGATAACTTCCAAAATTTTATGAAAAACTTGATGAAAACCGATATTATCAGGAGAAGGAGAACAGGCGAGAAATGAGCCTGAGTAAGATGTGGAGATCGTCAAGCACACCGGGAATCAATGCTCACAAACTTGGGCAGGGGGCGCCCACTACCCAACACCAACTTGAGCATCATCCCAATCTCAATTTTCATGAAAATGACTATTATATATGAATAACTGCGATTCAACGCTTCGTGTTACGTGGAACATTATACGCTGGTATTTTACAGGATGATATCAATTTCAAAATTTCAAAACATTCGAGTTTATTTTTAGTTTATCAAGTAACAAAATTGTAATTATCATGTGTCGAACGCAGAACCCAAAAGCCTGCTCCCATTGGTTGACGTGAAAAACCGGTACAAAATTTTGCTATTTTCAGATCCAACCTTCCTTATTCTCTCTAATGGGCCCACTCCTGTGATGACCTAATGAATTAGAAAATATTTTTTTAAAGGTTATCAAGCATTGCTAAATACTAATATTTAACTTAATTACATACAGGCAATTCAGTCAGCAGTGATTCGCCTTGTTCTTGGTTGTCACAAGAATTATAGGCCTTTTAAACAAGAATTTCATTTTCAGAATTACTCAGATTTAAAAAGAAAAGGTCTACAGTTAACAGTATATACTTTGAGGAGTGCCATGGGCGAAGGAAATCGCTTCGAAATAGCCTGGGCGACATCTGAACCCACAGTGCTGAATTGTTGCAACTGGTCAACCCAAAGTTGTTTTAGACCCGTCCCATCCTTTTCCACCTTGATACTCCCAGAAACATCAAAGAATTCCATTAAATCCGACCCATCTGTTTCTATCTCTTGTTTTCTATAATTTGAATTATCATTCAACAGGTCAATTAAGGTTCAATTAAGATTAGTCCAGAAATAACTAATTGTTTAAAACTTAAGCTACTTGTGAGGGGCGTCCGCTATTGCTTTTACGAAGTTGACTAACGTCGATCCAAGCTCGTTAACATTTTTTACTAACCGATAATTTACTCCAGTTTGCAATTGCATTTCAATTAGTGTACCATATAACTCTGCTCTAAAATTACAACCAAGAAATAATGTATGAAGACTAAGACTCAATTTAGATTTATTTTTATAAACCTTACTGACTAATATATGGTAAATTCTGTTTCTGCTTTCGTTTGTTTGGTACTGGATTATTATCAGTGTCGAGAACACGAGTTCTAAATTCCTTTTGTGTAGTTTTCTTGATTTTCCTGTTATTAAAATAAAGATAAAAATGTTGTGAAACGGTCTAGATAAAGATAGATAGATCAATGAAAATATACCGTGCATGCATATCGTTTTAGTTAGCACACGTTTTAAAATACCTGAAATATTTTTCCATGTCCATCAAAAACAGGGTTAGATGTTTCCCAAGTAGAACGGCTTTGATTGATTCAACCCACGTAGTAAGATCCAAGCTGTTTTCTTCGTTATCCTTGCTACCAGACGTAGACTGATTCCTCAACTGAGCATGAACCATGGGAATTACTTTTTCCGAGTCCAGCAAAATGATAATTTGATCTTCATCCACAAATGATGAAATCACCTTAATCTAATGTATTATCATAACAAATTATTACATACGTCATGTATAATTAATTAAAAATATATCACCTTTAGATCATCCCCCATTGTTTGCCGAATCAGGTTCCTCTTAAAAAGTATAGAATTATCGATAACAGGGTCAGATAAAATTTCGTATTTGACGTCGGCAGAGACCAGCAAAGGAACAAGAGCATCAAATTTTTGCGATATTTCGAAATCCAATATTATGGTCATACACTAGAGGTTAAAACCAACGATAAGCTATCATACGAGAGACAATAAAGGATATTTAAGCAATCTAAATTAAACAAATATTAACTGATCCACCCGGTTTGGTAGATTTTTGCACTTCTTTGGTAGTTTGGCGCATTTCTGCTTTTCTCCGTTCTTCCTCTTGCCTTTTTTCTTTCTCCAAGCGTTTCATTTCCCGTTCTTTATCCTTTTCGAGGCGCTTCTTCTCTGCGTCTTTTGTTAGCAAGATTTTTGGCTTGCGTTTCTTTTTCGGAAGCATTACTTGAATACATTCCTCCTCTGGATCAGAGTCAGATATGAGAAGAGGTGGAGGATTTAATGATTTGGTGGCCTTAATAGACCTGCTATTGCTGGGTACTGAAGAACTCGAGCCGGGCAAGTACATCTTTACCTCTTCAGTGGTAGATGGATTTTTGCCCATGATAATATCTGTCTGGCTATTGTTTCCTTCCCAAACAACTTCAATATCCGATTCGTCACTTTCCAATTCCATAACAATGTTTTTTGTGTTGCACTCATAATCAATATCAGGGAGGTCTTCAAAGTCACTCATTTTGTTCTTGAACAACGACTTCACTGAGCATATTAATAACATAACATCGGTTTAGTTGACGATGAGCGTTATTATTTACACATTATATAATGTAATTTATATTGAATATGTACACTCACCCACTGCATCTGGTAATTCAATCATTCAAGATTCGACGGTATGAAGTCATATTTTGCAAATCAACAACTGGACAATAATTCACAATTCGTTGATGAAATCTCTATCTAAACTATATAAAGCAGGCGAGTGTATCGCTGCTGGGTCGGTGGCTTTTTTGAGAAGTTAGCCTCTCCTTTCCTCTCTCCACTCTGCAGAGAGAACAGGAGAGGCTAACTTCACTAATGTTGTGGTAACGGGCTTATCGACGGGCCTATTTTGCACGTCAATTGACGGGCTTCTACACTAGTAAGGTGTAAGACAAAAAACCAGCTACTTCAAAGTATACATATTAATAATAAAATTGCTCTAGAAATTTGCGCTTACCAAGTCGTTTAAAACGATTACACTACTCACGGAAATGTACCCTTAAGATAATCAAAAATTTAAATAAAATATCAAAAAGTAAAATATGCAAATCGTAGTTGACTTGCGACTTGTCAATTGAGCAGACTGATGATGTGATGACAGATGATCGATCTGAAAATTATTCATTTCATTATGCATGGATTGGGACCCGCCAGCTTGCAAGGTAAACGTTTGTGAATGTGAAGCGGAAACATGAGAAATTTTGAGAATTTCGTTATTAATTAGAAATTGGATTTGATTACTAAGAGTAATTTACTAATTTACTATACATATATTCCTACATTATATTGTATTGGAAATTATCACTTATGATATGATATGATATGATTTCTTTCTATTCTATGATGATGCATGAAAACAATGTTGATTGTAAGATTACACCGTGTAATTTACACGGTACAAATTCTTATTATTTTCGTAGTTAAATACTAAATTTATTATGTCTTGCTGTTTTTTTAATGATTGAAGTTACAATAGAACATGGAACGGGAATAATTATGATGCCGAATATATAACTTGAATGTCTAGGATGAAATTTCAAATTTCACGTTAATTTCAATCGGCAAGTGAATTATGAAGCAAGTAAATATTTAACTGTTTCGTTATGTGTACATTTTTATTTGAAACAAATCTATTATCAGTCAGTATCCAATTTAATGCTAATTATCTACTTTAAAACTTACTATTTAAAACTAGCAACTATAAATTTACAAATGACTTGAGAACTACTTATTAAGCGTTACTACACTCATCGTCAGTAATTCAGTGCAGCACTCGTATTATAAGTAAGAAAGGTCTTTTAACTGAACAGTCTTTAGTAGAATATTCCATATCAAATTAAATGAAAAGGCTAGGAATTTGGGGTATTTGTAATTGAATCGTCCCTATTTGTCTTATGGTTTTTCTTTCTTGGATCAGGCGTTGGGTCATCAGGCATGTAAAACCCAAGAATTTCTGCCAAATCCTTGGGTGAGCGTTCTCCTTTGCCTTTGTACACTGTGTGAATTCTCAAATATTCTCTGGTGCCCCTGAGAGCACTGACATAGTACTCGCCCACACGGAGGGCAGGGGAAATCGTCTCAGGAGATGGCTCGCTGGGGGGACACTCTCGACATGTTTTCACAATGTACTTCCACGCCGGGGTTTGATAAACGTGCTTGTTGGGCTCGAGCACACTAGGTCGAAGTTCACGGTACAGGGCTCGCAGGAGATGAAGCCCCCTCTCCTGACCAAGCGACATTTCGACGTGAAATGACTCTGAAATACAAAGACAAAGGAAGTATTAAAATACATTAGATTAGATTAGATACAAAAAATTATACTCGGTCAACTTGAGTCAACACACCCGTGCAAGTAAACATAGTTTAAAAATAAAGAATGGATTCATACAAGAATTAAAATCTTCTAGCGCAGTTAAGTTCCTTGGTACTGCCCATTTAATTATTTCTAAACACCAAAGAAAATAACAACATTATATAAAATCCACACTGTGCACATGTGGTTTTGGTGTACACTTGTTTGGGCTCAAAATTCGCGGATGACTGCATGATTACATTTTTATGAAAAAGTAAACTTGGAACATGCAAAAAGTACAGAAAGTCGCAAGTGGTGACTTGACTATGACAATGTATGTTTTCTTTTCGGCCTAGATTTCCTTTAAAAAATGACAAAGTTATATCTCCATTGGAAAATGGAAATTTCACAGGGTTTATAAGCAGAAGACCAAATGAATTAATGGTTTAAAAAATGAAAGCACAACATTTATGCAGTCGTGTATTTTTTAATGAGTCGTATGAGTTTAATATATGTAGTCGTATGAAACAAAATTCTAATAGGGTATAACACCTGGGTGTAAATAAATAACTATGCATTTTTGAATCTCAATGTAAACATTTGTTTTATTATACATTTTAGGCATTCATGTTGGAAGCATATGGTAAGAGAGTATGAACAAACTAATATATTCAGATAAATCATGTTTTGCATTTGCCATATTTGACTTACCAGAAGAAAGTGTAAAACAACCCATTGTAATTAAAAGGTGCAGACTGCATAGCACTATTTCTTGTTACTTTATGCTACATACTTCATGTTTTATATTCTTGCTGATTTTGCAAAAAAATGTCAATGCAGTTGCTGCCAAAAACAGCATAGGTTTATAAAATTTACAAAGGTAACTAAACCTTTGCCCATGACACTGACATAAAAGTCGAGTCTAAATAGGCAATGTCGACTTAGACCAGACTTTTCCTGATTCTGGAAGTATTGCAATTTTTCGCGTTTACCAAATAAAAATTGCAAAAGTCGGTTGCCCGTGGGTGAGTGAGTAAGAAAGTTCAACGTATCTTTGGCATGTGGCAAGGTCTAGAACCCTAAACAAGCTTCTTTCTCATTATTCTCATACTCGTTCTCACCCAATCACTGTACAGTGATATGACAGTGATCCAAACGCACAATTTCTCATCTCACCTCGCTCGCTCTGGAAACAAATTCTCACCGAACCGAAATTCTCACAGGAGGAAAATTATAACAGATTCACATTTAACCCACTTTGGATTGTCAATATTGGCATTTTTAGGAATATTTACGAAATTTCAGAATTACATATTCACACACTTTTTAGACGTAATAGATTTAGTACAAAACTTGACGTCTCTGTGGTTTGATTAGTCTGATACTTAAATGAATCAAAAGAGGAAAATAATGACCGATAAAATCGACTCGTATTTCAATTTACGATGAGATTGTTATGAGAAATGATAAATTTATTTACTCCTGCACACAACTTGTGGGAAGCGAAGTTATAATCTCTGGCTGGCGTAAACCACAACATTTGCAAATATTTTCATTGCCTTAATTTGAACACTGATTTAATTCTCCATATTTACACGTATATAATTATATTTTCATATGTTCATGACTATCGAAGTTGGTATTTTTATAGCGTGGCATACTAGACTACATACACATATTTACATGCCTACGCAAATACGCATATTTTTATCACTTACTTATTAGGCCGAAGTCCTAAAAAAAACTCAGAAAATTAGCCATTTGGGTTGATTTATAATACTATTTATTATAATAACAAGTACATATACTGACCGGGAAAGCAATGGCATGCATGCAGGCATGTAGGTTTGATACACGACAACGTGAAATATAATGTAGTTTTTCAGCAATACATTTTTTATAGCTGATAGTTCATACACGTGTAACCAGTGACCAGAGAGTCTCAGAGTGAGAATCACTTGCCACTTGAATTATTTAGGATTAGTCTCATCCACAGCAACACAAACTTGATACAATAGTCTACATACATGTGCATATTATGTACTAGTTTAAACAGATTTCGCATGGCAAGAACAAGAGGTATGATGATGATGATATGATAGTTCTTTCTTGGTATTTGTTGTTTGATGCTTTTTCTTCCAAGAGCTTGATACAGTTGCATTGGATCCTCGCCTATGTTGTCTCACATACGTAAAGGTCAGTTCATTGGCTTTCTCAGTTTGCCTCACACTTTACTTGTTTGGATGATTTTTGGTGTGGTCCGAAACCTGCACTATAAAAATCCAGGCTTGTCCATTATACTAAATGTACCTTGTCGTATTGTTAGTCGTTTGTTTTTCTATTTTTTCCACCATAAGCTCAAATGTCGGGGCAACCTGAGACATTTGGCGCTATATGTGGAACATATAGTATGTTGTCAGGCACTCTTATGGGAAATGTCGGGGGCTCGTACAAAAAAACGGTTGGGCGTAAAGAGATGCCGTAAAGTGCATTAGATGCCTCTCGAAAAGTTTTAAAATGACTTTTTTCTAATTCATGGTATCTTGAACCATTTTCAAGAAATTCAATAAAAACCGATTTTTCGGTTTCGAAATCATAAATGTTTCGCTGAATGAATTGGGTGCATAACACAAAGTTGTATGTAATAGCAAATATGTTCATAACCGCATTATCTATAATATTTACTCGAAAATTTTTTCGAAATAATGCTAGGTACAGGCGGTAAGTTCAAATTTCCGAAAAATTTTGCAATTTCGGCTACCAATTTCTCCACTGAGCTACAGCCTAGACGATACATTTTGGTAACCTAAACTAAACGGGATCGTATTGGGGAAGGTCCCGGCTAGTGCCCTCGACTGATTGACTTTTTCGAAATAAGCCTTGGTTTTTAAGATATGGCGCGATTTCTAAAATTAAAATCCATAACTCATATTTGGTATGAAAAAATAGAAATTTTCAGCGGTTTTGCCGCATAGCTTGTCAAACATTGATCACAGTTTTGCTCCGGCCCTTTAGATTGAACACCCACCTATTTATTTATTTGGTTATGCACATATGAAGTATAAAGTTGGCATCATTTGCACAATTCAGAATAACTCAAATTCATAAGTCGCCAAGTTTTCAGTGATGATTCGTATTATCTCAATACGTAATATAGTCATATAGACAGAGCATAACAGGCAGACGCAAATATGTACATCAAATATTATTACATATATGCATGACTGCACAAACAGGAGAAATAAGAAACCGGCTTTTATTCTGTACTTTGATGATGGAACATCCGAAGTGAAAATCATTATTGCTTCTCATCTCTCTTCTTAGGGTTAGTCTGGACGAAGGAGGGCATAGTGTTTGTAAGCTTAAATGCGAGAAAGAATCAAACATGAGACTCGACCTCCTCCATGTTATGTATGTATTTGAATGTGATATCATCATCGTATCCACTGCACTGTTTCTCCTAGTTCAAAAAAGTGAATGAATTGGCACTGTCCGACGAAACAGGTATAATAAAAAAATAGGGAAGGAAAGAAATGGCACATGCTAAACGAACAAACCATCATCGTTTGAAACCTCTGCGAACCCTCCGGTCGCTGATTCTCCTGGCTAGAACTGAACTCTGGTTTCGAACGCTACACCAGCGTTGGCTGATGATGATGGTGGTTGTGTTATTATTTAAAGGCGGAGGAATCTTGGGCTATTATTTTCTAGTCTTACAAGATTTTCGCAAAATTTCGCTGCATCGGCTGAATCTCCATTCGCTATAACATATATATTCCTCGCATTGCTAAACTTATATATACGTAGTTATGTAAGTAAAACATATCATCCCTCCATCCTCCTGAAACAAACTCTCAGACTACAATGTTTTACTTTTCCTTTGATGGTGGCTGGGTTTCGGTTTGTGTATGCAATAAATGAAACTGTCTGTTTATGTATGAATGCATTTATTCGATAATCTTCACTGCAGTTGGATCAAGATTTTTCTATCGTCAATCAATTTTCGACTAAAGTTTTAAAAACTGAAAAAGTGCATAGAAAATACATGTAATTTAAGGATAGACAACCATTTCTATTATTAATCAACAGTGAGCAATCATTACTAAACTCAATGGACCTGAGATGAGACTACTACATAATTGCTGACTGAATTTGTATTATGTATTTAGAATGGTGGTGAGTCAGGATAAATATTGCTGAGTTTTTAAATTAACTGTTGACTAAGCAAACTTTACACTCACTTATCAGGCTAATACAATTAGGAAGTCTGATACACGTATATGTAGAGGACATTTGACGAACTGTCTCAATTTTCACTATAATTGCTGCCCATCTCCAGTCCAGACTACAAAATCCACGTATCCACGTATTATCTACAATTATACATACGTCCCTATTATTACGTCGGTTAAAAATACTAAACATAAATATATTTATAGTGTCATTGAGTTACCACTTTAATTATGTAGAATTTATTTACTAGGCTTTTTGAATGATATTAATTTTAGATTGCATATCACTCCATAATCTTAGCAATCACGTGAGGTTTGGGGTTAATGTGACAGCTAAAATGTATGCATATAGTTCAGTGTTACGAGTTTTATTATTTATCTAGACATATTGTAAGATATACCTAAATGAACTCGTTGAACAATTTGTTTGGAAATTTCAAATCACAACAAAATAATACGGAACGCAACTTTAAAATTGATAATGAAACATAAATCGGATGAATGAGTTTTGTGAGGCATTATTATAAACACGGAAATCATGAAACTCGTATGATATGCAATACTTCCTGGAATAAACATAGATGTTACGAGTGCAGTTTTTTGTGCAACCTCCGATACCGATGTTATCAAACTTCATAAACTTAGATATGAATTTATACCAAATCACTCCAGTACAACAGAGTGCGTTTGCAACGTGTATTTAAAACGTGTAAATGCACTTCCCTTGTACTAAAGTGAAATTGGACGAAACGCCACCAACAGTGTTCTTATCAAGCTCACAACCCTGTCAACAACAATTGTTTAGAAAACCAAATACGACATAGATGAAAGTAGGATTGGGATCAAGGCTTAAAATTTGATTTTATTTCTACATAATAAGTAAATGAATACCTACGTAAAGCTTACATGTGTTTAGAGAGGTTATGACAATAGTGTATATGTGACATAATGCATAGCGTAGATCTACTTACATATAAAGTTCTATATTGAGTTCATCAGAACAAGAAAATTAATACATAAAATATTAAAGTATAATGATTAAATTAATATACTATTTCTAATATAATACAACTTTGTAATCAGCTATATATTTAAATACATATCCTGCTGGATTAATAGTTGGGTTTATTTTGTAGTTAATTTAATTAAGGCGCATATAATTGCTGCTTTTTATGCCAAAAGGAGATAAACCCGACTATAAACTACTATAATCTGGTTCAGCATAATCAATTATTCACCAGACTAATTAATGTTTGTAAGTACTTCTAGCTATCAACTAGATAATAATATCCAGAAGTTTATTTCTAAAAAAGTAAAAATGATAGACCCAATGAAGAAATAATAAGCGACAAATTTGAAAATGTAGTTTTGAGAAAACGCAATAGATAATCGGCAACCAGCACCAACGGCTGGTCAACACACAAGTACATACAGCAGTAGCTGTATAGTTAATAAAAGATTTTAACATGGATCAATCATCTAGAGGAAGATTGATCTTCATAAATCTGAACTACTTAAAATACCTTTTGTTTATGATAACGTTTCAGACAACATTCTCAGCAGCTAAAATATTAACTGACTCTTCTTTTTTATCCTTCTTCAGATCATTTGAAGCATCTGTTTCATCGCCATTGTTTCCGCTGGGGTCCCTTCTCCGTTTGCGGTTCCCAAGTGCAGCAAACTTGCTAGACTTTGGAACTGCTTCCATCCCCAGAACATGATGAATTTGGCGAAACGAAATTTGCCTCAGTGCTTGCTAAAATGAATAAGATAATTAATTTAGATACTTACATAACCACCAATAATATCTAATCACTTGGAAATGGGCAATACTTGTACCTGTGCATAAGCCGTAATATCTTCTCTAACTTGGCTGTCTAATCCAGCAAGTGCATCGCAAGACTCTTTTTCACAAGGGTCCAACAAACCTGGTCCAAATTGTAGCATCAATCCGGATGCCAGAATTTCAAAAACAATTCTCAGTGCATCTCCAGGACTGATTGGGATTCCTGGGCTGCTGATTGCCTTCTCCGTTAATAATTCGATTGCCTATAAAGTATATTTAGTGTAACAAATGATACCCATGCGTATATTAAATATATTTGTCATATACGAATGAAATGTAGTACAAAAACTTACCCAACACGGCATTGCATGTAATTGAGGAACTCGTCGGCACATGTCTCGTAATATCCGAATTACAATCACACAGCTTTGTAAGGTTGTAGCTCTAGCCTAATTGTTACGAAAATTAATAAATTTAATTAGTCACTTGTGTTTAACTGTTAACGACAACAAAATCTATACTTTGATAAACTCTGATACGGGAAAGTAAGTATCTAAATAGTATAAGTAGTAGTATACGAAACAAGTCAGATTCAGATTATTCGATATTGTTGTACAACACCACCACCTCAGAATTTTGGCAACTGACTTTCCAGCCTCATGGCACTTTTTTGAAAAAAGATTGGTGGTGGAAATAACATGAATTGAATGAAACATTTTTAAGAAATTTGCATTTTTCATAAGGCTGCAAAGGTAAGGGACTCCACAAACGTTGATGTTAAATGAACATGTGCCGTAGATCATTTCTAATAATTTCTCTTGGTCGTCTTTCTACAAGCTTGCTTTCGAAAAGACTAAATATGTAATACATACTTGAAATACAGAATATTTGAAATTTGGAAAGGTTCAAACAGATAAAATATTATATTATTCAAAATATGTCTATAGCACATGCACACCTGAAACCATTTCGCGTGTCGAAGTGCGGCCAAAGCAGTTAGGCATTTCTCCTTTGGAAGATCGTTCAGCTCCGGAACCTGAGTTGCTGCTTGGGCCTCTACAGTCGAACATCATTAACACACTCAGATCAGATATCAATACAATAACGAACCTTTAAAAATTTCACACTCATATGCAAAGCATTTCCCATAAAAGAATCAAAATACAGGTAAGTTTTGGAAAGCTTTGAAAGGTTCGTGACAGTCATTTTTCTGTGTGTGATAATGTCTAAGGTGGTGGCGCAGCGATGGTGGTCTCATATTCATAGTTAATTAGATTATATTTTTATCAAACACTTTTTTCCTTTTTTCTGTATAGTAATATGATTACGGTACCACTTGCTGATGAACGATATCTTTGAAGTTATCCCCAAAATTAATTGATTCATCGTCGGTATACTGTCACATGCCACATGGACGCGGCTCCGCTGAAGAGAATCGTTGTTTATCACGCATAAAACACACTGCGTGCTTAATTAAAATATGTCAAGATAGATGACATATTTTTATCCACAAATTGCATTTATCTACATGCATAGATGACCTCAGCTGAGCCTTTTAATTCGTTCCACACTCCATTTGAAATCTGGGATTTGCGATTGAACACATTGGACACTTGTTCATGACATAAAAATGTTTTGCATACATATACATTTTTTGTTGATTTTGTCACTTCTGTACGACTACAGAGAAGAAATACTATAGAAGAAATTCCAATATTCAACACATTGTTATCAGATAACTCACAAATCGTTTTAGATTTCCAATTAGATATATTCGAGACCAACCAACCATGAACCAACCGACCTGACAATGAATTAAATGCGCTCTGCATGTACTGCTTACCACCCGGTGCGCCTACGCTATTATTTCTCAATAACGGCGACGTAAGAGTGACGATAACATCGATTTTTAGATCATCTGTGGATGAAATTCTAATTCCTGCATGTTCAGGTGCGATCCTTATATCGTACTTTTCTTCAGTAGTCACAATCTATGGGCAGCACAAGACAAGAATATTAGTATTATATACTAACAATGCCAACTATAACTGGCAAGTTGATAAATATAATAATGTAGAATTATAAATAATAAATTGTATATACCTCCATCTGCTTAGGCAAGCAATCAAACACTCTATTCAACATCGATAGATTGGGTTTCTCGGAGCAGAGAACAACTAATTCCACTTCACGGTCCCCTCTCAATAACAGGCCCTTTGCCAAATTCCCAACACGCATGACCCCTTTTAGTTTGCGGGCAGCTTGTAAATCAGCTTCCGAGAGCTGTGGTGCCTCTCTATAAATAATAAACAATGCTTCTTTTAACCAACGTTTTATACAAAGTGAAAGGGCATCATGAAAATGAGGATGTCTTGTTGTACATACCCTCCGTTTTCTGTTTTAACAGTTGTACAATCTTCCTCGGCAAAGCGATCAGAAACAAACTTGAGTGCCTTTTCAGTGTTTGAAACTATTTTTTGAATAGCCTGTAGCTCTGGTTCTTCAGGATATATTTCAGCATGCTTTGCCATAACGTGTCGATCTTCTGATGTTTCTGGTCGACGTAAAAGTGGAGGGATGTAGAATGGAGAAGGACCACCTCCATACTTAACAAAAAGTTGACACAATTATCAATAAGGGAATCACAGTATGCGGTCGATAATGTCGGATTATAGTATTTAATAAATATTACCCCTGGTCCAAAGCCTCTTGGCGTCGATGTCATTAAAGGAACAGGGCCCCTAGAGAACCTTAGGAGAATAAGCTCGTTTCATATTGTGAATGAGCATGATGGTACATATTAATGGATGTGTGATACTTGTTATATATTGACTTACATATCGTTACTCATAGGTTTCCTCATGGAGATGGTTCGAGCTGTTCGTCTCTCATCAATTTTCTTTTGCCGACTAGAAGGCTTCACATCAACTACCAAGTCCGGGTTAACTTTTTTCTTATATTGTAGTCGATGGCGGCGACCTTTCATGTGCATCTCTTTAGCATTTGGATCATTAAATCGGCATTCGCACAATTTACAGTTAAATGAAACCACTTTGCCTAGAAAAAAAGTAAGTCAAGTACAAAGAAACATAAACTGTTGCTCCAACCATGTATGTAACAACAACCAACCAGCCATGGTATTCAAGAAAAATATTTTTATACCTTCTTCACTCCGAATTTCCTCAATATAATCCTGCCCAACTGGCTGAATATCTTTTTCAATATAGTCCAAAATACTTGATTTGTCAACAGCATCGATGTTTGTAGCCAAGGGCTTGTTACTCCCACCACCGGGAGCAGCAGGGCTCGTATACGTTGTGCTCATCGGTAGTGCTGCTGGTGGTGGTTGATTAGTTTTTGTTGTTTCAGTGATTCCAGGGACTGGTGGTTCAGATTTGACGTTCCCAACAAAGCTTATTTTCGGGGCACTCGATTTGGCAAAATTGTTGTTTCCTGTATTAGTTGGAACAGCATTTCCAGAAATAGCAGATTTATTGTAACTATTGACGTGATTCGTAGTTGGGGCGGCTATTACAGTTGGGCTGTCCGAGGGAATCGGCTTTCCTAATTATGGATATCAGGAATTATTATCAATGTTATCAACTGCAGAGTTATAATTTAATTAATCAATTGATGTTGATAATATTTAAATAATACCAAGTTTTGTGTGCAATTTTACAACTTTTTGATGTTTAGCTCCTCGTATATGAGCTGCATATGCATCACTTCCTGTGCAAGTTACGTCGCAAACTGGAAATTATAGTAAGGATCATCAGTAAATTATGTGCATGGATTTTCGCTATTACATTAAAATTTAGTACCTTCACAGCGTAATCCAGCAGGACCACCCTTTGGCACTGGTGGAGCCCCAGTCTTTTGAGCAGCTTCCTTCTTCTTGTGCTTCTGACCGTCTAAATGTTCCTTGTACGTCTATGGAAAATAATAAAATTTCAAACCGTTGCACAGTAAGCTGTCATATATGATACCAAAACAAACCTGTGGTCCAGCACAACTGATTTTGCATACGTCGCAGTAGTGTAATGTTTGAGGTTTAGGCATCGGCCTTTGGGGTTTCCCACCCATGCCCATTCCCTTAGATGTTCCTTTCTTAAATCCCATTCCATTTCCTCGACTAACGCTAGGACCACCAGTTGCATAAGCTGATACAGCATTATATACTGCAGCATCATAGTTTGTAACTAAACAAAATATCATTCCACAGCTATCAGTATTATAGAGCGATATTTAAAAACGATTGAATCTTTACAAAATTACACATACATTTATTGCTTTGAGTGGGTTGATGTTGTTGGGGTGGAGCAAATCCAGCATACGAAGCAGATGCAGTTGTTCCAGTAGTATTAGCCGAATACGTTGGGTACACCGTGGAAGGCGGCGTTGGGCGTGCAATCTTATTGGCAACGGCCCCCATCGAAGCCGCATAGCTGGCAGCTTGAGCTTGATTATAATATCCTTGTTGTTGTTGTTGCTGCTGTTGCCCCGGTCCAGCAGGTCGTGTATATCCAGCAATCACGTATGGGTCAGAAGTGGGGGTGCCGTATGGTTGTCCTGTTGCTTGTTGTTGAGTCCCATATGGACTAGGCGGAGGATACGCAGCGCCTGTTGCAGCCCCTGCGGAGGCAGTGTACTGGGTCCTGTCAAACAATGTCAAGTTTAAGGTATGCGAAATATAAGTCGTGCACATGTTTATCAGCTGAAATTTGAGTGCAGGAAGTCATTTTTTGCAATATTTATTATACTCAAGCCTTCAGGATAATGCTCGACCCTTCATTAGGATTATCAGGAACTAATGATAAGTACAGTGTTGTTACTTACCCAGGGTTATAAGTTCCACCATGAGTAAAATTGTAGTAATTATTCGTAGCCATTGTGAATAAGGTGATAAAGTAGTTGACGTTTCTTCCCCTGCCACCAGGCTCTCTAAAATAAAAGAAATGAATTAAATATGCGGTTGTGAATTAATATGTAGTAATAGTGTCAAAAACAGTTTGAAGTTATAACAATAACATGATTTATACTTAATCTAAACCGATTAAAAAATGTGACAATTAAACATTAAATTAAATATAATAGTACTCTAGCGCATTGTCTGAACAATCTAGCTGTTCTCTGACCAGAGTTATGACAAGTAACCAAAATCGCAACATTTAATTCTCATTCGCTATAATTTCATATTTATGTGAACATATAGCATTGAAAAAATTCACCTACTCTTAACCTAACCTAACTTACCAGACTTTGCTTGCTCACCGCGGATGAACCTTATTATTGTGGAATCCTCTCTTTCTCTCTAGGAAGCGTTTGTGGGACGTAAATTTTGGAGTGTATTTTAATTAATAACGTATAAATTCAAACGAAATAAATCCAGTAAATGGAGGATAAAGACAGAGTGAAGAGTCAGCAGTGAGAGCGATTTAACCAGGACGCTCTTTTGCTAGTAGGGAGAGCCGACGAGCCGGGTATGATGATGGTTTGTTGCCGTTCTCTGCCTTCTCCGCCTCCCTCCTTCGCGCAGACTTACCAGAGACCCACAACAAATTACTGCTTATTTATTTACTGCTTGGTTGCTTATCATGCTCCCATGCCGACAAACTCCGAGGTCACAAAGGTCAATCCACGCGAGAAGGATGAGACTACTCTTCTGCTTCAAGGGAAAGTGAGACAAGTCCCCATCCAGGGCAACATGCTACATGCATTCCTTCGTCTGTAAACATAAAGCTTTACTTTCTTTCTCATCTTCTTCAGTAATGGCTTTTTGATCCACATGCATGGGTGAAATGGTGACCTTTCCACGTCGGGGTTCCATTTTGTCAGCGATTGGATGAGTGACCAGGACAGGACAGGGCTGGAAAGTGGAGCAGAGGAGAAAGAGGAATATTTTGGCAAGAAAGGAAAGTAGTCATGAATGATGAAGTCCTTTATTCCTGGGAAAGGAGGGGACGAGACCGAGGGTTAAGAGCAGTTTTTGTGAATGAGGGAGAAAGCAGCAGCCGAATCCGAGTCGAGATGACGAGGAGAAAGGAAGGGGATTGAGCTTTTCGTTCGCTCGCTCTGCCTGTGTGATTCATTCAAGTTTATAAAATTACACTGTTTCTTGTGTTTTGCCTGTTTTGCCACCACCACCACCAAAATATAATCTCTCCTAGCGAGCAACAATAATAAAAGCGGACGCAGAGATAAATTCTGAGATTAATGTTACTTTCAATATAACCCCCGTCCCCACGTTATTATTCTTTCCGAAAGCAAAACGGGTATGTGTTGAAGGTATAAAAATTCCCTTTAATTTCGGTGATTTACGTTAACCTCGCAGTTGACTGAGTTGACTTGATGAAATTTTGTGGCTCTTTCTTCAGAGTGAAACGAGACTCCTATAACTTGCTGATCTTTGACATCACGTTATCCAGGATCAGACAGACTAAATTCATACCAAAGTCTAGGAAATACCCGACTCATTCAAGGTCTGAATTTCGAACATACCTATATAGTGGAACCGTCCCAGCTGATTGATGTCATTAGATTTTGTTGACACATTGAACAACCAATAAATGGATTTTATTCGGTAAGTTATTGTTGATTTGTATAATGACGAGAATTATTAAATATCAAAATGTGCACTGATAGGTCTACACTTAATTCTTTGCCATTTCCTCCTCCCCCTCCTCCACTAAACGTGGAAGACACGGTTGGCCTCTTGGATGAATTGGATAACTTGGGACTGGAGTTTGACGGTGATCTTGGTGGAGACAACAGTCCAACCGAACCTGTCACTGCACCACCAGAAAATCAGTGAGTTGAAATTTATGTTACTCAACTTGACATGTATCGTCACTAAAAAATGTGGCATGTATAGATGGTATCATGGAAGACTTGATCGCCACACAACAGAAGAAAGGCTTCGAACAGCTGGAAAACCAGGGAGTTACCTCGTGAGGGAGAGCGACAGAAAACCAGGTTCCTATGTCCTGTCTTATTTAGGACGTACAGGCATCAATCACTTTAGGTATAAATACTGAATTGAATCTACACCTAATCTGCTGGTTAAGCTATAGTTGGAAATATTGGAATAAGCTATATTTCATTCATTTTATCAGAATTACAGCCGTGTGTGGTGATTTTTATATTGGAGGTCGACAATTCGATTCATTAATGGTATGTCCACCGTCCATTTTTATACTTTTTTGTACTTACAAGTTTTATATCTATGTACTCTACTAACTTTACCCTTAAGGAATAAAAACTGATAGTATGTAAGGAACTAAGAAATGTACACGAATAATGTGTTTTAGGATCTTATTGGATTCTACACGAGTTCGGACTTGCTGAAAAAAGAGCGGCTATTTTACCCAATTCCGCCTAGTCCAAACTGTAACATTTTGGGTATGAATTTAGGAAATTCGAAAAGCAACCTAATTATAGTCTGTCAAGTCAAGAATAATTACTACTTTGTATGCATATTTTTTCAGAACCTGTCAATGACAAGAAAAGAGTAGTTGCCATACTTCCGTACACCAGAATGCCAGATACTGATGAACTAAGGTTGCCACTTTCGTTGAATATATATGACGTATTGAAACAAATTATATTATTATTCATGTTTATCGATTTCAGTTTTCAAAAAGGTGACATATTTTTTGTTCACAATGACATGGGAGATGGTTGGTTATGGGTAACAGCACACAAGGTGAGTACAAAAGTTTTCATTCGTAACGATATCATATTACATAAATTAAATTATTATTTGTATTAAAGACTGGGGAACAAGGACTCATTTTCAGAGATTTAGTTGAAGATTTGGATGACAACATTGACCCAAATTCATGCTTCAAATGGTTTCATTCCAATGTCACGAAAGAAGAAGCTGTTGACATGCTTGTCAAAGGTGAGACCTTGTGCTGCTTTGTAACACTTTGAGTGGGTAACTTGTCGAATATGCAACTCGTCGAAATCCATTGGTCGAATGGAGAAGTCGTTGGAAAGGCAATTCCTCGAATTTAAGCATCATTAAACTTGTCACAAATGTAAACAAGGGTTAAGCCCTCACGTGACACTTTTGAAAAAGTCTCATTCTACCCCTCTTGACTAGTTTTTGGCTGCAAATCAATTTTATATACTTTTATTGATGTTTTTTGCATAGTTTCGGGAAAATCTCGTTTTGTCCCTCAACCACACCCCTTTAGTTGAAATGGATGTGGCGCTCTATAACTATTAATTTATAGTTTACGTTGACCGCGTGAACCCATCAAAAGTTTTGTCGATTTTAGTATTTTCCCTTTGGCCGCACCCCCTGACTAATCATAGTTTATCATAAGGAGCAGAATATTAAGAAATTTTTTAAAATTCGAAAATTTTAATGACCCCCGGTCTTGATGAGGAGGTGTGGTATGTCACGCCAATCTTCGAACTCGTAGATCGTATGTAGTCCCCATACAAATTAAATACAAAAAGTAATGTTTTGGATCTATTCAATAAATATATGTTAAACCAAACGACTCGGCGAATTTAAAAATATTAATTTCGAAAGCTTGCCCTTCAGAGACGAGTTCTCCTTTCGACAAGCTACCCTAGACCTACTTTGAGTACTGAATACCATGAGCTGTACAATTCATTTTAATTCTAGCCGGTCCTGGATCATTTCTCGTTAGACCAAGTGACAATTCTCCTGGGGATTATTCCTTGTTTTTCCACATCAATAACCAGGTTAGTTATTTGAGGCAATAATTGATTCCAGGGGCTGCGGAACCGTGGAAGCTATAACCGTTTAATATATATATGATAATAGTTTTTTAAAGAAAAAACACATTATTATATAACGAAAATGTCATGTCATTGATAATTTGTTAGATCCAAAGATTTCGGATTGAGAAGAAAGGAGTTCGTTACCAGATGGGAGGGCGAGCATTTGATTGTCTTGAGTCGGTAATAATCAAAAGTATTATATATGTATATCACAAACAAGATCTCTTATTTTCAGTCATTTAAACCCACCAATAATTGATACAGGTTATTGACAGATACCGAACCGAACAAATTGTTGAAGGTAACGTGATATTGTTGTGTTATAATAAAAATTATGGATTGTAATTAATAGATCCCCTTATTTTTTGAGATTAGGCCACACCTTAGGGCATCCTGTTAAGAAGGTAAAATAAGTATATACAAACGCATCTACGTAGCAATGTTGTGGGAAAATTCAGAAGATCCATAAATGCTGACAAACAAGTTATCATTGCTGTAGGGTCACAATGATGAAGGGATTTATGTGCCAAAGGAGGTAAAGAATCCTGAAAAAATTTACGCGACATTGCAAGAATGTCGCGATAGTTGTGGGTTCAAAAAGACTGAAGGTTGGTAGAAATAATATATACGTTGCCTTGAAGCAGTATAGATGGATAAGTTTGCAACAAGTATTTCTCATTTTGCTAATTCATGTAGTTTGCAAGAAATCCGGTTACCTGTTTAAGCGGAATGATAAGAACAAAAAATGGAAATCCATGTTCTTTGTGCTTCAGATGGATGGAACAGATGTACACCTGCTAATGTTTGAAAGTCCAAAAGTAAAATTAATTGTCAACCATAATTAATATAGGTTAGTTTGTAAATTTTACTAAATACTGCTCTTTACAGAGGACAAAACCCAAAGGGTTGGTTGATCTTGGGTGTGCTTATGTAAGTACATATTATCTTATTTAGTTATTTTTGTAAAATATATTTTTGGACATTGTGGAAAAGTATGGAATATATTAACAAATCCCATCTCTGTTTTCAGTTGTATCCACTTCATGACTCTTTCTACGAAAAGCCTTTTTGTTTTCAATTGGTAGAAAGAGCTTTACCATGTAAGTTAGCAAATATTTGTTTTTATTGGTATATAAACATGAATGAATAATGAAATGACCAACAGTAACTCATTGAAAACATGTAAACCAAAGAGACTTTAGATAGACTTTAGATACAATGAAAATTGCATTAATTTTAGATTAGGTGATTGCGAACAATTGATTGCATTCTGTATTATTAATTTATTAAATAAAATCCCCAAGGTCTTGCAACTGTAACGTATTTGTGCAGTCCTAGTCAAGACGAGCTTCAGGTAATTCAAGTTTTGAATATCGTTAACTATATGCTAGGTCCAGAATTACAACTGATTTCATGCGCTTATTTCTCATTTTAGGAGTGGCTTCAAATAATTAAACCATTGTGTATTCCTCAAATGGCACGTGCGCCCAAAATAGCACGCGTTCGAGAACTGAGATGTTTGACTCTTGTAATTCTTGAGGTAAGAATTTATTTTTGCAAGTTGGAAAAATTTTATCCAATTACGGGTTTGAATGCTGAAACATCGTTTGTTTGTGAATATAGGCTCACAGATTACCTTACAAACTAGTGCCAAACCCTATGTGTATCCTCTCTCTGAACCAGGTTAAGGTTGCCAGAACTAAAGTCAAAACAGGATATGACCCTGTTTGGGACGAGGATTTTACAATCGAGTAAGTTTCAGTTTAAGATGTATAAATGGCTTGTCAATTAAAAATGGGACGAGGATTTTACATATACAATGGAGTACAAAACTTTTGTATTTTTTGTGATTATTTGAAATGGCATGTTGTACTTGTGTATGTAGTGACATTCCGCCAGATGTATTAACCTTCACTGTAACTGTATTAAACAAGGGGAAAAGGTAGGCTTGCATGTTTTCTTCAATGTTTTTTTATTTAGTATAGTTTTCTATATTCTGTCTTCAGTATGTATGTACATATGCGATACTCAATTAACTGATAATTGTATATGTTTGGAAAAGAGCAAAAGATTCCGAAGTAGCTGAAATCACTGTTGATCTGAAAAATTTGGCTAATGGGGAAGAGGTAAGTATCACTTATAAATACAAATATTTATATATCTCTATTGTACATACGTTGACGATATTACAATATTTACTTAATGAACAGAAAGAGGAATGGCTTCCATTAAGTGGGATAACCCCAATCGGAGAATGGGGGTCTTTGCGACTGAAAATTGGTAAATTCTGTTTCAATTAAGATTGATCAATTATAAATTGTGCGAATATCCGTTCCAAATATTGTGTAATTGATTGCCTTGCCATGCTATGGATATGAATTACGTCTTGTCGTTTTATAAGAATTTTCTATATACTTTTAGGGTATAGGAATGATCTGATAATGCCGATTGAAGAATACTCGCCGTTGAAAGGGTTACTACTTGATTCCAAAATGGATGGTGTTCGAGCGTTGGCTGATGTATGTCATTCCAGCGGACGAAACACCTTGGGTAAGTCAAGTACAAACGCATTTAAAACTTTACTAGTATGCTTACATATCTTCTTGGATAAGTGATTCGGATCACTCACTTTTATGAGTAATAAGAATAATTAACAATCTAACCTTCTTTTTTTTAGCCAATTCTTTACTTCGAATATTCCGGTATTTGCTAAATTATACTTGTTGCAAATTCTTGCTATTTAAAGATTTGAAAATATTTGTTGTCTAATTGTTGTCCAGGTTTGAAAAGAAAGAAGCTGATTTGTTATCAGCCCTTGTAGAACAGGCCATATTCAAGGAGGCGGAAACAACTACTTTATTTCGCTCAGACAGGTTTGGTTAATATTTTGAGTTTTATTGAATAAGACGTATTCTCTAATACTCGTTTTTTTAATTCATGAAGTTTGACAACGACGTTGATGGATTTGTTTATGAAAAGTGTATGCGAAGATTTTCTGCGTGCTGCCGTTTCTGATACAGTCAATCGAATCTTGGAATCTAAACAAGTACTTTTGCATTATATAATTTTATGATGTCAGGTTTTCTGTTTGAATAATGTCATATTTCTTTTGTTCTAAATTTACAGTCTTGTGAATTAAATCCAAGTAAAATTGAACCTGGAGGTGACAACTGTGCAAATGCAGAGTTGTGAGTATAAAACCACTATAGTTTATTTATCTCTCGTTGTATTTTCAAGGAAATCTGATAATAATCCTCCTTTTTTTTACATTGTTACGTTATAGACTTTTAGTCGTGTTGGACGAAATTACTGAAAATATTTTCATGGCTTACGATTCTTGTCCCTCGTAATTACTTTTAGTATTCTAATGTTGGTTTATTTCCTGATTTATATCTCGTCTTAATTTGTTGTTGGTAGAACTTTGCGGTACATCTTTGGTTGTATGCAACGTGCCGCTATGTCCAGGTGAGAAACTTTAATAGTGCAATTAAAACTAGAGAAATCTAAAAGTCTTATGTGTGTGCATACAGATGGCCTAATGAACGACTGGTCAAAACAAGAGTCATATCAGGATTTATTTTCCTTCGTCTAATATGTCCAGCGTTGCTCAATCCTCGCCAGTTTAACCTGGTTTCTGGTAAATTTCAAATATTTCGATCGAATGTGTGATCATTCAGTTTGTTGCTTATTACTATTGTTTTACTTTAGAACCACCTCCACAAATGGCTGCAAGGTCTCTCGTCATGATTGCAAAATGTCTACAAAATTTGGCAAACTTAGTGGAATTTGGTGGGAAAGAACCATACATGGAGGTAATTTATGATTAATCACTTCTTTTATACATACACAAAGATCAATAGTTATAAAGTTAAACTATGCACCCTGAACTAGTACATAATGATGCATACATATATATACACTATTATGCATTTATGACTCCAGGTGGTGAACCCATTCATTTTGAAAAACAAGGAACGAATGGTAGTTTTCCTTGATCACTTATCGGTAAGCTTATTTAAAATTGGACGATTTTGGACAATTCAGCTAAATGAATTTAGGAATAATGTGTACTTTATATGGTAGAACAAAAAGGAACGACCAGAACCCGAAGAATATCTTAAACTTCAAGGGGACCCCGCAAGGGACATGGCAACTGTACATCACATTTGCATGAACCACTTTAAAGATTTACAGAACCTCAGCAGAGTCCAGGTTTGGTTAATAATATGAAATGAACGGGCAGGGGATGGATAAGAATTTAAAAGCATTTTATTTTTTCAGCCTACCATCAAGAAGTTTGTTACAGGTAAACTAGTGGTGGTATTTTACTTAAAATACTTTGTATATATTAATGTTTTTTGTTAATTTCAGTGACCGAGATGTTGAATAAACATAAACAAAAGTATCGTGAAATGATCCGGACCTAAAGGCAGATGCGTACAAAATTGATCGGCATCGGATCTAGGGAACGAACAATATACCAATCGGATATTATTAGTGACTGGCTCTAGACGCAAGTTCTTGAATATTTAGTCTCTTCTTCTTGAATAATCTAAGGATGTGTAAATGCACGGTTGTTTCCTGTCCTTGCTCACCGTATCTTAGTGTTTATATGCTCCAATTTGCCATTTGGATGAGTTTTGTTTTGTAATTTAATTGTAGTTGTCTCTTTTAAATTAGGCAACTTGTTTTTTTCAATCATGACAATTTAAATTTAATCCGTTCTTCGAATATTTTAAAATTTATACCAAATGTGCTCATCGATAGTGTAAAGAGCTAATTGCGGAATTAGAATTTACTACATATATACATGATCTACCAAAATAAGTCACTATTAATTAATAATTACTTGTATAACTAATTCTAGAAATATGCGAATGATTCGCTTCGTAAGCTCGACTATGCATGTTCCCATTTTTATATTTAGTGTTAATGAATAAATACACACTTTGGTCGGAAAACTATGTTTGTTTATTTATTCAATTGATATAAATTCTAGTTTAATGCATAAAAATATGCATACAGTATAATGAAACATGTGTATGAATACAAAATTTATTAATAATACTCATTTCCTCTAGTTTATAATGTTATATATTTTTAGTAAGTAACTATAATTCGGTACTGATTTCATGTGCAGTTGTTGACATGGTCTGCTTTTTAACAACTTTCTGTGGTAGTTCTGGGGATGATGATCCATGTTTAACCTGAAAATGATAAACGTTTTTTATTGTCTAGAATTCTGAGCTGTAGTCCCACGTAAATACAGAAAGCCAAAAAATCGTCCAGTATTTTGTGTATGTAAATGTACCTATGTATATATGCTCGATTAGATGGTAACAGAGAAGCTAGAAATTTGACAGGAAGGCGAAGAAGAGTCGTTGTTGAAAAAATAGATGTCACAAGGATAATAGATCTGAAATAATAACAGGAGTAAAGTTGTTTGTACAAATATATACTTTTTTTACAGAATTTGTTGAATATGAATATGAGCATGTACGAATGTGACGTGCGACAAAGCGTGGAAACATTATGTACGCGTGGTGTACCTATCGTGCGTGAGGATGGGAGGTGAGAAGTTGTTGGGTTATTTAATTCATGTGTAAGGAAAGGCTTCCAGGGGAATGGGTCAAAGGACTACAAATACAAGGACACATAAATTACAAGGATAATAAGCAGTGTGATGGGACGACGGCGATGAGGTAGTTGAATTACGTACATATTATGTGCAGTAGTTTTGTGCTAGAGACGCGTGCGTGTGCTAGTGACCAAGGGCGTTAAAATCATTTCAAGACTAGACGATCTACTGTGCGTCGTCCCTCGCTGTTGCGTTGCTGCCTCACCGCTGCTGCTGACGTGCCTTCCGGATGACGATGGGGGGACATTTACCGTACAAAAGTCACCTCGTCCTCCACCATTTCGTGTTACAGCGGACGAGTTGGAGGGGGTTTCGACGGGGATGGGCATGGGAGGGATTTGGATGACTTGCTTAAATTTCTCGATCGGAATAAACTGGTGAATCTTTGGGTCAACTGGCTTCCTTGGACGCCTATCCAGTGTCATTGTCCTTCGGTCGGGAAGAGCGTGGTGGTTTGTCATATGAGTAAAATTCGTTGGCGGACCCAATAACTGTTCAATTTATAAATGATCAAAACTAACATTTGAATTACATTAAATTTCGTAAAGACATACAAATTAGTTATTACATATTAGACAGGTTGAGGGATCATGGAATCAGAGTTACAATATGTGAGTAATATTTAGTTTAGTACATATAAATAGTTGTATCAGTTAATAAATTTTTACGCTACATTGCACTACAGTTTAAATAGAAGTAAAAATAGTTAAATTGTTAAGAGTAGTGGAAGGCTCAAGAATTAAATCCAAATGGCGAGAAAGCAGCATTATTGTTGTGACATTCATATTATTATATTATTTACATTAAAAGCATTATGCAAGGATTTATCCAATGCAAAATCATGCAATTTATTAGATGCTTATTAGATGTCATGCTAGAGTATTTTTCAGTATAAATTGGTTACCCAGTTTTGTTGCATCTCATGTCCGTTCCAATATCTAGCCGGCTGACTTGGATGAGATGTATTTCCGACATTATTTTGAGAATCTGTTTGGTCCTTTGAACCACGTCGTGGCAAAGTATACCCCAAACTGCTGAATGTCTCGCTTCTGAGTTGTAATTTTAAAAAATATATTTGTGTTTATGAAACTTTTAAAACGAAATAAGAATGCATGCATCACAAAAAAATAAAAACGAAGCCAACTAACTTGTAGTACTCGTGATGATCTGTTCCAAGACCAGAGTCGCTGTTTTGAGAATCCACTTTCTGGCTGTCGGGCGACTCTGAGGGCGATGGATGATGTATGTCATTGGCTTCATCGCAGTTGAACAACATTATGGGATTTCTTTGACGGCCTGCAGTGCCTAACTTGGCAGAATTTAAGTCATCAAACCCCTTATTGATTGAAGCTTTCGTCATGTTTTGGGCCACCACTTTACTTGGAGGCGGAGGGACTACGAAACCTTGGTTGGAATAAGTTTTTGGTGAAGCTGGAGTCAGTTGTTGTCGTCCATTAAAGCTTAAATTTGTTTAAATTCTGGTCAGTCAAGTTGCTATTATATTTGCATAATTATTAACTTGTTATAGTTAAAAACCTCGATTTGAATGCAGGCGATTTGGTAGAAGCTGAAGAAGTTGAAGAAATCGGGTTCACTGAGTCTGAGACGCTTAGAGAATCGATTCCCTGACTATTTGAGGACGTTGGAGGTGTGTACGGGGGAGGTGGACTATCGCCAGCAGCGCTCGGTAGCTCAGATTTTGACATCGAGGCCGAGTTTCTGATTATTTATTATTACTTTTATTCTCAAGCAATTTAAATCAAAATAAATGACCTAAGTAAATCTAATTATGAATTATAACAAAAGTGTGAAACTTACTCAGCCGTGTTTTGTCTCAAAGTATGAGAACGGTTACTTTTTATACTGTTGTAGCGAATTTTACTGGTTTTTAGGGCACTATTATTAGTTTCAACTTTGACGTATGGAATATCTTCCGGCATTCCAACTGGGTCAATTAAGTGGAAATCAATGTGCTTCTTTAGTTCGTCTGGGAGTCTTTCTTTAGGCGACTTTGACCTAGAGTTTTAGCAGTGTTGCATTTAATGTAATTTTTTCAAGCGTAATTTTATAAGTACACGTACAACATGTATTTAGATATTCTATTTACATATGTACTATGTAAGTAAATTGTGATATTGAGTGGCATGCGAGCGATGGGGAACTTGTATTACCTGTGCCTCCTATGTCGTCGTTTATTTGAATACGACATCTCGGACTCCGTTTCCAATCCACTGTTTGCGTACCCAGACTTCCTTGTGGTCGCAACGCTGGATGTGGCCGTAGTCTTTGCTGCACAAACAACGGCCGCTTGTTGTACAGCAGCCCCAACTGCGGCTTGTTTCTTTTGGGCTTCCTTCCATTGAACTTCCGAATTTACCAGTTCATACTTTCCACTGCTGTGTCTATATTACAGGATTAATTGCAAATTAATAATCTCTTTTTCAATTGTTTCACCACTTCAATTTGATAACCGATATATACCGATGTCGATGTCTGTGTTTATGTCGATGACAATTTTCGGATTCGGAACCAGAATTTTCTTTTCGAGAAGAACTCTTGTGTCTTCGCTTGCTGTGATGAGAAGAACGCGAAATCTCACTGTGGGAAATAAATAACGTAGCTTGACATTTTACATGGCATAGTTGATGGTAAATCATTTAGAATTTTCTGCACAAGACAATTTATCTTTGCTCATTTCTGTTCGCTCTACTGAAGTCAATACAATCGAGAAATATTTGTTCATATCATGTCCAGGCACCATTCTTTACCTTTCATTGTCTGAATTTTTTCGACTTCGGCTATGTCTATGTCTGAAAATATCATTGTATCATTGGATTGCTATCATTGGATAACATTTTGCATATATGTAATATTGAATCACGTTAAAATATTACCGACGATGAGACCTTGAATCCACTGAACTATTACTTTCCGCACTAGCCGATCGCTTTCTGTCTTTTGAATATTCTCGCTGACGTTCCCTTTCCCGATCCCCATGCATGTTTCCCCCAACTCCGGCCGACCTAACAGATCTGGAAATGAATACAAATTGTACTCTCCCACTGATATGTTTGCATCTGTTTTCTTAATTTTGTCATCGCATTTATCCAAGTAATTTGGGGTTTGTAATTATGTATGTGTGTAAATATATAGAAAATTAACAATTGAGTAAAGTTTTGCGTTCGTGCTGTAATTGATACAGAGAGTGACTTGGTTTGACTAAAATTCGGATATACAGCCATCAAAATATACCTTGGACTTGGGACTGAATATGCGGATTTTGTTGTCGTAGTGTGGGGGGCAGGCCAGGGTGCGCTTCTCACGCTTCTTGGCGAATCCGCTCTTGTCATTTGAGCCATGGAATTGGTTCTGTATAACGGGCTTGTGCTAAAGGAGTTTAAAAATGTGGATATTACTCGCCAGAAAAATTAATGAAGCATTGTTATGTATAAAATATTTTCCAAGTTCTCGTACGTGGAAACGGGCTGAGGAACGGATATTGTTTTATTAATCCCATTAGAATGTTGTACATCCACCACAGCGTCTTCCCTGTTTTCTGACCCTGCAACTTGAATCAAATTAACATATGAGTATATCGTTCATTGTAAAAAGAAGTGGAAATTTGTTGCATGAGAAAGTTTAAAATGCTTTGATCCCAGGCGAATTTCCTGTTGTGTCGTCGTACGTTGTGAGAGTACGAGTATGTGGAAAAATATAAGTAGCAGTGATCAAAAGAGTAACGAATGGGCGTAATTCAAGGTGAGCGTGAGAATTGCTTTATCACCGAGTTGGACTTCATCATTAAATACTTGACTATATGGACTGTGGCAAGTTCGAAAAAATTAAATGACTTTATTAATGTTTTTTCCTAACCATCATGACTGCCTTCAACCGCACGCCTTGTATATCTTCGACTTGGGGTTCGTACGAACTGTGGTTGTGCCCGGCGTCGCACGGAAGATTCACTGCGGCCACTAAAAAATTGAAATACGAACAGGGTAATTATTTATTAAGTCAGTTACCGTTAAGCTACTCATAATTGACCAAGAAGGTTACTAACCTGTCCCGAAATCGAGAATTTAGGGAATTTATCTTGTTTCCAGAATTCAGCGATGTGGGGGCAACTTGAACAAGACTGAAAAAAATTGTCTAAATTATGATATTGCTTTATAATACTACTACATGTTATTGTATGACATTGTCACATGCGACAATCCTCCTCCTCCCATCATATGGCTAATACATATAAATTAATTAAACTAACCGGAAGAATGCATGATGTTCGACTGCACATTTCCAAAGGTGCTTACAAGCTGCTCGAGACGGGAGAAAAGTGTGAAAAAAGTTAATTTAAATTAAACACAAACATTTATTTGTTATTGCATATTTTTCCGTGCTTACCCCTGGCAGACGGTGTTTCAAAACCGTAAGTTTGTTCCTCATTCTGAAATATAAACCACACATGATAAGTGCATTCTTATATAGTTTTGGTGGAATAGCAAAGTGTATATGTACATATGTATATGAAAATACTCACGCTCTTGTTCCGGACTCTGATCATAAAATATTTCCCTTTGTTGTTCAGCTTTGAAATTCTCGGCCTGTGAAGTTTATTTTGATCATAAATTTCATTCAGGTTGCATATATATGTTCCGCAATTAAACAACCGAGAAACTGTACCAGAAATAATTTCCGACTTTAGTTTTATTGCGGAGAACAATGATCCCAGACGGGGTTAGTCCAATCCAATCCAGATGATCATGTTGGTCTCCACCCTGAAAGAAAGATTATATGCATGTGATGACAAATCTGGACCACAACAACAAATGCATTAAAAATACGATTATGTGATATAATATGCACATATATAAATATATATGTATGTCCTTGTTAAGTAATAACAAACATTAAATAACGGGTGAAGAGCATTTAAAATACATTTGACTTGGATTTTGAATTCACAGGACAAAGTGAATGGTTAAATTCGGAGTTTCATAAGATCCTCCACAAAGGAATCAGGTATTTATAATTTCATAAAGGAGGTAAAAGGGTGAAGGAAGAATGAACTCCCCAACCAACGAGAGAATTATTATCCATCAAATATTCCCCCCGAAGCGATCCAGATCGAAGCCATTTGACCTCCTTCCTTGCCCAAAGCATTTAAATCTGTGGTAGTTTCCACCTAATTATACTTTGTAAAATGGGTTTCCAATGAAGGGGAAGTCAGGAACGTTGTGCGAGGGAAACTTCCATTAAAAAGTGCAGCACAAGAAAAGTTCAAACCTGTTATTACATCTTTCAAAAGTTCGCTCAGGCAATGAACGAACCATTTTATCCTTTGCCGTACGTTTTTAGAGGAAGGTTGTTAACAGCTAGGAAAAAATGGAACGAGAGACTTTACGATATCAAGTCTTCCTCTGGTGATGCGGGGTTTCTTGCGCTGGATTAGAGTTTACATGGATCATAGATCTTTTTAATTTCTTTAGTGATCACTAATATTTCATGTCGGAGTGCTCAAAGAGAAGCCGATATGAGATGGTAAATAGTTTCTATATAGCGCAGCATACATACATCCAGAGGGTGTACAGACTTATGAAAAATATAGATCATTAGAACGTTGTAACATTATTGAATCAATCGTGCATTTCTTCTTTAATTTAAATTTTGTGGGTTGCATATTTGGTATTATTATCTGAATAAAATTCTAGAGTATTTATTTCAGAAGGAAATTTCTTCAACAGAATTGTAATGTATTTAATATGTCAACACGAGCTTGGGGAGGTTGATTATTATTTACTGCGAGTAAACAAATACAAATAAAATCTGATAAATATTTAAGCCCTACAGTAAATTAAATACGCATATTCAGTCAGTAATTATCAATGGGAAACCTACATGAATGAAATTGTACTACGACCTCATCTCATGAAAATCCTTTTACACGATTGTATGCATTTCAGTATAATAAAATGAAGGATTTGTATCTGTTGTAAAACGTTAGGAAATAACTACTGTAGTGAATGGATACACAGTGCAAGGGTGTGGAGTGGTACATATGTATCAGTCAATCTTTGAAGTATTTATGGATAATGTAAAATTAGAAGAATGTGGGCAAATGACATTGCATTGCTTCAATGTTAATAAAGCAATGCATAACTACGTACGATGTCCTCCCGAATTCCTTGAGGCATACTTTGATGAGATTCCTTGACGAGTGATTTACTTCTGATTGACACATTTCAACTACGCATGTTCAACTATCTGTATTAAAGTTGTTCGCTAGCTGCCCAAAATTTGAGCAAGCAATTGAAAGTGTCACTTCCAATTTTTTTTAACCCTACTCAACTTTCCACTCAAGTTTCGTCGAATCTCAATCATTTTTATTATTTGTGTCGTAATTGGTGCCTTTAAGCTCAAATCCAAAATAAGAGAACGGGTGTCGCATCGTATCAATTATGTCTATAAGTTGTTAGTTTATGACCCCTGTGACCAGTAATTAAAACATTTGCAATCAAAATTCTGACCAAGAGGGAGTGAGCTATTGCTGTATAGGCGTATGTATAAAAAATTAAGTGCCATCACGTCGGGACAATTAATGATCAGATCAAGGCAAACATAGGTAATCAAGATTTGCTGCTGCTCTGCTTTTCAAACTTTGCCAAATTTTATCAATGTAGTGATCGATCATTCTTTTCCTCTCCAACTTTTAGTGTGTGCGAGTATGTGTTAGATATTAAAGTCTTGATGGGATTGGAAACACATTAAGATAAGAAGATAATTTGATCAGCAGAGAGCTAGTCGAAAATGGACATCGGAGTTTTTATTGCGAATCGTTAGGGGCAATTTTAAGGTGTTGAATTACATAGGAGGACGACAAACTCATAAAATGTTAAGTTACAAGTTTATCAGCCCTGCCCATTCCACGCATGAAAGATCTGTGTTGCTTATTTACGATCATTGACATGGTTCGAGCCAAATCAAATGTTATTGGAAATTGCAAGAATTAGATTATACATGCAAATGCATATACATAAGTACAAGCACACATACATTTGTTAGATGCATACATACGTAAAGTGCTACAATTACAATATCTACTTGATGTTCCATAGCCATACTATGTACAGTATTGTTACTGCAAATGTCAAGAAAGTTTTCGGGGCACACGTTGGAATGATCTATTATCTTGTTAGACCACGAATCAACAAGTTCCAGATATTTATTTGTCTAGTTTAATGGCAAAAAGCGATAAATCTTTCCCTGCGAATAAAATTCGTGAACTGATAAGTAAGGTGTTCCCATAAATATGTATAAAGTAAGGAGTGGGAAGGAGACTCATTATTTTGTGCATAGTATGCAATCCAAATTAACGGCCAGAAGTCGACGTTTCGAACCTGCATCCTCACACTCACATTGACGCTTCCCGTGATCCGCCACCTCAAAATTTCCTCCGGTACTTCCCACTCCTTACTTTATTATACCCCCACAATTTACCGTATATGCTCTCAAATATGTTCATCATACATGATATTCTACGTAAGGGTGAAATTTACTATTACATGCAGAATGTCAGTAATATTTTCATACGTCGCATTATTATCATGAAATTTTAGCAGTACGTGACGCCTAGATTTTTAACCAGGTAAGTGCATATCCAATCCAAATATAAGGAAGTTGTGGCCTGCTTACCATCACGATGTGCAGGTCGACACCATACATCTCAAGCCATTTGACTTTTTCCAAGTAATTAATCTCTGCAACGGCAGGTACCTGACCTCTGCAACATAATGTATAATCATTAGTTAATTGCATCACTTACTCGGAAATTGTAATTAAATATGACAATGACTTTGGTTTGAATTGACAAAAAGTAGCTCGTGCATGAAAAAGGTGGATGGTTTAACAGTTTTCGGTAGGATCGTGCAAAAGTGAGAATTGAAACACAGATTTTTAGATAACAAGCTTTTAAACGGCGATTTTAAAGCCAAAGCGTTTTAATAATATAGTAGTTACCCAAAACTCTTGTGTAGTTCAGTTATGGAGGCTTCAAGATCAGGAGACTGGTTGGACACAAAACGGAACTGAAATAGTTGAATTAATCGAGATTTAGTTTTTGAATAAAAAATAGCATTTATTACGCTGAAGAAATGGACCTGCATGTTGAAAAGACTCTTCGTTTAAAAAGTAAATGCACACATGAACAGGTACAAATGTCAAAGTGTAAAATCATATTGTTTATTCCTGGATTCGTAGCATGCATTAAACTAATGAAATTGATTTTGTAGAATGCGACTTTCACCAAAGATAAATGTAGTACACTCACGTTTTATATTATGAAATAACGCGTGTGAAAATGACTTAACTTTTTGGGAAAGTGATTCAATTGCAAGCAATACGTTGACTCAATAATTATTTTCTTACTATTATTTTATTTACATATGTATTCGAATAAAAAAACACTTATTGCTTACCTCAGAAATATAACCGGTACAATGACGTCTTGGATCATAGTCACCAAGTTCAGCTGAAATATAATAAGCATTTCAGGCATAAGCAATAATTAATAGGCTGCATAGTTCATGGTTCATAATTAAGTACGGTCATTCACTGTCCAAGGTAAATGCAAGTTAAAAAACCCTGAAGATCAATTCCTGATTCAGATTCCACAAAAAAAATCCTCGAAAAGTTCCCAACCAACTACTTTTTTGTTGTAATACAAGTCTGAACAAGCCACATAAACCAGCACAATTCTTGTCACCCAACTTCCATGTAATCCTGTGAACGGAAGAAGCAACATGGGGTCGTCGTGGGCTTCCCTCTTATTTCATGTGCATGAGCAACACAAAAAAGTCGTCGCGAAGCAAAACAATCAACAACGGCAACCAGGGTGGTTGGCTCTTCATTCGACTTTATATCATCTCATTCGAATTGTGAAAAGCCTCGTTTCAATCATTTCGACCTCATGAGATTTCAAAACCACTAGAACGGTTCAGCCTTGTGAGAATTAAACATTGTTCCAGGCATGAATTATTTCAAATGAGTCTGCTCCTATCACATTAAAATATTTTCTTTTGTATACTCTAACCAATTTTTGCTCCAAAGTACTTATAACATTATTGCATGTTATTTAATGTTGTTCAATAGATAATATTATTTGTAAAGAACAAATAGCAATTCCAAAAATAATAAAAATTGTTTAATTAGCGATCAACCTAAGCCCAAAATTTATCGAGGCAAACAATTTAATGTGTGTATCTATTATGCTCTTGTATATATTTGTATGCATGTACATGTGGGGACGAGTGTGAGATAATAATAAAGGAAACAGGTTATGTTTTCTTGACATCTTCATCTTATTACTTGTATGTCTGGATACGTATCTTGTATCACACCCGAATGCTTCCTATACACCAATTGGTTGACATTAGGTGGACCTGAAGTGTTACATGTTTAGCATTCCTGGGATTTACTACAGGTGCCAAATTCTGACTGCCAGGACACCCAGGGCACTAAATTGAATTGATACTCCTTAGTAAATATGCACGTTTCTCGCAATATGTATCTTGTAACTTCATACATAGTGTCAATATTTGTAAATCTCATGCATTCTGATTTTTGTCAATGAGGAATGTCATCGATCATTTTGAACAAGAAAATCTCTTTTTTAATTTCGTATGCAATTCCAAAAGTTTAAATTATTAGTTTTAACTTTGACATTTGCCATTCCGGAAGAAATTAGAAACTTGAGCCAATTTTTAATTGTATAAGAGCAGGGATCAATTCGTGACTGAATATCGAGTAATGAGGAAATTGATGATAAGTGAAATTAAGAATATGTGTATGCTGTAGTTTCTAAATGAAATCAATAATGTTCGCAAAATCTGTGCATTTACAGACAAGCATATTTCGAGAATTTGGTAATGATCCCCAATAGAACTTGTCAGCCATGAGTATGTGCAAGTGAAGAGATGAAATAATAAGAGTCCTCAGGTAAGACAACAGCCGAGATAATCCACGTCAAGTAAAAGTTCACTGGTCATTTATGTACACGTTTCTCATGATGCACTTCACATCCCACTTACGTATGTCATATGTACCTTTCCTTACACATTACAAATAAAAAATGAAGTGAACCATCCTTAAATCGCACCGTATTGCATTGGTTGTCAACATTCAATCTTAATAATTGTCCCTTTATGGGCAATAATATTAATTTCAAGAGAGCCATTTTAAAATGGATGTTAACTGTTTGGCCGATCGCACAATTATGATGGCTGTGATTATTTTCTTATTAACAAACTTTTGCGAAAAGCCTTCAATGCAGCCAGTAATATAATTCGTTGAATGGTACATGCAAGTATTACTAGAGTGTGGGTATATATTTATTAGGCATGCAAATATATTAAAATGTACAGTAAATAAGCCAGTCACGATTTTAAAGTCATACATCTGTCCTATGGACGAGCATATGTACATGCATGCGTAAGTACCAAAGGATTCATTCATTCGGTCGTATGAGCTAATTTTGATTTTGAGCTAATTGAAAATCCCATAAAATATGATCTTTGACTTGTCTGTCCTCCCACCAATTACGAGGTAATAAAATGAAGCTTTCCTCTCGCATTAAAATCAGATCAAATGACTTTTATTGCAGCAACCAATAATGTCGCAACAAAATTGATCAAGAAATTTTACGAGGTGTTCAGCAATACTTTTTTTTGTTGTAAAACATAAGGTAATATTCAGAAATGGAATACCCCTTATTTATTTCTGTGAATTTTAATCTTACTGATTCCATGAAGTTTTTTTACAATATATATACAACCATTGCAATTGAGATGGTCAACCTGTTATATTTTACGATGATGTAGGCGTTTTTTACAGATTGACGTGAATGTGTATGTACATTCTATCCTGTGTACATATGTACCCACTTATGTATGCACAGTAATACTCTTAAAACGCTATCTAATTTCCTCTAAGATTTTAATTTAGTACAAGTACATTACGTGTATATGTAGCTCTCATTTTTTCTCATTTAACAACCTTATGTAATTTTTAAAAAACTATTACATTGAACGGCATAGGCGCACAACTCGGCTGCAAGATCAAATGGTACCGGCAATCTATAACATAAATCCAATGATATATTAAAATATGGCGGCTATCTATGTATTTGCGAATAATGTACGTAAGAGTCAGTCCTTACCTTCCTTGGAGAACGTCGGATTTTATTTGAAGATAGAATTGGTACCTGAGGATAAAAAAGTAGTCATACATAGTTAACATTTTTAATTACGACATAATTATCTTCAATTAGGTCATCTTCAAATCTTCAAGTTAATTAAGCTTAATTTAGTGAGCGAAATAGGCTATTTGTCAAATTCTGTCCTAAAGTCTGAATAGCTAATAAGACTGAATCGTGCACACATGCACAGGTTTAAAATAAATATGGATGCATCAGAGATATATGTAAGAATGTATTTATGTAGTGTTTCGACTAATAATGTACGATAATTTTAATCTGATATTACATGAAGCGTGTTGAAATATATTTTATAAAGGTTGACAAAACTGTGAGAAATAATATTTAATTTTTTAACATGTTTAAATGAGTTTTGTCCTTTCTCGGTGACAGAATAGGATAGGCTGAGGCTGGGAAGGACAGAAGCCACAAACCCTGCATGATGGAATGAGAAGTGGTTAAGATTTTGAGATAGAAATTTCAAATACGTATGTACGTGATTACTTGTGTTAATATTTTTCTCATTCAGAGGCTAGAGCCAGCTCAGGTTTATTAAGATGTTGATTTGTCCCTAAAGCTATGTTGAGTTATTTGGCAACAGTCACTTGTGTCTGACATTTACACATCCTTTCCCAAGTTTCCCAAGTAATTAGTTTGCAACTCATACGTACGAGGAGAAAATCAAGGAGTGGAAATTAAATGAGGATTTTTTATCGGAATAACATAACTGCACCATTGTCTTTACACTTTACTGAATAAATGTGCATATTTAATTCTTCTTCCTTCCCTTATAAAATGGTCGTCTTCAAGAATCTTACACGAAACCCTCAATTCATGCGTGTGATAAATGTGCACAAAAACTAATGTGACAATTTATACACTAAATATTTTGGCTAACCAAAATCCAAATCGTGGTTCATGTGGCTAACTTTTTTGTGGTGCAGCCGAATATTGTGACAGCTCGTTATTTATGCTACATTTATCGTGCACGATCTTCGTTCATAATCAGGAACAAACTCCAGGTGCAAATTCTCAAGCACTTCCTTCGCAGTCATTGCAATAATCTCATTCTTATGAGTTTGCACTGCATAATATAAAATATAAGTATTTCGTTATGCTAGTGGTTTAGTAAAATGAATTCGAACTGGTTATAGTGTAATACAAATGACTAGAATGAAACCACGTTAACTACCTGGCATTATACAAGACGCATGACATTATTCACCGATATGATTATGATCTTGTACAAAAACCACGTAAAGCTTTGTGATTTCAAGTCAAAATATAATTTGGAATTAAGTTATAAAACTGTAGCCGTTGTGAATATTTATTTTTGTCATATATTTGTAATTTTTCTTAAAAATCACTTTGACTTACCGAGTAATTTCTTCCAGTAGTTTGCATGGATCTGCAGCGTAAAATTTGACCCCAAAATAAAATGTGTAGGGTTCGGTATCTGAAATTTCAATTTAATTTGTAAACAAGTTTCGGAAGCCTGGGAGTATATTTCACATCCTGGTATGTTTGTGGTAATTTGTGAATTAGTTTATGAGAGAACTCACAGAACAAATATTTAAATTTTACAAGGAAAGAAACAAACCACTGTTGTTCACAGTAATAATCGTAAAACATTATTATCTTGTTGGTGCAAATTGTTTGTGTGATGCTGATATTTTGACGAAGACGATACAAACATGCTTAAAGATATCTACATGTCTGACGAACAGGCCACTTTTATCAACAGCATAATATCTGCCAAGACTTAAATATTTGGAATGTTGTGCACTGACAACTGAGTGGAATAAATGTGTCAATATTTCACGTAATTGAAAAAAATGCATTGTTTACTGGAATGTACACTAGGTTTGCATTTGCATGCCATAAGGATGGCAATTTTAACCGGTGAAAAGCTAAAGCATACAGATGGTAAAATGACAAAGGAGTCATCAAATCAAGTAACTGCGGTTTTGTGCTAGTAAAACAAGGAAACAATGGGATAATAATAACTCATTAAGATTTGCTGACAGAATGTCTGGGTAACATACTAACCAACTTCTACATAAGTTAGTCATACAAGAAATTATTTGAATAAAAACGGAATGATCCATCCTGATTACAGTCACGTATGTATGTAGAGAACAATTCATCAACAGATTCTTTTCTTCCTAATTGCACCTGCAAATAATGGTGATACAATGACCAATAATTCTAATTGAGATGAATGGGAGGTGTTGCAAACATAAATATTACCGAGATTTCTATATGTGTATTATTCAAAGTTTGCTAATTCAATTTCTCACCCTACTCGAAATAAGAACACCAATGCGTGCGTATTTATTTATATGTGTCACTCAGCAATGCTATCAGTAACACTGATATTTAAAGAAATTGAAATATCATTCTATTAAATCATTAGCTAGACTTGTATTACTTTGACTTTGAAATGCATTTATGCAAATCATGGTTTATTCAAAAGTAGAATATACACAACTCGAAACTCGAACACAAACAAAGATCACTATTCTCAATTTTGGATTCAAATAAATATCTGTGTCAGATCTCGGCATGATGGTGGCGTTAGCCCCTCGCTTTACTTTACTCCTAATTTCATAAATGTGGACTTTTTTCCTTCAGCAAATGAAAATGTATTGTGGAAATGTGGAATGTTTGCAGAAAACAATGTTAATGTTGGCGAAAATATTGCAATAAGACCTCTTTTACTGTGATTTATATCCCCACATCCAAGTTAAGAAAACATTTTTTATGACACTATCAAATTCACTTACCTTCAAGTTGCTTGATTATTTTCTTCCCCGGATCTAGCCAGTTCTGCAAATATCAAATTACAACCATTATATTTTTGTTATTTTTGTATTTTCATTCATTTTTGAATCTTTTACATACATGAGGATAACAGAAATTATATAGTTAAGGATCTGAACAAAATTAAATATTTTAAACACGATGGACGGGTTTGCTTGAATATGTTCCTACATGTACGTTGATATTTCGTGGGCAGATTGAATCACATTACAAGATTGGTATTACTATTGTGGTGCGTTGTGTTGTTATATTTTGTAGTAAAAATTAATGAACTTTTGTAATGAAGTAGACAGTGGGTGAAACGAGCTGTCATTTGGGGAGAGACCAAATAACATTCAATTTATAATTCTTTCATGGTCAAGCATCGCAACTAATTAATTAATTTTTTGGTGAGATATAGTTTTTGAGATGCCAAGATGCAATACTTCATATCCAATCCTGGCTCTAATGGTTGAACAATTTTGAAAGAACGTCCTCTGAATTTATATGAACAAATTAAATGTATTTTATGATATCTTCACTAACTCAGCTTCGTAGGACTTGATTTTTACTTTGCAGCACGTGGTAGTAACGAGATTTGCAACTTTTATGTAACACAGAAGTTGATTTTTTAGCTAGATAGTAGCAAAATGTTATCCGGATTCCGGACTATTTAGTGACTGACTCATCTTGAAATAAAAATCAGAAATAGCAACAAATGATAGAAAATAATTAAATATTTGTGCAACGTCTTCAATAACTCACAAAAAATGTTCTTTACATCACCATAAAAGTACTGGCATTCATTGAAATTCTTGCAATTCTTGTCACATATTTTTAAAGACCTAGAAGTTAAAATTTGGAAACATTTGTGTAATGCACATTTTCTAGTACGCGTTATCCAACAAATAATTCGTACAGTGTGTAAAATCCTGAGTTAATTTGTGCAATTATTGAAAACCTCATTTATGCAATTCAAATTACCCTTGCTTCATAGTTAAAAATAGCAACAATAGTCATGTAATTATTATCAAAGACGATCGTAATGATATTATTTGGCTAAGGTTACTTCTGCTCATTGTGCCCGCGCCCACTTTATCAAAACTAAACTCTAGCAGTGAACAATTATTTAATTGTGGTTATACCGTTGGCCCAATCAGCTAGAATTTCAATCATTAAGTTACTACGCATGATGAGATAGACTAATCTGGTTTAAGACCAACTCTGGCTGAGTAAATAAACACTGATTACAAGATTAGCCCTGGCCTAGTCATACATAAATAAGTACATCGACAGACATATTGGAATGATGAAATTCATAGGTGCATGAATTAGAGCTTAAATTGTATAATAAAAATTGTATTTTTAAATTATCACGACGTTTCATGAATTACACTTACATGCACACGTTGAACAAGTACAAGCCCCTGCTGATAATTGGGAGAATTTACATTCATGAGATTTGGTATTCAATGTTCGCCCATTTATTATTATTGTCGGAATACGTGCAACTACAAAGTCGTGCCTTATCGTGACCTACGGTTTGTCATCATTGAATAAATAAGAAGTATTACATAGTGCAGCCTTTGCTTACTTGTTGTCAGCCGGATGAATAATGGTTCACAATTTTTACTAAATGAAAGCGGACAAGATTCACAGTTTATTTCGACCTATGATGACAAACACTTGGCGAAATTTCGACAGTATTATTCTCTTAATTTATTATGAACTATGAGTATTTATGGTCCATCCTACTCAAAAATTGTGCCTCCTTCGCATCCTCCTTGCCTTGTCTGACAATCTCTATTTATTAATAAATACTCATTGACCACCCCGCAAAGAACATCCTTCTGCCTTGCTTGAGGACAAAATTTGACTGCAAAAACAGGTCCAATTTTACAAACCATTTATCACATGAAGCGACTAATCAGGATAGGATCTTTTCTGTAATATTCTCGACGGGTTGGAACAGAAGCTAGCTTAATTGCTTTGAAATTTTGTACTTTGTGAATGGGATGAAGCAGATTGATGTATGATTGTCGTCGTAGTGTAGTGTAAAACGCCTTCAATTACAAAACAAAATGAAGTTGAAGTGCTAATTTTTCATGAATCATGCTCCCTTTGTTCTCTGCCAACCTTACATGGACATTCAGCAAATAAATTAAATTTCAAAGAATCAGTGAAAAAGAAGGCGCACTTAATTAAAAAGTAAAATTATCGAAAGGCCACTTGCCTTTGCTATCTTAATTATTGTAATTAAGATGAGGTTCATGATTGTGGCACAGAGATTTCGTCAGATTTCGCAGTTAAGTACTCATGAGTTGCCAGTGTGAGAGGTAAGTAAATGAGTCAATTTAATTATTGTGCCACCAACACAATAAATTAGATCTCTAGTTAATTGACATACAATAATAAGTGCATTCTTACCGTTTGTCCTGTATTATCGATAAATCGTAAGCCGAAGTACGCCGTCTCAATAAGATTCAAGTGCTTAAATGTATTGTCCAACAGCTCCTGTCCATTTGATGTGCTCTAAAATTCATAAAAATGCATTGATTAGTCATCATTACATGCACATACACATATACTTTAAGCAATGCAAGAATAGTTTTTAAGCATGTTCAAGCTGAGAGCGCAATAAATTTGAAAGTCGACGTAGTCACATAATTAGACTAATTCATTTGTCCTGACAAAATGAAATTTCACTTTCTGTTAATTTAAAGTACAACCTCGCACTAGCTAAATACTTAATGTCACAATAACAACAAAATGAAAATATTGTCAAATGACATAGGTTTAAGCCTTTAAAATCCAAGCAGCTAATAGTTTGATTGTTACATGTGAAAAATGTGAAAATGGATTTAATTCAGTTTCTCATTATTATAAGCTTGCCACGAGGATAACCTAATTCCATGTAAATGTGTACATGCAGAAATTCTCAACATTGATTTTATTTTATTTTCAATCATCAAAACTTATAAAATACTAGACAAATTTAAATAAAGTGAAAATTGAACAGTATTTCTGAAATCTGAGACTTTTCACAACGGCTATTGAAAGGCATTACAAGTCATTACAGAATATTCATCAAAAGTGTGGCGTCCTGACGTAAAAGGAGTCGACCGAAGAAAAAGATTAACAATGAGTTGTCCTTCATTTAATACATACAAATCTCATCAACTGCAATTTGTATACGTATGTATTTACCTCCGCAGGATTGTGCAGGTAAAAGCCTGAGATGATTAAAAAGAACGTACGTACATACGTTAACAAAAGCTCATTTTTACAGAATTGGACCGAGAAGAATCTAAATGTAATGCAATATAAAGCAATTCAATATTTTTCGGGGGTGCACGGTGGGACGCTAAAATGATATAAAAAGTCTGAATCCTAAAAATTTGTGACCAAATTTATTTCGCCCATATTTATGCAGGTTGTTGTTTTTAACTGAAAAAAATTTCCTTGTGTTTTCAATGCACAATTTTTTAATGTACAAGTTCATTTAAAATCCAATATTTGCATAAATTAGTGTAATCTCGAATACCAAATTACTAAAATTAATTTAACTCGTATGGTTCGATTGTATTATGATTACAGAAAATCATGTCAAGATACACCTTTATTTTCTTATGAATTAGCGAATTATGTTTTTTAAACCGTGTTTTAAACTCGGAAAATTATGTAGGTTTGCCATTCTCACTTTCTTTCCTCACGTTCTAAAAAATTAGCATGATTTCTTTTTGTCAACAAACTGGTCGACCATCCCCTAATCTAATTAGTATGATCATGAATTTACTCGGCTCACTTTTTAAGCTTGCCATTTTTACTACGTTGGCAAAATCTAGCAATTTTGGACTTTCAGCGTCAAAGTTTATCTTGAAATTATAGGAATCTGCAAACAAACAAAGCGTAGTCCAAGGAGTCCATAGTGTCCGAGTATTTGATGATGAAAGTTTCATTCATGTATGTGAGATATGTTTGTCTGAAGTCATTCACGCCAACTAAGGAGATTATATCGTCACAATTCTTAATCAAATCAGTTCCATTGTTTTGCCGCAGGGGTTGAATTAGAAATCAGATACGCGTTGAACACCATCAAACCAAACTAACGCTTCGCATTCATTTGTGCGTGTGACAAGTACTGTTATTACGATCACTATTTGTTGGCTTAACAAATCATGAGTGTATCAAATAACAAAATTAACCAATGCGGACAGGCCGCCGTTCATAATTCCTGCGACCAAAGTTTTCTCTTCCTTCGTCGTTGTTGCCTTCGTTATTGGGGGTTGTAACTGGAATGATCAGAATGCACGAAATAATTTGATTCGTTAATCCAACCGAACAGTATTTTATTTGAATGCCCAACTACGTACACAGGTTCCTAGACAGCCATGCACAATGCAGCCTCACTGCGAGAACAATGATTGGAATTACACAGCTTTCTCGCTTCATTTTCCTGCAGTCACATTGATATGGACGATCATGTCAATTTGTGAAACTACTTTACGGTCTCGAAAGGCGTCGAGGCACTCCCCATTTTATTATGTTGCACACAACATTGTGTCATTAGACGTAATTTTCAGCACATGGAGTGTTCATAATTCAATCATTATGAATAATAATTATTATTATGATGCAAATTTGTATTTCTTTGTTTGTAAAAGTAATTTACGATAATTACTGCCAAAATTTGCAAAGAAAATTTGAGACAATTTAGGCGTTTAAAAAATGAAAGTGAGCAGGAGCACATGCACAAATAGATAAATAGCTGATTCAGCGGATTGGTCAAATCCATTGATTTTTATCGTTGGGTTCAATTATGGACAACATATAGCATATTCTCCTTTGTCGTTCAGCGATGTATAAATATGTTAAAGGTGAACTATGTGATATATCGGTAAGCATAATGCAAGGGAGTTGAACTCGCCAAAATTATAGTATAATGGATTTGTAGGGAAAGTTTCGTTATTAGCCGTCGCTAATTTCAAAAGAAAAAGGACATGACAGGATAAAAGGTGAATTTTAGAAATATTATAATCCCCAATCTCTCAATCCCATCATTATCACTGTTGCACACAACTTCTCATTATCAATAATAAGTAGTAAATATAGCAATAATATGGATCAAAGTGAAGTCAGCGTGCCTCTCTAGCTCTCATCATCAGCTTAATGATTGAATACTTTGAGGGTACAAGTTTGCAGACGAACACCGACGACAAGGAGAGCAGCGACATCAGACAAAAGGAAGCTCTGCAACAACTGAGAGACGCCGTGCGGCCTGACATGATCTTCTCATGAGATTGCGAGCCAAGTTTTGGTGTGCCAAAGAATTGTGACCCTTCTTATTTAGAATGGACATTGTCATACTGCATGATTTTCAATAGAAGGTGTTTTCTTCTGATTCGTTCGATATCCCATTATAATTTTGCAAACTTGCACTTCCAGAGAAATCGCTGATCAAATGCTTATGCTTACAATAGGGTGGAGGGTTGGGAAATTTGAGAATGACAGACAGACAGCAACTCATTTGTCGTACCCATCCACTGGGATTAACGGATTATGCAGGATATCGATGTAATTGATCAACTTATAGTTTATTATATATGGTGGCCCAGCAGAGGAAGATGAGATGCTTGTAACAGATTGCGTTGAAAGTCCAACTGTCTATTTGTCGCTAGCATTCATTTTTTTCCTTGCACACAATTAATAAAGAAAATCTGTGACAAGCAATTTTAAACGGTTTGTGGTTGGTTGGTACGAATTTAGTAACAATGCTTTGTCAGTAAGTGCAGTGGGCTGGTCTCCAATCAATCAATATTAGATGTGCATTCACGATCAATGATACTTGTCAAAACCATCAAAAGAATCTACCGTATTGACTCGCACAAAGGTGGTGGCATTATGCGAAAATTGAATAAAAAATTAAGCATTGCGCCTTGGCACACTGAATCTGTAAAACACAATGAAGCTGAGCTGCTGTTTGAGATTTGCGTTGGATAGTGCGAGTCTGCGACTATGGTTGCCATATAATAATTGGTTTGATAAGTGAGTGAAGCCAGTGGTCAGACAGACATTATCGCTTTTCGACTCATTGTTGGAATTTCAATTCAACTCGAGAGGATTTGGTTTACAGTTTATGAAAACGTAATGATGCTTTTACTCTTATGCAACATTTGATGGTTATTGATTCAATGGCTTTTACACAGCCATTATAATCACCATACGTAATGATTACACTCAATTATCATTGCGGTTGGCCACGGTGGTGGTTCAAGCATGTATTATGTGCAATATATTGTCCTATATCTACACAGGTAAGTAATGTAAGTACGTACGGTTCCCCCATTGGCCTAACATTCTAATGTGAGTTATTTCACAAAAAATGCGAATCAATTATTTTAAGGTTTAAAATAGACCCATGTGGGTGGGGGAGCATAAAAATATGGGTTATTGTGGTTTTTGAAAGGGGGTGTGGTGTCTGGGGGGGTTTTTATGAAATTTCAAAAAAGTCTCAAATTCCCCCCAAAACCACACCCACTTTGAAGAGAATTTAATGCTGATTAAAAAAAGCTATTATACATGCCCCTAGCTCCTATCATTCTCACGGGAAAAAATAAAACGTGGCGAAGAAACGGGAATTTTGTCCAAAATGACAATTTCGACGATTTAAAATGGCTGGCAAATTCTTAAATCGAAAAAGTAGCAGCCAATGACCTATACGTCATATACTACCCATATAGGTGTGTCTAATGACGCAACGTTTGGCTTTCGGGGGGTGGCCATTTCCGGAAACCATCACTCAAAGTTGGGCAAAATCTAGGTGACGAAAACCGTGATATGTCGAGCACTTTTGAGAGAAGCTACATGTTTCAGAGTAATAAGTAGCAATAACTGACCTGTTTCTCGTAAACTACGCTCATAAGACTGTATAATAATGTGACCCTTGCCCCACTCGAAGTTGTAGTTTTTCTAATAATTTAAGGCAAACTTGCGTCAGATGAGCGTTCCCGGAAATTGCAAAACTCGACAACTTAAAATGGCTGGCAAATTCTTAAATCAAAAAAGTAGCAGTCAATGACCTATACGCTATAAACTACCCATACAGGTGTATCTAATGACGCAACGTTTGGCTTTCGGGGGGGTGGCCATTTTAGGAAATCATCATGCAAAGTTGGGCAAAATCAAGGTTGGCGAAAAAATGAAAAAAATTTCTAAGTGTTTACATGAAAAGGGGCAAAGTGATAAAAAGTCTTAGAATTGTCTGAAACGTAAAAATCCGAGAAATCTCACAGTGCCCCAAAAATCTCACTTTACCCCAGGTTCCATATAGGTGCGTCATTAGACACACCTATATGGTAGTTTATAGCGTATAGGTCATTGACTGCTACTTTTTTGATTTAAGAATTTGCCAGCCATTTTAAGTTGTCGAGTTTTGCAATTTCCGGGAACGCTCATCTGACGCAAGTTTGCCTTAAATTATTAGAAAAACTACAACTTCGAGTGGGGCAAGGGTCACATTATTATACAGTCTT